GACTTGTTAATTATATGGGGGTCGCGGGTCACTTACGTTTTATGAAAGGGGGTCGCCACTCGACAAAGGTTGGGAACCACTGTCCTAATCCTTGGCCTTACACCTCACAGCGGCTAATGAATTTCTGTCGACGGTTCAATACCGGCATGCCACACGTCCAATCAACGACGAGATCAAAGACATCCGGTCTACCGTAATTACTTGTGGTTTCCATTGATTTCCTTCAACTTTTCCATCACTGATTGTTTTGTCTTCAGCCGTCGTTGGAGGAAAAAAAAAATAAAGAAAAAAGGCTTTTTTTTCTTTCCAGTGAGACATTAGTTAGTACCGGATATTAGAGCCATAGGAATCCAAATTTTTATAAGTAGCATGGGCGTTTAGATCAGGTGCTGTCGATTTTTATTTACTTAAAATTTGTGTTAGAGTTTTGTAAGGGGAAAAAAACTCTTTAGTACCCGAATCGAGGTGTCATTCACGACACGGTCGAGTTGATTAAATTATGGGAGAAAGGGAGATGACTCAATGAAATCGACCGTGCTGTTTTAAATCAATAGCCCTAACGCATTACTGAAAATTGTTTTCCATTTTAGTCTTGTTTTTTAATGATTTTTTTTCATTTAATGGGGAAAAAATGTTTTTATTGAAATAAAACCTTTTTTTAAAAAACCCAGGTTACCAGAGGTACTATGAAGAATTTGTAGGGCTGATCACCTTATTTATTTATTTATTTATTTATATAATTGAGTTTGTTATATTTAATGCACGTGAACAGTCAAATTAAAAAAAAATTCCCAATACATAACCAAGGATGTTATACTTATATATTTGATAATGAAAAAGATGCATATATTATTATATGAATATTGAAGAGAAAAAATTTTATATTACGAGCTATTGACATAACACTGCAGGATATAATTAAATCATAGATGTGGTTTTATTTTATTGTATGGGTGTATGATAAATGACTAAATAATGTGTGTAATGTAATGAGTAGCTATCTATAAATACTTTAAATTACGAGGAGGGTAGTATGAAATCAATTAAGTTGGATATAAGATAATTATTACATGTAATATATACAAGCTTGATTGTTTTGAAATCCTACCATTTGTCCAAATACTGATTTTAGGGGTAGGGGGGTGCTACTATTTACATTCAGGTATGTGGTCGGACAAGCTACATTAAACAATTGCATAACCATAGACCAGTCTCTAAACCCTTAACCTTACTTGTATACTAACGTGTTTTTGTCTAGTATATAAATATACAGTGACGAATACTCGACAAAACGTAGCACTTTGTCCACACGTTTCTTTCGACTGTGAAATAAAAATGTGATAAACCGGGAGTGATCTCCCCTAAACTTTCTCGAATATTCTTATATAAAATAACAGGGGATGGGAACTCGGGCTATAGACATGATTTTTAATCCATTTTAAATACTTAAAGTTTTAAAAATAGAATAAAATCTCGTAGACAAATTAATTGCACACCAAGTGAACGCGAATAAAAAAGCGCATAATAGTGCGCAATATTATTAGTACTTTTAAAATTTACATTAGTTTTTTGAGAAATCGGAAGTAGCGTAAATAAGTACTTCCGGTCAACGAAAAATTCTCAAAATTTGACAGAAGGTAGAGAATTAGATCTTTTACTTACATATCAAATTTCATTTATCTATCTGAAATAGTACTCAAGTTATAGGCTTTTGAAAAATTCAAAGTAGAAAAAGTACCACTTCCGGTTATCCGAAATCGCTCAAAAGTTGATACGGATCTACGATTTTGATAAAATACTTATATATGAAATTTCATCAACCTAGCTGTAACGGTACTCAAGTTATCGTGTTTACACACGGACACACACACACACAGACACACAGACATACGGACAGAATTGCAAAGCCCAGTTTTTCAGACTGGAATACGCATAAAACCTTTTAATTTTGATAAATCTGGATTGATAATTTTTGCCCGATTAAAATAAGTCCTCTATACTTCGGATGTGATGAAGGACTGAGGTGTAATACGGTGAAAATAGTTAAAATTTCAATTGATTTTTGTGCACGATTACAATACTTTCTCTATACTTCGTATATACGAGAAAGTAATAAATAAAAAAAAAACGTTTTACCATAAATTTCATAATGGGAGTTCGCCTTACAAAAAAATGTTCGAGCTAATAATAATATCATCATTACCACAAACACAATTTACGTCGATAAAAACCCACTTCTGCGAACGTGATCGCGTGCAGAGATAGACCGCATCCCCCCACTCTTATTTCACATCCCTAACACTCAAACCGTTAACATATGCACACTTAGTGTGTGCATGCTTTTTAATGCCGTTAATCTTATTTCTTTCCTAAAAATCGTTTTCCCCACAACAGTACCAGCAAACGTTCTCGTTAAAAAAAAACTGCGCAGAAGCAAATAAAGTAATCAATGGCCATTGGTCTCCTGAGTGGAGGAGCTCTCACTTCAAAGAGTTGCAATCCTTTTGATGAACTAATAAGATGCAGAGGCGGAGCCTATCGGCGAGCTTTGAGGGGCAGCACAAAAATATTTGAACGGTATCGTAATTATTTTTTATCCACGATAACAGTGTACACATGTGTTAAGAAAGTTATTTTTCATTTCTGAAAATATTTGAACGGTATAATCGTTTTTATCCACGATAATAATTTACATGTGTTATGAAAGGTTTTTTTTTTTTTTTATAAATTACTGAACAATGTTTGAACGGTTTCACATAATCGTTTTTATCCACGATAATAGTGTACATGTGGTATGAAAGCTATATATTAATTTAAATAAATGTTAACGAAACCGTAATTATTTTTATCCAAAGTAAAAGCGTATACGTGAGTTAAGAAAGTTATTTTTAATTTCTAAAAATATTCTACTTAAAACACTAAACAAGTCAATATTTTATTAGAATGACTGAGATTTAGATCTATATTAAACGTAAACTAGCATAGTACACACATAGGTAGGTAGCCATGTGTTAGGTAGGTAGTCGTGTGTTAGGTAGGTAGCCGTGTGTTAGGTAGGTAGTCGTGTGTTAGGTAGGTAGCCGTGTGTTAGGTAGGTAGCCGTGTGTTAGGTAGGTAACCGTGTGTTAGGTAGGTACCCGTGTGTTAGGTAGGTAACCGTGTGTTAGGTAGGTAGCCGCGTGTTAGGAAGGTAACCGTGTGCTACACATAGGTAGGTAGCCGTGTGTTAGGTAGGTAGCCGCTTGTTAGGAAGGTAGCCGTGTGCAACACATAGGTAGGTAGCCGTGCATTAGCGCATCTTGAGCTAATGAGCCTGTATGTAAGGGGGGGGGGCATTAGATGAAACATTGACTACAAAACAAATTTCAGGGGAAGGCATTAGATCAAATATAGAATAGCAAACCACTTTCAGGGGAGGGCGTTACACGAAACATAGACTTGAAAACGAGTAGTTTCAAAGAAAATCTTTTAAACAAAACTAAACCTTCCGCCCCTGCCCGTAGTTGCAGTAGTGTCAACACCTGTCCATTTAAGGAATCGATGCCTAATTATAGCAGTTAAACGATTCAAACACAGATCCAGCGCAACTGTTTTTTTTTAAATAAAGTGTAAAAAGTCGAGCTTGGTAATTGCAATTGATTATTTTAAATGTGACATTAAAAATGGAGCCGCTCCATACAGGCAGTTAGGCTAGTGCAAGCTTTTATTTTGTTTAATGTAACAAAAAAAAAATGAAGCTCTTCTATGCAGTTAGTTAGGCTAGTGCGAGTTACTTGAATGAAGAAGTAACCATTAATTAAAAGTGAAGGAATGAGTGAATTAAAAGGAATATCAAGCTACAGATGAATATATTATAATCTTCTATACTATTTAAAGAATTTTAAAAAATTAACTGATAAGAATATGGTAATTTGATATTATTAAAAGATGTGACCTATATTTTGTGGTAAATGGGTCGTTAAATTAAAACAATAAGTGAAGATTATCGTAATGCTGGGCATAATATGATTAGCCAATGGCCAAGCGACTTTCATTTGGTGTACACTATGCATTAGCCTAAGCCATGTTAATGCACGGGATGTTGAGTGTCGGAGAGGGGGGGGGGGGGCGGCGGGGTCAATTGGACTGTTGTTTTCATGCAGGCGAACGTTTGTAAAGGTTTAATATGGGTTAAGGTTTGGGTAGTTTGGCAAGAACAATGGTTAAACGCCCTTTTAATTTTTGTGTGTAGGTGCCGATGTCCTTAAGTGCCGATGTTCTTAAGTAGCGATGTTCTTAAGTGACGATGTCATTAAGTAACGATGTTCTTAAGTGCCAATGTTCTTAAGTAGCGATGTTCTTAAGTAACGATGTTCTTAAGTAACGATGTTCTTAAGTAACGATGTTCTTAAGTACCGATGTTCTTAAGTGCCAATGTTCTTAAGTAGCGATGTTCTTAAGTAACGATGTTCTTAAGTAACGATGTTCTTAAGTACCGATGTTCTTAAGTGTAAGAGTCCAGAGTGTTCGATCAGAACAGGTGCTATGATAAAGAACACCTATTGCAGGTTATCAATAAGTATGGTCTGCGTTTACCAGCTTCATAGGGAAGGTTCTTTTTTTTATATTCTCTACTCCAAGGACACACACCCCACTCCCGCCAAATTCAAATTCTAAATAAAGGAAGAACATTTGAAACACACTCCGCCCCCCCCCCCCCCTAATCGAGTAGTGTTTCTTTTAGACTTTTCTCTCCTTGCAATGTTCACTTTAGTATTGCAAAGCAAATTACAATAGTAAACATTTGCTGAAAAATTATACTTTAGGAATTTTTGCTTTTTTTTAAGAAATTTATTAAACATCGTATGTCCAAATTCTTCATATAAAGCATTTTTGACATTGAAACTAATGAAACACGTTGATTCGATTTCATTTCGTGAAAATTAGATTTAAAGTGAAAGGGGGGTAACAATAAAATAAAGGAGTAAACTTAGTTTTTGTTACCTACCTTGTAACATACTCTTTTGATTAAAAAGTTATTTTTCGTTTTACACATCAACAAAAATGGCGGACATAGAAAAAGTGAAAGTACTAGTTGTTGGGGATTCTGGTTTGTTATTTTTAAAATATTTTCTTTTAATACATTATTTTATCAAATTATTTACTAAACTCGGTATACCATTCGAATCGTCCTTAGAGGATTTCATAGTGTCAGCCGCCAACCAATCAAACGCGCGCTTTCTCCGCGTTTTGGTTGGCGGCTGACGTCACGGTGACGTCACGCGACGCGTTTTTGGAGCTAAAAAGGGCCGAAAAAGCCATTTTTTTCTACGTGTAGTTCGGATTTTTTTACGTTTTTTAAAATGGGCCCGAAAATGACACTTTTTCAAACTGGACTTAGCCATTTTTTCAAACAAATTTTTCGAAAAAAGGCCGTTTTGGGTGATTTTTGGATGTAAACAATGGCCTAGGTCAACACGTGTCAAACCACGTGAAGGCACCCAATCGACGATTTCGGTCACGCATGAGTGGTTTTCATACGTTCTCGTGAACTAAATACCAGTTTCTTGACAACAAAATGGAAAACGACAATTTCGTGAAAATAACTACCCTAGAGGAATGGCTCTTGAAGATTATTAAATAAAAATCGGTGTGTTGGCTCTATGTATTGATTCTAAACTTGTCTATAATTGACTAGTAGGGCATGCTGAAACAACGGCCTGAGGGCGCCGTGTAGTGTGTAGTTTTGCTAAATGTAAATTAATCAGCCCAGCCGCAGATCAATCGCAAACTGTTAAAATGGTTGGATGTGAAAAGCTTCTACTTACAAATTACTTCTGAATAATCACATCACACAAAATAATCCCAAAGAAAGCACAAAATAAAATCCTTTAGAAAACCATCACCATGAAATTTGAAAACCACAGTTTGTCAACCTTAACCAGCCATCTTTGGCTCGATCTAGAGGTCATTCTTTAGCCTACACATGTGTCTTGTCAACCAATTTAGTTTCTGATGGTACACGACATTTAGATAAATATAATATAACAAACTAACTGAATTCCAACATTATATTTTATATCCATCTAATCCAATATTGAAACAGAATTTGAAGCACAATGATCTAACGAATAAATCCAACTCTATGCGAGTGTCGCAGCTTTAGTCCTGGATACAACCATAGTGTGTAGTCGTGTTGTGAGTAAATTTGCACGAGATACAACACCGACCTAGACCTTCCTGATGTGTATGGCCCCAAAGTGCTGCGAGTAGGGGAGGGCAATTTAACGCCAGAATAGTTTTTTTTTTCAATAGTTAGGTCATCAGTAGCTCACGCATCCTACCGGGGTTGAAAGTGTAACTTTAAATTGAACTAGGTGAGAGGAGGAGGGTGAGGTCATTAGAACAACGGAGCTATATTTCTAGTAGAAGAATACGGGGAAATCATAGCTTGAAGTTTGAAGCCGGCATTTCATTTTTTTCATTGTTATTGAGTACAGCCCTTTAATGCACGACTAGGCTACTCATTATGAAATCTAAAAATGTAGTTGTGCTACCATGCAAAAGTAGCCTAATAGGTCTTGTTTATTTAAATGCAGATCCTGTTAGCCTAAAAATATTTGGATACACATTTTAGTTATATTGTAATGATTAATGTTATAATACAATGCATATATTCTGATAGTCCTTCAAGTTTTTGGGCAATCCATAACTTGTATTTCAAATTTATAATGAGCGGGATGCACTCGATGTTTTAAGTGCTACATTCGGTAGCTGTTACTTTGTGCATGACAGCATCCCAATAGTTCACTGTAAATGTAAACTGAGCTTGACGAGATTCCCATCGCCAAGCAATCGTATGATGATAGACCCAGCAAGCATCACTCGTTAAATTCGACATCATGGCTAAACCAGTCCTTGATTTTCATTACAGCCTTTAAACGCCTAGTTCTTGGTTTTAAAAAAAAAAAGTGCCCCCCCCCCCTCCCCGCTTGCGCCGACGTCATCATAGGCCAATACCATGTTGCGATTTTTTTTAAACGGATATAACACACCCCTCTCCCCCTCACAGCAAACGCCAACAACGTCACCGAAGGCCCAAGGCCAATAACACGCACCACGGTGGATTTTTTCTTCAATGAGTATATACCCTACCCACCCGCCGCCTTACAACATACCGCATGTCTCTACGAACGGGGTTAAAAGTTGAACTTTGAGTTCAAGAAGGGGAAGGGGTGGTATTCAAACAACGAAGCTGTTTCTTTATAGTACAAATACATAGTTTAAAAAATGATACTTACTGTAACTTACCTAATGCTATAGCATCATACATAATTTTATAAATTAGCTAATTAATTAATTAATTAATTAACTAATGAAATATATCTAATGATAATGAAGGGAGATAGTTTATTTTGGTTAAGGCACGACACACAACACTGTGCGTGCCTGGTATGTGGCCTGACCGACCTAAAAGGAGATTGTTTATATTATTGTTTTGAGTTTATATTTAACTCAATGCAACGAGCCCGCCGGTTGGCTGAGGCCACGCCGGGGGGACGATCTGTCCGGGATTCAAAGGGACGACTCGAAATATCGTCCCTAAACTCAACAAGGACATAATAAAACATCTTTTGTTAGTGTTCGGCTTTATATTTTAAAAAAGGATGCGTCTATTCGGACCCGGGTCCCAATAGCGGCTAATAGCCGATAGCCGCGTCGGCCGCTATTATATTATTTACGAAGTGTCTACTCGGAAGAAGATTTGGATAATATTTAGAATCGACCCTTTGAATCCCGGTCAGAACGTCTCCACTTAGTCGGCAAAAGATAGCTCTGCGCATGCGCAGTGACCTATGGCTAGGGTTAGGGCTAGAATGAGGGTTAGGGGTAGGATTAGGGATAGGATTAGGGATAGGATTAGGGTTAGGGTTAATGATAGGATTAGGGTTAGGGTTAATGATAGGATTAGGGTTGGTGTTAGGGTTCTGCGGTTGTAAACACACGCATGCGCAGTACCATCGAAAACATCGCCGCTAAGGCAAGTCGTAGTTTCTCTCCATTGCGCATGCGTATCGCATGCATATCTTATTCCGGCTAGAATCGGCCTTATATTTATTAGGCCGGTTTGTTGCTTAGATGGCTGGATTGACCTCTGACCCTGAAACGTCACGCGTCGTTTTCTGACGGTTTCTACGTTTATTTTAAGGGTCCTATCCACGACAAATTAAAGAACTGTTTATCTCGCCAATTCTCATCATTATTTTAACACAAGATGCTAATAAAATGGATAATATATTTATTAATTTTATTTACCTATAGGCCTAATATTATTAACGAGAAAAATGGCCCGTTGAGGAAGGATACAACAAGCGCTAGGCTGATAGTGCTGTCTCTTTTCTCTAAACTAAAACCACCCCCCACCCCCCCCCCTCCCCACCCCCCACCCCCCAACGAAATATAATTATATACTTTTTCCAATGTCCGCCCCCTCCCAGAAAATTCTACCCCCGCCCCCGAAAATTTCAAGTACCCCCACCCCTCTCCGGGGAGGAAAAAGTCTGAAAGAAACACTCAAACCAACCCACCCCCCCACACACCACCCCCCCCCACCCCTCCACCCCCCCCCCCCCCAAATAAAAACATGTCTACCGTCCCATTTAACGAAATATAATTATATACTTTTTCCAGTGTCCGCCCCCTCCCAGAAAATTCTACCCCCGCCCCCGAAAATTTCAAGTACCACCACCCCTCTCCAGGGAAGAAAAAGTCTGAAAGAAACACTGAAACCAACCCACCCCCCAGTAGCGTACGCAGGGGGGGAGCAGGGGGAGCGGCCGCTCCCCCTCTGGCCATTTTCAGCAAAGTGGCGCCTTTTTGGAAACTTTTTAAACTCAAAGTTTTAAACAATGATATTTGTTTAAAAATATTTTTGGTCGGCACATCTATGTAAATCACAAGATTTCTTTTCATGCAGCAATAAAGCATTATTGTACTAGTCTAGTAGTGTCTACGTTTACAACACGTATTAACAGCTGCATCAGTTTGCCATTCTAAAAATAACCATTAAGATGCATTGCAATGTTTAAAAAACCTCTATTGTAGTACCACTTTTATACCCATAAAAGTATGTTTAGTGTCGCGTGACTTTTTTTTATCCCCCCCCTACCCCTTTCTCGACACCAAGTTCACCCTCCATCATTTAACTGACCGCTTGACCGTGTGAGTAGCTATTGATCACCCTACCGGTCAGATAACAGTGTTACAAAGTGCGGTCTGTTTGTCCAACGCCAATGGTGTTTTATGCCTTGACGGTTCGCCGTCCATCTCCATTGAACCACTTATCATTATGTTAAAAAAATGATCTTTAAAGAACACAAAAAGTCGGTTGATTACTTTACATGTATGATCTGAAATGCAAGTCCTATATATTGGTTATCTGTAGGCTATTTATCCGGATTTTATACTTTTAAACTGAAAAGCTGGGTTTTATACCAACTCTTATTAAAAAAAACTTTCATTATGCTGTAATACTTTAGCATTTATAATAACAATATATTTAATTCTGATTGTAGACAAAATATTTTTGTAAAACCGAATAGCGTTAAGCTACTTTATTAGATTATTAAGTAATTATTGAGTTGTTTTGATATTTATAATTAAATGTGTAGACATATACATATTTATATTAAAAGAGTGATTATTTCCCCTTTTCGCTAGTCTTGATGTCCCAGGAATTATTATGTAATTTGTTTTACAAGGATTACAAAACAGATTATGTTGCGTTCATTGTTTTTGGTTGTAGTGTGTGTATATTTGTCTTTTGTTTAGAGTGATTTTTTTTGTTTTGCCAGCCTAAATTTTTTTGTTTTCTCGGCCTACAATGTGTATGTTTTTTAAATTTCTTCAGAGTGCTACTTTCAATTTATTTTACATCATAGCGAAGCAACAACATACAGCTAATATATATATATATATATATATATATATATATATATATATATATATATATATATATATATATATATATATATATATATATATATATATATATATATATATACATATATATATATATATATATACATATATATATACATATATATATATATATATATATATATACATATATATATATATATATATATATATATATATATATATATATATATATATATATATATATATATATATATATATATATATAATACACGTATATAGAACGTGTTAAAAATTCGGCGCCTTTTTTGCTCTTTTCGCTCCCCCTACAACGAAAACCTGGATACGCCTCTGCCACCCCCCCACACACCACCGTCATATTAATGTGTGCACTATCCGGCTTGAGATTATTTTCTACTCTGTGCTAAATGTGTCGACGTCATACTTCGTTTTTTGAATTACTATGCATGTTTTTATTTTCCTTGTGTTTTCTCTAGAGCGTTCTTGTCAGATAGATAGATAGACAGACAGCGAAACTATTAGTATTAATTATTAATTAAATTAGGCCTAATATTATTAGTTTTATTAGCGAGTCCTTATAGCGGCCGCCGCTATTGGGACCCGGTATAATTATAGTTATTTGTCCTATTAGTATTAGATACGCATAACCTGTATTCACATGTATGGTGGGCTGAAGATACCAATGTCCGATTTTATTTTAGATTGTCAGTACTATAAATACTATAATCTCGTGAAGGGGGGGGGGTCCGTAATTATGTGACGGTGTGTGATGAGGGAGAGAGGGGGGTGGTGTTCAGTTGATGTGACGTCACAATTTTGCATTTTAAAAAAGCAATGCTAGAAAATTAATTTTAGCCCTTATTTTTAGAAACCTTAGAATCATGTTTTAATGAACTGTAATAATATTTATTAAAACACTATTTTGACAAGAGTTCAGAAATAATTGGGAACAATATCGCTGTTTTAAGAAAAATTCAACTCCAATTTTGAGGGGGATGGGGGGGGGGGGGTTGTAGGCTGAGCTGTGATGTCATTTTAAGGTGGTCTGGCTTTTTGTGAAGATGTTTATGTATTGGAGTCCTAATAGCGGCCGACGCTTTTGGGACCCGGGTCCGAATAGCCACTTCCTTTAAAAAATTAGGCCCTAGACTAGGCCTAGGTATAAAATTTAAATTTTGTCTTCCAGTTCAATCAGTAACTGAGTAAATACTAGATTCTAAATAGTAAATACTAGTAAATAAAATACTATTTAGATCTAAATACTTACTAAATACTAAGTAATAGTAATAGTATCTGCATATCATATACTAAATACTATCATATAGATAAATGAGTGAGTAAAGTTGACTCAACTTTAAAACTTAAAGTTGAGTAAATTGTAGTGTAGTACTAGTAGTGTAGTTGTCGAGTAGTGAGTGTGACTATAGTTAATGTAGTGACTGTAGTCTGAAAGTGTTCTGTGTCTGTAGTCATTGTGTGTGTGTGTAAGACTGTAGACCCTACTGCATTGATTTTAATGTTCTTTACTGACATATTGCAGGAGTTGGTAAAACATCACTTGTTCACATTATCTGCCACAATGAACCTTGCTACACCCCAACAGCAACAATTGGTTGTTCAGTTGAAGTTAAAGTGAGCTTGATCTTAGTTCTTAAGTTTTTAAAACCTCACTGTTGCTACACATTTTATTAAACAACCAGTGTTTTAAACTGATATTTAATATTAAATATAAGTATTTCTCTATTATTCATTTTTATTATTCTAAAATATCTCTTTCCTATTGTTTAAATGATTTAAATTGTTGCTGCCTTTTATTTTCAGTTGCACGAGTACAGAGCAGGAACACCTTTAGAAAAAGATTTTTTTGTTGAGCTCTGGGATATAGGAGGTGCAGCTAGCCATGCCAATAGCAGGTCCATTTTTTATCACCAAGTTCAAGGTTAGCTATTCTCTTTACTTATACTTTGCATTGTTAACTATACATTAACATTGACAAAATAGTTATTCTGACTGTTACTAGTTGTAACTATTGTGTGTATTATTATTATCACATTATTAAGATATCCTATTCTATCTGATCTTGTTTAACTTCACGATAAAAACATTTGACCATTTTCAGGTATAATTCTAGTTCACGATTTAACCAACCGTAAATCTCACCAAAACCTGCGCAAGTGGCTAGCTGAAACATTAAATAAAGATGATATCAAACAAAATAATGGGTGAGTTTAGATAAAACTTAAAAGAAAGTATATATTTATGTACACAATTTTATAATATGTGCTATTGTTGTACTGTTTACTATCCATAGAAAGCATTGTGATAAATGTTAACGATTTGGATTTCACTTCTGTCAATTTTTTTTGTAGATATGATTTTGACCCAGAGCAATTTGTTGGCAATCAGACACCGATTCTAGTCATTGGCACCAAAGTTGATTCAGCACAATCTTTAAGAGAAAAAAATGCTTTCCGTTCATCCCATATAGCGGAGGAATGTGGGGCTGATGAGTTTAATTTAGTTTGTCAAACTTTCAAGTCTTATCATAGTCTTTTTGCTCTTAACTAGTAATATATTGTTGAGTTCAGTGCAGTTTTTATTATCATTATCAAATAAATAGTAGCATGTCTAGGTATTTTCTCATATTACCATTGTATTGCCTTAACAGAGCTGTTTTAAAGCACTTATTACAAATTTCAGGACAGTTTACAGGTAAAATACTTAGCACCAGGCTCAACAAATGCTGTAAAGTTATCCAAGTTTTTTGATAAGGTAATGACATTGATTAAACAGAATGTTTTTGTGCCAAAATTGTATTTATAAGCATCTTTAGGCCTAACTCTTTTTTTTTTTTTTTTGTAATAATCATTTGATTGTCCTCATTCATAGCATGAATAGACTAAAGGGTTAATTTTCAAGGTCATTTGAGCTTAGCATTATTTGTTTTATTTTGTTTTCTGGATACTCAGAATTAATTGTGTTCGGTGTCAAGCATTATCTTTTTAATTTCAAGTTTAAAAATTAGATTTACTTCTAATTAATTTAACCTCAAACTTTGCTCATAACAATTTTATTTCAATTTGCTACAGGTGGTGGAACGAAAGTTGTCCAGTAACCAGGTCAGTACTACTGAAAGTGGTGGTAGTCGCCAAGGTTACGAGTTTGGACCTTATTAGGTCCACCATTACGTAAGGCTAAATATCACATTATAGTTTTTGTGTATTTTTCCTTCACTGGTGATGGCATCTGCTACCTTATAATTGGAAAGTTTAGTTTAGTTTCTGAGAGCTCAATTAGCTTTTAGGTTCCTATATTCAGATGTTTTCTTTAGGAGCTAGAGGTTTGACCAATACATAAACACTGGTTGTTGTTTTTTTTTTTTGTTGATTGATTAATGATAGGTATCTGACGGTGTTACACTAATAAAGCTTTACTAATGTAGTCTAATTGATATTAGCTAAGTTGCCATAATAACTGTACTTTAATATGTTAATAGAATAATTCACTAGATTATAATTGAAAAAAAATTTGAAAACTTATGCAACATGCTTAGAAAGTTGTTGATGTGCTTGTTTGCCATAATACTTAATAATTCTATTTGAAACATTCTCACCATTGGCCGCTGTAATACCGCTGTTTGCCGTAATATTTAACAATTCTACTTGAAACATTAAGTACATCTCTCAAAAGCTGGCCGCTGTAGTACTGCTGTTTGCCATAATACTTAACAATTCTACTTGAAATATTTAGATCTAGTACATCTCTCACAAACTGGCCATTGTAAAACTACAGTTTGCCATAATATTTAAAATTCTACTTGAAACATTTCGTATATCTCTCACAAGCTGGATCTTGCAATCACTGATGCTCTTGTTAACAGCATGTTCACAAATTTTAGTTGGTCTTACAACAAGCACATCATTTGACAGATATTTTTTGTCATAGGATGTATTCCACCCTAAAATAAATCCTCTGGTACATTATTGAACAGACCTTCTCTTTAAAATTATAGGATTTTTAAATGTTATATATCTTCAATATCTTTTATTGTATAAGATATAAATAAGATGAAGTCATGTTTTTAAAATAGGTTGTAAAAAGACTGTGACAGTGTGTCGGTTTATTCCAAACAGTAAAACATTTGGAATGCGTCAGTATAAGTGTGACACTTATAAGCATTTTCATGCATTTTGTTTGTATTCTTAGCTTTAATATAATAGGTTACTAAGGCATCTATTTACAACTACAGAAAATTAAAATATTTTACCTAACTGCAACTTCCGTTTTAAGTAGGGCACGTTATAATTTTACTTTTCTGAACTAAAGTTAAAGAAGTGTTCACTTCATTTCCCATGATGATTTTATCACTAATACTGTGCATGTCATTTAGATTTTATAGTAAGTAATTAATGCTCAGCTGGACTACTTTAAGGATAATTTGTTGAATAGTAAACTTATTGATATAATGCTTGTGTTGCTGGACAATCTGTGAAAATGAGGCTGAATATATTTTTAGAATGTGTTTACATATTTACAGAAATTTGTTTCAACACATTTCACTTAAATTATATAAATTTTATGAATGGTAAACTCACACTAGTTGGCTACTTTTCGAGAAAAGGACAACATTCATTATTCTATGAGCTATGATATGAATATATATATATATATATATATATATATATATATATATATATATATATATATATATATATATATATATATATATATATATATATATATATATATATATATATATATATATATATATATATATATATATATATATATATATATATATATATATTGTGGCATAATTGCATTTTATATGCTCATATCAAGTTCAAAAATATATTGAATTAATAATGTTGCCGATGCTCTATTCCTGAACTGCCACTGTATATATTTGATAGTAAAATTATTTCTTCTCTTATTTCTTTGTGTCAGATATACTGCTTATAATTTTAATTAACCAACAGACTTATGGTGCATTGTTGAAAATTTAGTTTATATACTCCGATTTGAATGTTAAAAGCATGTATTGTTTCACATGGTGTTTGAAAGACTAATTTTAGGTCTATTATTTTGTTTAATATTTAATATGTACAATTTAATTTATATTTAATAAAGATTTTCTGTATCTGAACTAAAAAAACATTTTAGTTTAACAAATTAGCTTTAAATGAACTTTACAATGTTAAGTAGATAATAATTAGGCTTCCTTTTTTAAAAAATCAGAATTTTCAATATTTTAATGGTAAATTAAATTATAGTTTAATTACTGTTTAAAATTTGTACTTAAAAGTTAAAATCATGCATTAATTATGTGTTACATTTAGACATCAGTAGTGGGGTTTTTTCATAGAAAACTATTTTGATATAGTAGAGAAACAGTCTTTATACACCAGGTCTGAACACTCATTTTGTTTTTTATTTATTCTCTATAGTTTATTAATGTTATCTTTTTAAAAAGATATACCTGAATTCTGGGTAGATAATCATTTAATTATTTGCATTATTAAACAGGTGCATAGGGATACAAATTTAGATTTACTTTATGATTCCCACACGTCAGAATTGGTCAACTGTTTTCTTCACAGGGTCACATTAGTCCACAGCAGTCTAGACGACTTTGGAAAGCTTCCCATGCAGATTGATGAGAAATTTAGACTGGTGTTCGCAGTGTAAATAAATGATTCTCCTTTGATTTCATTCATGTAAACAATTTCATTGCATCACAAATGGCTGTGATAAAATTAAAAACATTGCATTGTTTAAAATTAGCACAATTGTTGCGTGTGTTTTTTAGGGTTTGTCCATAAATAACATGTCAGGAGTTTGTCTATAAATACATCACGCGAGTTAAGTTTGTGAACTGTTATGCTTGCATTTATAATTATTTTTTAAAATTGATTCATTGTAGGTATTTCATATTTTTAAAATACTTTTTTTTTTTAAATTTTAATGAAAATCGATAAAAACAATCTTTTATTAACTTAGATTTACTTAAATGGCTGGGTCTAGTATACAAGTGATCAGCAATGCTTCCACACAAGTTAACCTAGTCAGCTTTTTTATCCATTTTGACGAACTTCTAATGTAATGATTTATACATAAATGCCTTTCTGTTGACAACGCAAGACTAAATAATTTTCAATCTAATTAGATTACATTTTTTATTAACTATTAATTTATCGATTATAATATTTAATACAAAAAGGGGACATCATAGGTGAGTGTTTTATCCAGACAAAATGACCATCCACCATCCAGCACTAACAAAATGACCACCACCATCCAGCACTAACAAATTGACCACCACCATCCAGTCCAAACAAAATGACCTTTAACATCCAACCCTTACAAAATACTAACACACAGACTCAAAAAGAAGTACTAGTAATATGTAGCAGAATAGAGTTGATTTTCAGCGTGGAGCCCTGCATTACATCTCCAATTTAGAAAAAAACTCACTGCAACAGTAAACATAAGTTGCGTTACAGAGGACAACGGGACTATAACTAGGTAGTCAAAACTTCAATTAACTATTGATTGTAGACAACCATAGTATAGTGATCTCTTCTGATAGAACTTTTCATTGTAAGGTCTTTCACACCAATTTTATGAAAATATCTTTTTAAATAAAAAAAAAGTAATCTGATTTTCATAATATTATATTTCTCGATAACATTGCAAGAAGTGGCTTGACAACCAAGTAACTAAGGTGGACAAAGTCCATGAGCCTCCGAGGCCCCAGGATCCCAAAGCTGTTTAAGTAAATAAATGGAGTCCTTGAAACAACTGGCACTAGTAGAAAATAATTTTTTTTAATTAATAGATCTAGTATTGGAAAGAGATGTGGGATCTAGACATGTATTTTATATTGTTAAATAAAATGTATTAAGAACAAAGCAAGCTGCTGTTAGTGCAATAAACATAATATTTTCAAATACTAGAAAATTGTGTAGATATTTATGTCTGGGGATGGTCTAAAATTCCAATTTTTTGTGGACGTCATACATTGATGGCTTCTTAAAGTAATGGCATGTTTTGAAATCTTTTTTTTTTATTCTTGAAAGTACTTTAAAGGGATATAGCCGAGCTGATAAGCTAAAGCCTAAAATATTAATCGAGTTGTTTCCCTTTGCAATTTTACTCATTCGTTTGCTATCAACTTTTATTAAGGTTGATATATGTGAAGAAAACAATTATCAATAGCTTTTAGTTTTAGCACTAAAACCTTTAGCTAATCATGACCAATATTTGAATATAAGGTTCAATTATTAATTTTCAAAACATTTAGTTAAAAAGTATCTATACTATGAAAAATTGATTGAGTGGAGTTTTTTCATCTCCTCCCCCTTCCTTGTCAAACATCCTAAAATAACTGAACCCCCTACTCCAGGAGAGTAACGTTTTTTTTTTGTTGTTTTTTTATGAACGACACATTAATAAAAATCTTAACGCTATGCCTATGGGAGTTCAGTTTTGATTTTTATGAAATTGACCACGCATGGTTTCTCCAATGTTTAAAAATAGAAACAGAAATTTCCGTTCAAGTACTTGCCATATTGGCATCCAAGTTTTCTCAAGTTAAATATTGTAGAAACTGCTTTTCAAGAAAATAGTAACTAAATGAATAGGCGGTGCGGAAAACTAGGTCGTATATCACCTGGAGAAATAACTGAAGAAGTCACCCCACCACCTCCAACATTTTTTGTGTGTCACCCTCTCCCCTAATTATATTATTTAACGCGATAAAACGTTGTTTCAATAGTTAAATTTCACTGTTTTTCATCGGTGTCACCCCTTAAATGGAGTCACCCAATGCGGACTGAAACCCCCGTCCCGCCTATAACGCCATTGAGTAAAACCCTATCGAAAAACTCGAATATATATAATTCTCTTCATGGAGACCATAGAAAACAACAAGCTGTAAGCGCGCATAGCAGCCCCCTCTCTTCCTCTCTAGGCCTATCCCTACCACCCCCACCCCACATGGTCTGGTGAGCTGTGGTTGACGCTAAATGTTTACAATCGTAGAGCCGGGTTAGGTGACGGCTATTAGGGGCAGATAATTTAGTTTGAAACGATTTTTAACTTAGGGGAGGTAACTAAGAGGAGGCTGCTTTCAGGGGGGGGGGGGGGGGTAGGGTAGGGGTTGGGGGGTATCGTCCTTAACGACCTACTGATAGTGTTTCAAAGCAAATATTTTCAGTGGCAGCGTTGGTACTGTCGAATTCACAAATTATGAATTAACGAAAAGTAGAAAATAAAACAACTAAATAGCGGCATATGATACGCTGCGGGTCGGCTCGTAAAATTACGTTATTACTTTTTAAGATAACTGCTGACGAGCGTTTCTTCCAGGCTTTTTTCTCCGGGGGGGGGGACATATGTTCCCGGGCGCCGACCTTAGGGGGCGCCAAAATGGGTTGGAAAAATAAATTGAAAGGTTGAGGGGGATGCAAATCGAAAGATTGAGGGGTGCAAATCGAAAGTTTAAGGGGGGGGGGGGTGCAAATCGAAATCTTGAGGGGGGGGGGTGCAAATCGAAAAGTTTGTTCCCGGGCGCCGGGAAGGGTCGCTACGCCTCTGGTGCGGACACTTGTAAAAGTATATATTTCCTATATAAATTCTATTTCGTTCGGAGGGGAGTACTAGTAGACGTATTGTGTGTGTGGGGGGGGGGAACTCAGTCCCCTTCCCCCTGGAAGAAACTCTGAGCTGACATTACGAATTTTAGACCAACTCTATGAATACTAGAGCTATACTGTTCCTTACAACTATGTGCGGATTTTTAAAATATTATTTTTATTTGGCCTTTTAAGTAATCATTGCTGGTATTCATGGGTTTATAAATAGAATTACATTTCAAATACCCAGTCTAGATCTATATTTAGTCACAATTTAGTGGAGTGGAGTGATGCTGATAGTGAGTGAGTGTTACATTTACAGTGAGGTATAGATTAGATCTAGATCTAGAATCATCTAGATCAACATCAAATCTTTAAGTTTAATTTTCTAGAACTAGATTCTATATTAATGAATGTTAATCAGTATTAACAAAAAATTCAAAAACTAACCTATAGAATCTAGAATACTAAAAGAATAGTAGAAAGAATAGTATTAATAATTAATAGTAATAATAGTAATATTGAATATTGTATACCAGAGTTTCTTCCAGGCATCTCTTCGCCCGAAATTTTTTTACCCCCCCCCCCCCCCAACGAAATGAAATTTATATAATTTATATAGAAAATATATACTTTTAACTTTTAACAGTGTCCGCCCCCCCCCCCCCCCAGAAGAAAGTCTACCAGTACCGCCCCCCCCCCCCCCCCCCCGAAAATTTCAAGTGCCCCCCCCCTGGAGAAAAAAGTTTGGAAGAAACACTGTTGTATAAATAGTATAATGTATACTACTACATAGTACATATTACATAATCTAGATAGTAGATCTAGATCTAGTTATCATATAGATTTAGAATACTAATAAATATAGTAATATAGATCTACTATACTTCTAGATCTAGCTCTAGCACACGTTTTCTTTCTATGTCTATGATGACTCCCTCTGAATCTGATAGTCTAGATCCTTTCTACACTAGATTAGGTACTAGGAGATAATTTCAAAAATGGTTTGATTGCAAAACAATGACTGCAGGTAAAAGGAGCAAAAAATTAGAATCACAGAACAGTTTTCCTTTTTGATGTAGATCTTTCTAGCTCAATATTTTTTCAATATTTTTTAGATTTATCAAATAGCAAGCTACGGTGTGTTAAAAGAGACAGTGTATTGACCTGTTTGAAGTATGCATGGTGACGAGGCAAGAGAGATTTCTGGTTTTATTCCAGTCGAGGTCATATATCAACATGGCAAACATGGCACAAGTTCTATTTTTAAAGTTGAATTTCCACTGTCAGCAAAAGTTGAAATATTGAAAAAAGATATGCATCCAAGGGTAAGCTCATAATAATAACAATAGGAAATATACTGTTATTAGTGGTTGATCATCATCTTTTTCTTTTTGAGCCAAAGACACGCCTTGTCAAAAGATCACATGATCATTGAGCTAAGTAACAACAGGTAGTCTGAATATTCTTTTTCTTCTGTGGCATTAAAAAATGAAAACAAAGAAAAATAATCTCATAACTAATAATGGGGCAGCGTTGTTGGATGGTAAAGCGAATGCCTTGAGTTTGGATCCTAAGCTCAAGTCTTTTGGATTTCCCCTAGTCTACTTCACTCTGATGGGTACCTGACTTACTTTAGGGAAAGTAAAGGTTACTTGGCATAATGCAGACTACACCATCCATTTAAATGCGGAGATCACAGAAAGAGGTAAACTCTACTTCATCTGCCCCATGGACCGCCAAAAATCAGATAGGGTTAAATTTTTTCCTTATAACTTATGGTATAAAAAGTGGTGCAATAAAGATATAATGGCTTTTTATGGCAGTAAGAAGAAAAATATTTTATTAATTTTTCTAAATTTCAGCTGAAAATTCCACCAGATCAACAAGTATGGATCTACAAAGGAGTTCCACTTTCAGACTCAGACACTATGTTATCAAAAAAAATTAAAGTTGATGACAAAATTGTTGTACAAGAAAGGAAAGCTGAAACAGAAATGACACACTATTCAGACTCTGAGACTTTGCCGCAAGAAGAAAGTTGTAAATAAACCTTCAAGTGTTATTATTGACTTTGTAAATCTTCACCCAAGCTTATTATATCCTTTAAACAGTCATCAAAGTAACTAATTTTGTATATACATCATTTTTACTTGTAATTTGATCATTTTCATAGTCGAATTACTGATTAGAAAATAATTAAAACATTGCTAGAACTATAATAGTTAATTTTGAATTCTTTTTTCTATAACATAATTGAAAAGGTCCTCTCTCTTAAGTTGTGAGCATTTCACATTTTCTAGTATAACTTGCTGAACTAAACAAATTCCAGTCCTAGAACCTAATAGTAGATAAAAAACATACTACTTTTGTGTTTTCACCAATATAACTCGCAATGAAGGTTGTCTGATCTTTTTATATATTGCATAAAAATGTATTGGCAGGGCCTGTAAGATGGGTTAGAAGCAAACCTCTCAATTGACCCCAAAATAAAAGTTGTCCATGTAGTTACAGCTCTTGGTAATGGTGTGCCCATCTCCCTTTAACTTTATGGCAAAAAATAATATTTTTTTTGTCATTGCAAATGTGAATAAGTTTATAAATGGAGCACCGGAATGGGTTGCTACACCTCTACATACAAGTGCCTAGACACATGGGATTTTTTTTAGATATGACCTGTGTATCGAGCTAAAATCCTAATAGGGAAGAAAAAAATCTCCTTGGACAGGTTTATTAGGGAAAGTGTGGTGAAATAAACCCAACATTAGTGAATAGAAAAGCAGTGATGAAAATTAAGCGGAAGTAACAAAACATTATTTAGTAACATTTAGGTTCAACTATGTTTGCTGAAGTTTAGATTCTGTTAAGTTTAGGGATAAAGTAAATTAAAGTGGCAGAAAGAGGTTAACATTAACAGTGAACAAAGTGAAGCTACTCCGCTTATCTCCACCCTCCACTGGGAAACACCTCTACCAGCCTATTCTGTAAGCTCAAGTCAGCTGATTTTTAAGCTAAATGCACTTTATAAAATCAGTCTATATTTTTGCATTATCCATTCTAATGTTATAAAACAATATTTGTTATGTATAAATACACTTTTAATATTTAAAAAACATGTATCAAAAACAATGGGGTGTGGGTGGTGGTGGGCTGGAACAGATTAATGGCATTTCAATTAATTTTAATGGGGAAAAATGGCTTTGAGATGAGATACAAGCAATGTTATGGAATGAATAAAACTATCTCGATGTGCCACTGTATATTTGTGTATATAGTCTATATATGTATATATTATATATATATATATATATATATATATATATATATATATATATATATATATATATATATATATATATATATATATATATATACATATATATATATATATATATATATACATATATATATATATATATATACATATATATATATATATATATATATATATATATATATATATATATATATACCAATACCATCATGTTTTTTAGACTAGTGTAAAACTTATGTTTTATGATATTCAAAAATTTGAAAGCAACCAAAGCAGACTATAGCCAATAGCTGTAACAGATCTTAAGACATTTTCTATTTTGGAGTGTACTTACACTAGATGCACCTATGTGTATGCCCTTCAAGACTAGTGTTTCATCCAGGCAGAGCCCCCCCCCCCCCCTCGGAGAACAATGCCTGGAAGAAACACTGTTCAAGACCTCCTATACCCACTATTTCCCCACAGATGAAAATGTGCTTTGACAAATGCTACGTTGTATTAGTTGCATATGCAGCTACTCTTCCCCCGAACTTGTGGCCAAATGTTTAAAATATCTATAGTTGATCATGGCTGTAGTCCAAATGATCTGGCATGTTAAAAAGCTTTGTTTTCCTGTGTGTAGGCCTATAGAACACAGGGAGCAGAAGTGTTTCTTTCAGGCATTATTGACGCCCCATCCGCCGACGAAATAAAAAAAAAATTGAATCTAAAATCGTCTAAAAAATGCCTGCTCTGTGTACACCCTTTTTTACACTATTAAGTTTGATGCTGTTTTTTTTTTCTGCATTGTAATTTTTGTAATTAAAAGTAAACCATAATAATAACATGCATCAAATTTTTTCTTTGTAAACTACATTTTGTTTTACTTTTCAAATGCATGTGGATTTTAACTAATTAACTGTACTAAGCACAAAAAAAAAAAAAGAGTTATGAGGATAAAAATAAAACTGAGACAACGGACAGTAAAGGGTTAAAGTATAACCTCTTTTAAATGTCTGAATGAAAAACTTTTTCATGAACCAACAGCAATCATAAACAAATGGAGCTCTTCACAGCTAAATTCCACTAATTAACAATTTTTGATTAGGTTTTATTTACCAGCTTGAAGATATGTTGCTTAGACGCGAGCACGTAAGTTAAAATGTATGCCTTCATGTTTATAGTAATTATAGGATAAACGACGTTTTGTTTTGATTGGACCTCTTCCCCCCCCCCCCCCCCCCCCACAGAGTTGGAACATCTCACAACCGACTTAATTGATGATAGTCATAGCTAGATGACCCTTAAATTTATAACATACTACTATTTCTTATAATAGATAAAATAATATAAAAATAAGGCCTGCCAAACAAGAGCTGCATTCGTTGTATTATTTAGGGGTGTTGGCTAAGCTAACTCTAAAGAGAATTGACGAAGGGGTCCTATGAGCAGTTATCATATTCTATGGGACCGTTTCGACAGAAACCGAATTGAAAGGGACCCATTTGTCGGAAGCCAAAATGATGGGAGCCGTAATGACGGGAGCCGCTTTGTCGGGAGCTCATATGACGAGGTTCATTTGTCGCCGGCCCTTTTGATGTGGCTCTTATGTCGGGGCCGTTTTGACGCCGAACGAAGCCCACAATATTGAAGCAAAAGCAGTTGGCTTCGTGGAAGATGTAATTATCCAAAGGGAATTTCCGTTTTTATAAAGTTTAGTAACCGTGGGTAACAATTATATAACCGGAGTTGAGCGCACTGTTTTGCCACGCTTGTATGTTTTCAATTAATCATGGGTCACTTTTTATTTAAATCCGTAAATGGATCTTTAAAACTCACTTCATATTTTTGTTCTGGAAATCAATAACGTAATCGTAGTCATTTTGTATTGTATGAATAGAGAAATAGGGCAGCCTTTCCAAAACTTTATTATCCAGTTTTGCTTATATTTATAGTTTTGAAAAAACCATTACATTTTCACGTTAACATGATTTGCTGTGTTTAATAAATATTTTATAAATCTGATGGTAAGGAGAAATTTCCTATTTATGGAGTCACACCCTGTAATAAAACCTGTCAATCTCTATGTCCAAAACATCGTTCCATTATTTATTGTGTCGTCCTCCCTTTCTTTTGATCGGCAGTAAGGCTAGTCACGACCACCATGTGAAAACGAGCTTTCTTAAAAAAAAAAACCATTGTCAACTTTCATGACCACTTGTAGATACGGTCTTTTACGAGATTCCTGATGGCTTTTTAAGTCAGTGAATTTTTAAAAATATTTCTAGAAGCATCAAAATAATTTGTGCAACCAGACACATTTGAGGGGTTGGCATGGTAGAGTCGGTAAAGCTCATGGTTGCTAAACTGAAAAGTCTCGAGTTCGAACCCTCGGGCAGATGAGGCTCGTTAGCTGGGAACAGCCACTCTTCTAGGAGAGACAACTCCAAAGTTAAAACAACTGCTGCCTTGTAGTTTGTTCTTGGTTGGACAAAGGCTATGGAAGCTAATCCAAAAAGAAAAGCAGGCTGAAATCGGAGTCAATGGCCTCAATGGCGCATAACCAGTTGACACATAACCTCATTGTGATGGAGGCGTGGTAGAGTCAGCAAAAAGATCATGGTTGATAAATTTGAAAAAAAGGTCTCGAGTTCAAACTCTCTGGCAGATAAGGCTCGATCCCTTCCAACACTAAAAATTAAGAATGAAGAAGAAGACACATTTGAGACCCACAGGCCAAAAAAAATGAAACAAACTAGTTTTCTTAGAAATAATTTAATAATACAAAACTTTATAAATGAATGTCATCAGTTACAGCCCCAAGCAGTATTTGTATACTTTCATTGCTGCATACACACAGTGGTGAAGTAAACATAAATGGCAGTAAAAGAAAATTATGAGCCTGATGCCAACCAATCAAACACAATTTCCAAAAAGACTAGTTGGTAACCTCAAATTTAATTAAAAAAAAAATTTTGAACAAAATTCCAAATTTAAAAATGAATTCTAGTTGCTTTTAGTAACTTTAAAGAGTATTATTATCCAATTTGAAGTGCAGAAAGTTGATAATCAATTACTCAAACCATGAACAGACAAGTCACAAATCAAACACAAACCAGTCAACTGCACGACTTAAGCCAGTTATGTTTAGTTGAAAATGAAGAGTTTCAACCAGATGCATGAAGTGTTACAAAATTGTTTATATAGATAGTATCAACCCCAAATTTATCTACACCCCATCTTTAAATTGATAATAACCCTTGAAGAAATTGAATTTTAAAAATTTAGAAAACATTTGTCTAAGAACACCAACCTCTATATATGTAGTATATAATGGATAGTTTATTTTAATAGATAGCTTTCATTTCAAAATAACATAACTGGCCCAGGTCTCTAAAAAATAAAGTAAATAAAAACACACAGTAGATTAATCTTCATCCCAGTCTTTGTTCTGCTTAGCTTTAGGTCCTCCAGCCCTTTTAGCCATAATGATCTGAAAATAAATCGTAACACTTTTAAGTATACATAAATTCAAAGCCATTATAACCTTAACACAGACACTCATTGATTCTACTACTTTCTGCTCATAAAATGGCAGAGACCCTATGCTCACCAAGGATGAAAAAAAATATGAAAGACATAGACTGGCTTTTCAGAAACTACAAAAATGAATGACTAACATTTTTATAATTCCTGTTTTTACACAAAAATCCTGATTAAAACATTTAATCTTTATCAAATAAATCTGATACTTTTTGCTACATTTGAATTTTCACTGTTAATTGAAAAGGACCAGCGACTTCAGGTAAAAATAAACTTGAGATTTTTAAATTTGTTACTAGAAGAAGGCAGTTATTAAAAATCTCCAGTTGAATAAATATTTGTTTTCACATTGAAGGTATAGGTGTGTGTGTGATGCAACAGGACCTAAAGTACAATCTGTGTGGAATGGGTTATATACTATTACTATTTTTTTTTTCAAATTGTCTTTCAATTTCATATTTATTAAAAATTAAATACGCTGCTTGGTGTTAATTTGAAGACAACTCACTTGATCAACTCTAAGAACAGTACATGCTGCTGATGTGGCAAACTTGAGTCCCCAGAACTTGGTAATTAACAGATCGTAGATTTTCGCTTCCGCTGCATCTAATACGGATGCTACCTCTGCCTATGGGTACAATTTTGATACATTAAACACACTGAATAAAAATATCCTCAAAATAATATTTTAATTATCTTTAAAAAAAAACCCAGACATTACCTCAATATCTATTCCAGCATTAACTCTCTCCTCATGATGAGCAGCATACAGTTTACTTAGCACCTCAGTTTCCTATGATTAAAACAAATACAGAAAAGTTCATAATAATTTAAGATTTGATGCCTAGTGGTACAAAAAATAAAATAAAAAATTCTTACCTTAAATCCAGCATTTTTTGCCAAAGCTTTGGGGACAACTTCCAAAGATTCAGCAAACTTCTTTACAGAATACTGTTCAAGTCCTGAGAGGCTCTAAAAAAAATTTAAAATGCATAATTTGAAAAATATATTTCAAACAACACAGAAGATCAAATATACTTCTAAAAGCAGGATACATTACAACTAAAGCTAAAATTTGTTTATAGAGTAAAATATTAAACACCCACTTCTCCAAATGTAGATATTTGACGAGCTAGCTCAATTTCTACAGATCCTGCGCCTGAAACTATTCTACTATCCTGTTGATAAAAATAAAAAGGCTGTTATATTGTACACATTTTTTGGAATAAAAAATAAAATTTAAAAAAAAAAACAACCTTTAAAATTGAGCTACCTTAGTTAAGGCTTTAAATGTGTTAACACCATCATCTACAGCTCGCTCAATGTCATCCATGATGTTTTCGGTGGAACCACGAATTACTACTGTGGCGATTGGTGATTCTTTTTGATCTGCATTTTGTTAGTATCAGAATGAAATTTGAACAATTTAACACGCAATTTTTATTATTATAAGAAGTGCTGAACTGACTAAAAAATCCAACCAAGTGGAGATAATTTTGTAGGTGCAAATCTAAAATTTAAGCACAACTATATTGGATATAAATAATATAAATATAAGGTTTAATATTTGTTTTCTACCTTGCTTAAAAGTTATGACAGGTGTATCACCAACTTCATCTACAAGCACACTATCACAATATCCACATTCTTCTGTAGTTGGCGCAGTCTTGAAGAAAGAAAAAAAATTGGTATATATATTTAATAGTTTAAATTAATTATAAAATCTTAGGCAAAAAAAAAAAGTAAATTAAACAATTACTCTTAACAGATATAATACAAATAATTACAATCTTTGGTAATGCTGTAGCTCCGATAGATTTGCAGAGGCGTCGCACATCCCACTTTGATAATAATCTGACGACCATAAGTTTATACTTGTTTGCATAGTGTAGGGCAAGATCCCCAACTTTGCCACCAGTAACAATAACATTTACTCCAGAGTCAGCAATTTCTTTTATTTGCTGTTTAATAAAGAAATTACATTAGAAATATTCCAAAAAATAAATGGATATGTGTTTATATATATAAAAAAAAATCTAACCTCCTCCATTAAGTTTTCTTCTCCTTTGCTAAAACTAAGAAGCTCATCAGCATTTTTTATTAACACTGTGCCCTATATAGGATGAAGCAAAACAGTATTAATTATATAATGACCATATTTAAACCTATACATGTGCAAGCTAAAAACTTTAAAAGGTTGAAGCATTGACAACCTAGTTAAAAGACAGAAATGTAAAAAAAAAAAAAACCATTAAAAATGTATTTCACTACCTTTGTCTCAGTCTGCATGGAGTCAAGTGGACAAGAAAACACAACAACTTTGGCCTTATCAACTTTAGTAACATCCCCTTCAACCAGACGTTTGAAGACCATACCTTGAACAACAGTGCTTTGCAAAATACCTGCGCCCTTTGGATTGAAGTAACAATAATTAGAAATTGCAAAATGGCTAAAGCTAGTAGAAAACCTGATGTGAAGAATTACATACCAAAATTTTGCACACTCGAATATTATCAACGTTGAAGCTTATTTTCTCTGGAAGAATTGAAACTGAAAAACAATTTTTCAGATGTAACCGTTAAATTATTACTTATGTAAAAATCCTTTCAAGGATACTAAATAATGGAACACCAAATGCACTCAAAAATAACTAACGACAGCCAAAGTAAATAAGTAAATGTTTTAAAAAATTAATAAAATCTAATTACTGCAAGCATCAGTAATAATTCCAGCTAGGAAATCTTCATTCCCATATTGTTTACTCATAATAGCAGAGCGGACTGCAGGTAAAGCTTCCTCTTTGTTACGTAAATTCTTTATATTGCCCAAAGAAAGCCCTGTAATAAAAAATAATAATTATAGGGTATTGCATAAAATCCAAACAATTTTTAAACTATTTTACTGCATAAGAAGTTAATATTGAATTAGATCAATGGTGTCTAATTGTTGATTTAATAATTGTAATTATTAAAGTATGGTAAAAAATATTCTTTACCTGGGAGGATATCTAAGGCTTTCTTTAAAGCCATTTCATAGCCCTCTGTTACTTCTGCTACTGAAAGACCCTAGTCAACAGAGAATGACAAAAGTTTCAAGGTAATTGCTTGATGAAAAGCATACAAAAAGAAAATGTTCAAGGTAACAGCAACTTTACCATTTTTAACAGTTCCTCTGCATTTTCCAACAGAGCTCCAGCAAATCCGAGTACAAAGTTAGTCCCATCTCCACATTCCTGTTCTTGCTGCTGAGATGCCATAACAAGGATTTTGGCAGCTGGATGCTCAACTTCAAGCTCCCGTAAAATTGTCGCAGCATCATTTGTGATGAACAATTTTTCAAGGTGGTTGATAACAATTTTGTTTTGGCCTAAATAAAATTGCAAAATTATCTTAACAATATGATTTTCAAACTGAGTGAGTAAGAATGTAAGGTCTTAAAACACTTCATTAAACACATTGAATATTAAAAATATATACCATGAGGACCAAATGCAGAAATAGTTGTTTTTGCCAACTCCTTGCAAGCATCAATATTCCTGTACACTGCTTCTTCAAGGCCACTAAAATGCTGTAAATAGGGCATCAATTAAGTTTTTAAATAATCTTAGAAAAAAAATACAAAGGATAAGCACACTTAAAAATAAGTTAGCACAATGTCAGTTTTCATAGTGATTATATAAAGTGGAGTGTTTTTTGTGACTCTGGTCAATAGGTCTACTAAGAGAAACAGCTCTTCAAACCAGCATTTAGCAAAATTTAGTTAGTCTTTCCCTTATTGCGCTAGGCTACTCACCAAAATTGATATTCTGATGAGAAATTCTTGTGTTGAAAATTACCTTCAACATTTTGTTAAAAAATACAATACTCATATAAAAACTACTTAGTCAAAGCAGCTTTTGATTTTAATTAGAATAATTTAGATCTGTGAGATACTGAATCAAAATGGATATTGGGAATTCCTTAAAATTTAGTAGGCCTACTTAGAAAACAAACCCTGTTAAAAGTTCAATCAAGCTTTTTCATAATTCTATTGCTTAGTGCAAGGCCTGTAATTAAAAGATCTAAAACAAATATAGATATAGAATCTTGACAAGTTGTCCAGACAGTGAGAATAAAAATGAATCAGATAATTTAAAAAAAAAATAGATTAGTCTTTTTAATCTGACCTAGATAAAGAGTAAAACTCCATTTTAGCATATTTTTTGCAGCATCATGTTCACCTCCAGATGAGCGTTTTTTTTTTTTAAATAAGCACAACAAAAACTATAGGAAACATTTCTTCATATGTTACGAGTTTTTAAGTCTTAGTTAATGATAAATTTTTCAAAAAAAAAATCCAAAATTTATAATAACAAATGTGCACATTTTAGGCCTAGCTGTTTCTATTAATACTCTTGAAAGTATGTGTTAGTTAAAATTTTCATTGCCATTGGTAATGGGCCAAAAAATTAGCCTAATTAAAACTGTAGTGCTGGGCCTATTTCTTATTTATTTTACAATTTTGAAGTTATTCTAAGTTTTTTACCTCTCCTAATTAAAACACAATTTCATTTTTTTAAAAGTAGAATCTTATCCAGTGTTTTCCTAGTGTTTAGGCCTATGTGTCTTTTGGTGGTGTTTAAAACAAAATGAAAATATGCTCTACTAGAAGTGGATGAAAAACATAAGCATGGAATAAAAATTGAGATGTATAAATCCTAGATTAGCTAGTAGTAGACTGTACCGTGTACCTTTATCAAAACCGTAAATTACATCTAACCCTGATATGTCACACTTCGGTTTTTTATGTTTATTTTGAGGGTACTATCTACGACAAATGAAAAAACTGTTAATCACATGAAATCTCATAATTATTCTAATACGGGACGCTAAGGACATGGATACTTATGAATAATTAACATGATTAATTATATTAATGTTTTTTTCCTTTTTCCAAAATCCCCCCCTATGCGACATTTTTAGTAGCATTACGTCATTGTTACGCTAGTTGTCAGATAGGAACAACTAATCTTTGTTTTTTGCAGATTAAAGTATAGTGCCTAGGTAATTTTATTGAGTATATTGATGGTTTTTTTCTTCACTTTATGTAGGCCAACTGCACTGAACATCATTCGTGTTGTGGCCGGTTGTTAACCTTGTAAATACTAAATACTTTGTGGCCTACCCGACTATCAAAGTAAAAAAGCCAATGTTATCATAAATGACATGACATCAAGCTAAGAATAGAGAAAACAAACCAACGCTAAACGTAGCTTTCTGACCTTTTTTGATGGCGAAAAGAGTTTCAAAGAGTTTTGTATCTTAAGCTAAGCAGTAATCAGGGGGTAGTTTTGGTTTTCTTGGCCCCTGAGTAAGCTATACCATTAAATTTGGTCTCAAATTAACTCGTAAGTCAGGGGTCTCCAAACTACGGCCCGCTGGCCGGATGCGGCCTGCGAAGTCCTCTCATCCGGCCCGCGGAGATCTTTTTGTCCAAGGAAAAATCGTTTGTTGGTGATGGCTGAGGGACTTTGCCCAGAAAAATCAAAGACATGCCTGAGAGAAACTGGCTCCCGAACTGTAATTTGATAGTTAATCCGGCCCTCGGACTGAAAAGTTTGGAGACCCCTGTCGTAAGTTATATGGTTTGTAATGGTGTACTGAGTACTGGGTAAAACTCCATTTCAGCGTATTTTATTCTCCGTTGCTTGTTTACCTCCAGTTGAGCGTATTTTATTATAACAACCGAAACACACCAAAACATTAGGAAAACACGATTTATTTTTTGTATTGTATTTTTGTTTTAGCAAATAAATAAAAATGAATATTTAAAAAAACACGACTTGTTTATTTGTATATTTTTTTAAAAAAAGGCATTTGTCTCATGGTGAAACTGATACACTGTTAATCATTCTGTTTTATATTTTTGTATTTATGCAATAAATGTACCAACTCTGTGTTTTTTAATTTGACAGTTTTGCTAAAACTGAAAAAAATTTTTACTATAGAGTTGTATGTTATTTAAATTCATAGTAAATCTACCATCCTTCCCTTTTTTGTATGAGTAAATTTCTGACTTTAAAAAAAATTGATGTGGGGTCGTCCATAAATGACGTCACACTCGTAAGGGAGAGGGGGGTCAGCAATTTTGTGACGATGTGTGATGAGGGGGAGGGGGTGGGGTTTCAGATGGTGTGACGTCCCTTTTTGCATTATAAAAAAGCAATGTTAGAAAAACAAGTTTTAGCCGTTATTTCGCGTTTTAGAAAACGGTTTTAATAAATTGTAATATGAATTAATCAAAATACTCTATGTTGACAGAGTGCTGACAAGATTTTGGAAAAATTATCGATGTTTTAAGAAAAATTCAACAGAAATTTTGAGGGGGGGGGGGTTGTAGGCTGAGGTGTGACGTCATTTTAGGGGGGGGGGGTCTGACTTTTTGTGACGACGTGTAACGGAGGGGAGGGGGGAGGTAAAAATCGTAAAAAAGCGTGTCGTCACAAAAAGCAAGACCCCCCCCCCAAATGACGTAGCACCATCTGACCCCCCCCCCCCCCCCCCCTCATCACACACCGTCACAAAATTACCCCCCCCCCCTCCCCCTACGTGTGTGACGTCATTTATGGACGACCTCTAACATTATTTTTTTAAAAATGACAACGTGAGTTGTCACACTTTCTCTAACACTCCAAGCCATCCCTCACCAAATTCCACCCCCCCCCCCCCCTCGGCCCACTTTCGGCAGCATCATTGTGCCTTTTAATACTTTTATTCAGTTTAGTTGAAATTGGAACACTTAATTGTACAAAGTGTGCATCTCTATTTTTGTAACCAACAAACAAAGCACTTCAGTCAGTCTCTTTGTTGTTTTTTATTCATTTGTTAAAACAAAAATACAATACAAATAAATAAGTCGTGTTTTTTAAACATTCATTTTATTCATTTGTGAAAACAGAAATACAATACAAAAAATAAATCGTGTTTTCCTAATGTTTTGGTGTGTTTCGGTTGTTATAATAAAATACGCTCAACTGGAGGTAAACAAGCAACGGAGAATAAAATACGCTGAAATGGAGTTTTACCGAGTACTGTATGAGTATGTTGAATGTTGTATGATAAGTGACAGAAAATTTTAATTTAAAAAAAGGCCTAATGAGAAAATCTACTTGGTTGAGTCTAGTTCTAGAATATTCTAGTCTAGATTAGATCTGGATAAATTTGAAAAAAAATAGAGAACGATTGGGACTAGCTGTATAAATAGACGAGTTCTTATACTAATCATAGAGCTTGGATCTAGAAATCTAGAGGTCGTCTACTTTGCCCATTCAACTGGCTAAGGAATGTTCTCGAGAGAACCAATACTTGCTGTCTCCAGCGAAGCGATGCATGGATACCGGCATGTTGCAGTGTCGCTATTAAAAGCATTAGGTAGATCAGACTTTCTATTTTTAACACAGTTGGTGTAAAAATAAACAAAATATTATATTTCAACATTTTTGAGCATTTTACCTTCGCTCCTTCTTTCATCATTTGGGCAAAGCCCGGGGCTCGTGGTACGTGAAGCGCCATGTTTGTTGATGCCGTATCCCAGAATGCTAGTCGCCTATCTATTTTTTCTAGGCTATATTTTTACAAGTGACCGATGGCGCATGTGCAAGGACATTGGGCCGAAGAAGTACTTCCAGGACTGTAATAATAAATTAGGAACAGGAAAGTGGTGTCAGTCAAGGAGTGAAAAAGATCGGATTTGTAGACAATAATCAAAAACAAATTAATGACTGTTGTCTGGTAAAGACTATGAAGAGGCCGCGGAATGTTGACTGCGGAAAGATTCGGCGTCCGCTGAAAAGAAGTAAAATAACAGATGGTATCTACGGAAGGTAGGTTGCGGATGTAGTCTAACTTTTACTATTCTACAAATACAATATTATTTGTCAATGTTTGTTTAGTTTGTGAGTGTGTATTCTTGGTGTTTGTATTGTTTTCATCTCATAATGAATGTTCTGATAGTGACGAGTAAATCAGCTATTTTAATATTTCAATTAGGCCTTAAATCTAGATTCTAGATTTCAAATCTATAGGCTTAGTCTAGATTCTAGAATCTAGATTCTAGATCTATTCTAAATTTCTATTCTACTATTAGGGATTTAGGTAAAAAAACACTAGAGGAGTTTACACTTTTCGGACACACACCAAAAATTACGTAGGACCGAACACTTCGTCGGTTTTTGGCTCATAGAAACTTTAATTAGCATGTCTCACGCGAAACCACGGCGCCTGCACGTAAACTGTTCATTTATGAACACTTCCGTGTCAAGTACTTCCGTTTCCTTTCTCAAGAATTATTTTTAGAAATTTTTTAACGTTGCATGGTACGCACATTTCTATTTTTACACCCGCCGGATGAAGTGACCTAGGGTTGGACTTAGGGGCAAAACTTGAACCAATCACTGCTTAGCTAAAAGGTTACACTATAAATAGCTTCTATATATGTATGGAACATCGTAAATGTCAAGGTTAATGGGTTTTTTCGTGCTTGAACAATAAAAAAGGGGTGTTCGCTAACTTATTTGGCCTTACATGGGATCGGACAGCAACACAAAAATATTATTAAATAAGAATTTAGAGCATAAAAGGGGCTGGTTATTGAAGGGAAAGGGTCAAAATAAGGTCAAGAAGGCAGTGGAATGCAAAAGAGGAGGGGGAATCATGTGACCTGGCTGGCTTAGCAGCGTACTGCGCGAGCCGCAATGGCTGAATGGGATGAACTTTGGGAGTGTGGGAAAAAGGTTTTATACTATTAAAATTACCTCACAAACAATCAATAACACAATATAAATGCATATAATATATGTTTTTATTCATTAAATTGACTTTAAATTATTCTAAATGAACAAAAAGTGCTATGTCCGATGACGGGTAAAGGTGTCCGAACACATGTAAAACTGTATTACATGTGTTCGAACACACGTTAAGACCCCCCAGCCACTATAACAAGAATAGCTTAAGTTCTATGCGTATGAATACAAAATGACACACACATTATTAAAGTAGAATGGTTGCGGATAGATATGATACTTTTTTTTGTTTTCTATGTTAAGCGGTTACTGAATGAGACCGCATGGAATTTTTACGTTGCGTTTTTTCGCTATGTGTGTCCGAAAAGTGTAAGCTCCTCTAATCATCATATAAAAATTACATATTCTTGTAGAGCTCAACTATATGAAAACAAAACAAAAAAAATTTTCTGTCTAGCTCAAATAGTTTTTTTTTGGCGAATTTTTTTTGTGAGGGGTGCAATCCCCTTGCTTTTGCATTGGCCAATTGTGACAAGTCATGGTATACCTGAATAAATTGAGCATAGTTATTTTACTTGCAGTTGTATTTTGTTCATATTTGCAGAGTTTAACTAGAATGATATATAGAACTTGTAAATGCTGTTGAAATTAATAAAAATAATACAGAACTTATATTTTTGTGTTGGCTTCCTCCCATAACCCCAAAAAACTGTGTGCTGCGCAAATATGAAAATGTTTCTAAAGCCCTATTTTATATAAATACAGCAAATGAAAGAACTACAAAGTTAGAAATCTAAAGTAAATGACTTGAACACTGTTATGTGCATATAACTGCCTCATTATTTTGGGCAGGTGAAGTAGAGTCCATCTTTAAGCCATTTTGTTATAAAACTGCTGCTCAAATATGAAAATGTTTCTAAAGCAATATTTTATATAAATACAGTGAATGAAAGAACTCCATAGTCAGAAATCTAAAGTAAATGACTTGAACACTGTAATGTGTCTATAACTGCCTTGTTATTTTGGGGAGGTGAAGTAGAGTCCATATAAAAGCCAAATTTTAATAAGTGAAATGAAGTTATCAGATCAATGTTTTTATGTGTGAATTGTGTATGGATTCTGATTTTCAGCATATAACTATATCTAAGGGTAAGTAGAACTTGAATACTTAAAATTACAGTTAGCACAATGCTAGTGTATAGCAACAGACAGGTAACCTAGATCTAGGTCTGACTCTTGTCAGTCTAGAGTCTGGTCTGACAAAATTGGATTTTTAGGAAAAACATATTCTGCAAAACTAGAACTAGAGCTGAAAAAATTAAAGATGGGTATGTAAATATATTTTGAAATAAAAAGTTAGATTTGTTTGCACATGCCATAAGAATGCTGTTATTAGTTGATCAAACTTAAAGGCAGGAAGATCGGGATGAAAAAATATAACAATGGTGGCAGCGTGACCTACATACAGTGACTACGTTCGGAGGGGTATAACTAATGTCGGAGTCAAAATATCCAAAAACAAATTTCATTTCCAGTTACTTAAGATATGTCTGATCAGTAATCTACTCTCATCTAGAGGAATCTTTTAAAAAATCGAGATTCCAACGTATTTGAAACTAACCTTGATACAGAGGGAAGACCAAAGCAGAGACAGCATGCAATCAGGTCGCAAAGCCATTAAAACTAAGGGACAACCACTCTACTTTTTAATTAACCTTAGGAAATGACCTTTTAAACTTAATTAATTATCATAAATTAAAAACTTATTAGTATGCAAAACCAAATCTCGTGGGTCCGGTATCAGAAAGTAATGGGCGATTTCGGGTCATGTTTTTACCGCGAACTCGGCGGATGCCGACAACCCTACTACTATAATATAATAGTTTTCCTGTCTGTGTATCTAACATCTATCTATCTGTCTGACAAGAACGCTATAGAGAAAACACAAGCAAATTAAAAACATGCATAGTGAAACGGAAGCGAAACATGACGTCACATTGAGTAGGCCCTATATAGCAAAAAATTGTCTCAAGCCGGGAAAGTGCATAGAATAATAATAATATGACGTCATTGATTCTCGAGTAAACATTGAATTAAAAAGCCAATTTTGTCTAATCTTAAAAGTGGTTTGTGTGAAGAGTTTCTTTCATACAATTCTTCAGGTAGGGGCGAAGCCCTCCCCCGGTAGAACATCAAAGCCGCCTTCCCACCCCCCACCCCCCAACTCAAAAGATATGACGTCATCGATACTCTATAATAAAAAAGACTGACATTACGGCATAATTAATGTGTATAAACATAAAAGTGTTTTGCATTTAGAGTTTCTTTCATAGATTTCTTCGGGTAGTGGCTAAGCGCGACACCAGTTTTTCTTTCAGACTTTTTCCTCCGAGGAGAGGGCAACTTAAAATTTTCTAATCTAAAAAGTGTTATGCAAACAGCACAGTTTCTACCGTTAGTTTGATTGATCTACAAATGCGACCAGTGTTTCTTTCACTTTTTCATCCCCGGAGAGGATAGACTTAGAGATCGGTGATTTTTTTATTAAGATGTGATTTTGATATACTTTTATATTTATAACAAAATGTCCTAACTGGAGTTTATGTTCATATATATTATTAAATGCAACATAATACTTGAAAAAAGGTCTTGGTAAATATTTTTTGAATGTCCACTTGAATGGTTCTAAGCATAAATTCAGTTTTTTAAAGCAGATTTTTTCCGTGTTATCATGTCACTGTTAGTCATACCTTTAGAGATATATTTTTTTTTAAATGCACATGCACACGATTTGGTCACAACTCATGACAATGGTCATACACAGTGTGTCAGGGTAATGCTAGGATACTCAAAATGAGACATCTTTTAATTGCTTGTGTATCCTTTCTGTTTTAGTTATTATAAAATCTTTTATACACCTACAATGTTGACATAAATGTCAGGTCAGTGGTTTATGCTGTACTTCTAAATTTTAATGGCTTTTGAATTTACTAAAAATTAGATAGTAAGTAGTCTAATTATAAGTAGCAGATATTTTCTTTTGGGCTCACATTTGCTTAAAAGTAAAAAGTGATGCATTCAATCTTGCTTTTCTATTTTTGTCTTTTTCGCACACACTGTTAAATTTTACTCCAAGCATATTTTAATCCTGATTTTTTTTATTTCAGGATCTATTGTTATCCATAATATTAGCTTTATCATTTAAGTGTGGTTTATTGTCTTTAGCTGCACAATCTTTTTTAACTGACCCAATTTCATATTGGAAAAATAATACTTCTGTTTTTTCTCTTCTCAGCACTTTCCTTTACTTGAGGTTTCTCCTAGTTTGGGCGCTTGTTCTCATGGCGGATTTTATCTTGGAGTTCAGATTTGAGTACCTGTGGCCTTTTTGGTTGCTTCTCAGGAGTGTTTATGACTCTTTCAAGTATCAAGGATTGGTAAGTGCTCTTGATGAACTTTAATACATATTTTGTCTCTTTTTTTGTTTTATCTATTCACTAATGTTTTCTTGTTGACAAAGCTACATCTATACTAACAATTTAAGAAATAATTTATGCCTTTAAACAAATCTACAGCTGTTATCATCTATAATAATAGTTTCGCTGTCTGTGTATCTATCTATGTATCTGACAAGAACGCTCACACCCCAGCGTAAGAACGTCTGAGCCTCCCCAACTCAAAAGAAATTTCTTCATCGATACTCTATAATAAAATTACCGCCTAATTAATGTGTCTAATCTAAAAAGTGTTTTTCTTGCAATTTTTTTAATGCAATTCTTCGGGTAGTGGCTAAGCGCGACACCAGTGTTTCTTTCAGACTTTTTCCTCCCCGGAGGGGGGAACTTTTTCTAATCTAAAAAGTGTTTAGCGTGCAGTTTTTTTTTTTCAAGCATCTCTTCCGGTAAGGGCGAAGCCCCGCCCAGATTCTTCCTTTAGTTTGTATGATCTACAAATGCTACCAGTGTTTCTTTCAGACTTTTTCCTCCCTGGAGAGGGGTGGGGGTACTTGAAATTTTCGGGGGCAGGGGTAGAATTTTCTGGGAGGGGGCGGACACTGGAAAAAGTATAATATTATATTTCGTTGAATGGGACGGTAGACATGTTTTGGAGTGTGTGTGTCAAAGTCACCGAAACAGGTGAACTCTACTTCACCTGTCTCATGGACCATAAGGTTTGAAATGGTACTTTTTACTTTTATATACACTACATTAAAACTATGTGAGTAAATTTTCAATAGCAACTCCAACTCCTATTATCACTCTGCAAATTTATAAGGGAGACTAAATAATAGCTAGGTTGTTGCTTAACCTACTTTTTTAAGCTGTTGCTTAATAATGGTTACCGGAAAAGATTAACCCACCTTTTGTTTTAAAAATAAAATTGAGCAATCATTTCCAGACTGTATATTGTAATTAGTTTTATCAAGCAAGTTCTACAGTAATCCTGACTAGATTATAACAATGAATGTTTAGTGTTGCCATGCACTTTCCATCTGATATTTATTCATTTATTACAAGGTAGCTGAAGATAATATAAAATTAACATCCTTGTATCATTGGTCAGTGATGAAAAATTTAATGCCCTGTCAAAGTAAACTAATTTTAAATTTTAATTCTAGCCATTTAGTAATGGACACATTTTTTCTAAAATAAAAGCATTTTCTAGCTACTGATTTGTTTTGATAATTAAAATTGGTATCAGATTTAATGGTATTTAAATGTAGTTTTTAATTGTTTAAGTAATCTTAAATAACAATAATAAAGTATAAAATATTAGGCGACAACCTAATAATTACAGCTATTTTCATTATATTTAAAATTCTTTTAAGGTAGTTTCTGCAGGTCAAAGTGCCTAAGTACACACAACTTTCAGTGGCGCTCCCTAAATGTTGTTAGCAATCAATATCTATAAAATGGCCTTTTACCCAAAGCTGTCTTCTCTTGCTTTATCATTAGTTGCCACAAACCTCTCAAAAAGATAGTGGTTAGAAAGCAATACAGTATAATGTTTTCATTACATTTGTCTTGTATCAGGATTTTTCATCACCTCTTTTGTATTACTTAATGCATATTAGTTGTGGGCTTTAAGATGGTTGTAACTGTTGTGCAATAAGAAAGAAATTGTAAATATATAAGTTATCGTCTTTAATGGTTACAGAGCCACATCACTTTAACAGGCTTGACCTCTTTCTGTTAAGTTTGACTTTTTTTTTTGCTAGCAACAATCTTTTGTTATTGGGTTTTTGCTAATTGTGATTTGAGGAGAAAGTGATTCTTATAGGTCTGTATTTTATTTAAATCAGCTCTATGGATACATAGTATTGCATGGGGAGGGAGTGATGATGATATTCATAAAAAAGAGCTGCTGGATTCAAGAGATAATGTCTTTCAAAAATGTGTATAAGAATGGGCTTAATTTGTATGGTCTTGTAACTGCTGTATGTGTATTTGGCTGGTTTTCACCATAAATATTTGGATATATTCACAATAGCTCTCTTATTATTATAAACTTTGTAACTTGGATCTGATATTATGTATTTTTAAAACTCAAACTTATTTAAATGCTTGGAGTTGTTAACCCACCTGTGATGGACATCCTAGTTATAGTGCAAGATGCACATGCTACACATTAGGTTTTATTTTTTATTTTTTTGCTCTTAAATGCTCCTCCCTCCCATTTTTTTACATTTAGCACCAGGTTTTTTATTTTACAAAAGTCTTACTATTTGAATCATTTTTAACTATAATCTTTAAGCTAAAACATTTTTAGTTCTTTAGTCCTGATTTCTTTGTACACATGCTGTGTACAACCCCCCCCCCCCCCCCAATTCTTTACACCCCCTCCCCTGCTTTCCCTTTTCTCTTCTTGTGTTGTACTTAGACCTGATTATGTCACTTGCTGGGTTTTTTTTTATGAATAGGCAGAAGTGGCAGGCTAGCAGATGTTTAACTCTCTCTTTCTTCTCTCCCCTGCACCCTTGATTAAAATCAGCTGTCTAATTTTTTTTAAAAGATAGCAATCTTGTATTTTTAAAATTACTCAGTGCTACACTTAAAAAGTATTGAGTGTTCCTTTTTTTTCACGAAGTTTTTCTTTTAAAAAAATTCCCCATTATTTTCAAAAAACCAGATGAAGACATTAAATTCTTTAAAGAAGTTTAAAATTAAATAAATAAAGTTTGCTGAGGCTCATGTTATGGTAGTACTATAGAACATACTTTTTCATCCTGAAAATTATAAATATTTCATTTTAGAAATAAAGCCACCTTGAGCTATAATATAGTTTATTTTCCACTTGACATACATCTAGGCTGTTACTGTAGTTACTATATTTCTACAGAATAATAAAATGACTTAAATAAAATATATATTTTTACATAATCAAAATCTTTATACCAATAGTTGAAGACAAGTTTAATTACAGCTATTTATTCATTGTAATTTCCCTCACCAGGCTTTCTCTGTGTTCTTTGTGTGCATAGCGATAACATCAGATGTCATCTGCTACCTGTTTATACCAGTGCAGTGGCTGTTTTTTGCTGCCAGCACATACGTTTGGGTGCAGTATGTGTGGCACACAGGTAATTGTAAAATACTCAAGTAGCCATGTTGCTTAAGCACGTGTTGCTAGATATTTTGAAGGGCACTGTCTTGTCTAATGCATCAATGAAACAGCTTGGTGTAAATATTTAGACACATGAATGAAAAAGTTTATCTAACTATTATGACACAAATGAAAAAAATTATAAATATATTTCTAATTTATTTTCAATCTTCTATAACTAAAGTTGGATTACACTTGTTTTTAGAGAAATTTTAATCTATAGCCCCATATGTATATATATATATATATATATATATATATATATATATATATATATATATATATATATATATATATATATATATATATATATATATATATATATATACTAGCTGCATACCCTTGCTCCGCCACGGTAAATCTTTTTTAAATGTACCAACTTCAGAACAAAACAAACAAATACACAACCACAACACGCTTTCCTAGGCGTCTGCGCCCAAAGAGAGCCTTTCCAGCATAAAAAACAAACAAAAACACAGCACAAACAAAACACAATCACATTTATATATAGACAGGTGATCAGAAATTTTTAATGGTTAAAAAGTATCAGATTTAAAAAAAAATGATAGTAGCTGTAGAAATTAACTAGTTTAAACAAAAGGATTATCTGATGCTTTCTTTGTGCCATTAAAAAAACAAGTGTTAATTAATTAATATTGCTTCTTACTGCTGTTGATTTAGTCTTTTGTTTATCATCTTCAGAAAGGGGCATATGTCTTCCTACAGTTTCTTTATGGCTGCTGTTTGTTTACATTGAAGCATCCATACGACTTAGGGAGTTAAAGAGCTTACCATTTAATTTAGACCTTTGTAGACCTTTTGCTTGTCATTGGTAAGTTAATCATCAACCTTTTTTTGTATATTTAGATTTGGATTCTAGTTCTAGAACTTAGTCAGATGTGTGAATTTAACTTTCTGTTCCATTTTATTTTTCTTGATGTATCAAACTTTAAATTCATTTTCTCCAGCATTGGGTATCCAGTTGTTACCTTGGGGTTTGGTTTCAAAAGTTACGTTTCTTATAGGATGAGATTGGTAAGTATTACTATATCATGTTATTTAATTCTGGCTTAATATTTATAAAAATGCACTTATCAGTCATATTCATATATTCTGCTATAAGCATAATGCAAACATCATTTCTTTAAATATTTTAAATATTTGTTTCACCGGTATTATTAATTTGTGTCTTTCATACAAAGAAATCATAAATGGATAGGAAAAACCTTGTTCAGTGTTTTAAGTTGTGTTGATCATACATGTTTCACAAGTGTCTTCACTAGTTTACTATAAGTTACTCATGCTCTGATTTTAAAAAACTTAACAGCGTCGACAAAAAGTTATACAGAAAGAAAATGATTTTTACCTTCAAATTTTACAACAAGCACTACCTGCTGAAGTTCAGTATGCTGACAAACCTAAAGGTATTTGAAAGTTTAACTTTTGTCAATGACTCAATGTCCTGTACCTGTATTTACAGTGCTTCTCCAATTCTAAACTTATCATGTTTTTTTTTCAGCTTTACCATCCAAGGCAGACGAGGACGTAATCTCAAATGGTGTATCCAGCTCAAATAAAAAAGTTTCTTTGTCAAAATTAGATGATGAAAAAGACTCATCTTCGCCTGTTTGTTCTGTTAAAACGAAATCTAAAGGTGGTGATATTAATGAAGATGATGAAATCGAGTATATAGAAAAAAGCTTGCCTCGTAAGCCATCTAATGTCAATCAATTTGACGAAAATTCTGACAATTTTACCAATGAACAGCAGGTTAGCAAAGGGTTTAAATCAGGAAACAGCAGTGTTGCTGCAGCGGTGGCTGTGGCGGCAGCTTCAGCTATCCCTGTACCCTCCAACAAAACTAGTAGTAAACAGTTAAACAGCTCTAAGGACAGTGGTTTGTCTAGTACCACTTCTTCTAATTCATCTTTGACACATCCGCCATCTTCGTCCTCTACAAAAAAAGGAAAAAATATGTACAGAGAGCTTCAGCCTTCACCTTCGCCCTTGTCTTATACAAATAACAAAGAAGAAGTTATTCAGAGGTAGGTGATGCAGATTGTATTTGTTTTTAGTTTTATGAGTCTTTTATGTTTAGAGTAAGGTTTTTTTATCGGATTATATGTAAAAATAGTAAAAAGCTGCATCTAATAACGTAGTACTTGCTTAGTTCCCTAATGCTGATATTTTATTTAACGTCTCAACGCTAAAGCATTGATTTTAAAAAATAAGAATGTCCATTGTCATTTTAAACTGTAATTGCCCTGAAAATTAATTAAATGCTTAGGTTTGTTTTTTTTTAAGGCTTGTTTTACCATGTTTCCTTTTATCCAAAATATTGTGACTTATTTCATAGGTTAGCACTTCCTACTTACAAGATTAAAAACATTTTAAAGATAACTGCTATACTTTCTATTGAAATTGTTAATTATGAACTGTACTTAAATCTAGCTTTTATTTATCTGAAATTTCTTTTTTTTTTTTTTGGTACATCTTTTTATTCAGATTTTGCTATATTTCCTTTCAGTGTTATAAATTGGCCTAATTCATGGTGTTTTTGTTTCTTTTTCTGGTGGTGTTTGTATAATGCAGTATTTTTGGGTTTCCATCATTTCTAAATAAATGTATCAATATACATGTCGTTTGGAGCGGTAGTCAATCCTCCAACTTTATCAGACCACATGGGAGTGGAGTTTTCATGGTCTTAATCCTCAGTCATTTTGTGAGCATGAAAATGGAAGACTAAAACAAAATTCTTATTTTGTTGTTGGCCTTACACTTACACAGTATCTTTAGCATCTGTTTCCTAAATGTCTGATCACTTTGTTCCCCTGAGTATAAAGTCTATTTGCAATCCCCTTTTCTTTCTGTTTAGATTATAGTTCCATCTTTTCACTTCTTCATAGCAAGTGTTATTGCTACTCTAAAAGGTTATTCCTTTTGTTGCAGGGTTGTAATGTTGCTGTAAAATTAATGTAATTATGCCAGTTTTTGAATAAAAAATACCTATTTTATGTAGTTAATTTCTAATTATTTTCCTCTATGGTATTCAAACTATCTTAAAAAATTGACTAAAACTATTTCTGTTTGTCTGTTTTTCATTCAGATAATTGTAGATCTAAATTCCTATTTCAGATTAGAATCAGATGTTAAAAAGTTAAAAGCAGATCTGCAAGCTAGCCGGAACTCAGAACATGAATTGCGCTCTCAAATCAGCAGTTCTTCTTCAGAGGAAAAAGCGATGCGTTCAGAATTATATCAGCTTCAACAGGATAATGAAAATTTACAAAACAAGTGAGTTGAAAGTAAAGCTAATTAGTTTTCAGAGGAGACAACTAGAAAAAAAAACAATTTTAGGGGAGATAACTAGAATAAATAAAATTACAAAGGGAATTGATTTTTATGGTTGTTATAGTCAGCACCAGTAGGAGAGTTCAAACTCTTTACATAATTTTTTTACCAAAAACAAAAATGTTGTAATTTTCTTTTAATGTGTTTTTTCATCCCATATCTAGATTACACAATTTAGTAACATCTCGGCAGCAGGATAGACAGACTATAGCTACATTAGAAAAGAAATTAACAGATGAGAAAAAAGCTAAAGCTGTCTTGGAGCAACAGCTTGCAAATGAGAAGAAAAGTAAAACTGTAGAAGCAGCAGCAGCTGCTAGAGCTGTAGCTATGGCCACTGCAGCAAGGTAAACCTCGTTTGTTTAAAGACATTTTTTTGATTCATTGGCTTACTTTGTTGCTGCAGGTCTAAATATATTTTTATTTAAATTATTACACTTTTTTCTTGCCAGTTGTTATAAAGAGACATTAGTGTGCATCTTTGTCTCTATTATGTTTTCTCCATTTATATGTTTTTTAACAAATTGAAGTCTATATTTTTTGTCACAAAATATTTTGTGATGTATTTTATTTATCTTAATTTATATCTATATATATCATACTGTTCAACAGAGGAGAGTGCACAGATAGTTGTAAAGCCAGACGCAGAGATTTTGATAATGAAATGAAACAGTTACGGCGAGACAACAAACTTCGTGAAGATCAATACAGACAGTTAGAGAGAGAAGTCCAGGTAAATGTGAGTCTTTATTGTAACATTTATAGCTTTAAATATTTTAAACTTTTTAGCTTAAATTGATTTTAAAGTATACATTGTGGTGAAGGCTAATCACCTTTTAATGTGTTTATTCCTTATAATATTTAAACATATTTCAATCTTTTGATATATTCTGTGTCATATGTAACCTAGGCTCTGAGACAATACAAAGATGCACAAAAAGAAACTGAGGTTCTAATGAAAGCGTTATCTACAATGCAAGACAAAAACACAGAATTAGAAAATAATCTTTGCGCAGAAACTCGTTTTAAACAAGAACTGTTTTCAGCTCTGGGCAAAGAAAGAAATGAAATTAAAATTTTACAGAGTAAGTCGCCACTGTAGCTGGATTAATAAATTACATGTTTTTTTTCCTTGTTGCATTTTTCACCCAGTTTATATTTTCATACAAAATTAAACGCAACTGTAATATTTTTTAACAATTACTTTTAGATCTTGTTGCTGAGAAAGATACAGAGATTCTGGAACTGAAGTCCAAAATAGCAGAAGTCATGGCTCTGATACCCAGCCCAGCTGTTACTACATACTCCCACCACTCAAATGAAAGAAACTCCTCCCCCTTGTTCTCCTCCAGCTTCAGCCCAGCTCAGGATAGATCCTCTATGCAGGTCTACAATGGCAATGACCTTGCTTCATCTTCTGAGTTAAACCCAAATGCATCAGATTACAAGCCCAAATCAGTCATCTAATGACTAGACACAGACATGTATACAATGATTACATTTATGTTTTTCTGTCTTTATTTTCTTTCTGTCAGTTGTTATGAAGAGTCAGGTGGTGTCCCTCTTTATCCCTTGTTCACTTTCTCTCCATTTATATCCCTCGACCCGTACTTTTTGTTATACATACCACAAAATGTGGTTGATGTTGCTTTTGAAAAAAGTATAAGTAATGTTAGTTTGAATTTTAATACTACGTTCACAGTATATTTCATGAAGTGTATAGTATTTCTCTTAATTGTAAGAAAATTCTATGTAAGTTGATTTCAAAATTAAGATTGAATCTGTATTTTATTTCACAACCATCAGTGAATGATTCAAGCAGCACAAGACATGACTAAACAGTTCAAACAAGAAATGCCATAAAATACTGGTTTACGCGTGTTAGTTGAAATTCTTCCTTGCTAATCACTCCACTGTTTGATCTTAAAACCACAAAACAAATTGTGTTCTCAGCATTTTCACTGCTGGATAGGTTCAAAGAAAAAGCTAGATTAGTAGATGTTAAGAGTAAAGTTAAAATTTTTATAAGATAGAGTACACTTAAACAATTTTTATAAGACAGCTTTGTTTTTGAAAACTATTTTGGTAATTTTATTATAATTTGCTTTTATTATTTTTTAAATCATTATTATACAAAACTTAAAAAAAGAAAATTCATATCAGCTATTTTTAACCCTAAGATAACTATTTTTGTTTTTAATATTTTTAATGTCAGATTTCTAAAAATTACTAACATAACAATCAATACAATTTTTTGGCTTCAGTTTATTTTATTGCTGTTGCAGAAAAATAATCTCAGTTGTTAACTATTAGCCCTGTTTCTCACAAGCACAAAACTAAACATATACTTTTAAAAGTAATTACATATTTCATCTCTTTTTTTGCATGTGCTAGTACAGTAGAATAATGCAAATTTGTAAAAAAAAAAGTAACTATAGCACATATAGTCTCAAAACATGGTTCAACCATTTTATAAACAGTATGTTTGCAGCCCACCTGCTGAACAATTATTTGTTTCACATCTGGATGGTGCTGTTTTTTTTTTAATCAGTAATTCAAATGACTTAAATAGATATCATTGGTTGCAATTTAAGTCGATTTAAAAAGTCATCTTAATAGTCATATCATATTGATACATAAGATATTAATTGTATGTTATTAACATGTAGTGTCTGACAAATTTATCCTGTGAAAGATATCAGTTTTAATTTTAGATTTGTAAATGGAGTATGATACAATAGTGAAAATATTACTTTGAAATATACAAATTTGACTGTATTTGTTGATTTTATGTTAAAAGCTCTGGTACATTTTATTTGCGCTTCATATAAGGTAGTCTTGCCTTGCACCTTGCCTGATTGTTTTATCTCTACAAGAGCCTAATTTATTTATTTTTCACTTTTTTTTTGACATTTTATTTTAAACAATCTTAAAAAACACAAGAAGTAGATGATAAGAGGTCTAAATGATTAGAAATCTAGATTTTTTTTAAATGCTGAGAAGTTAAATGTAATGCAAAATAAATCTACTACAATAGCAGTTTGATGTAATAGAACTTTTTTGTCCTCCCTGTATGACCTAGTAAGACAGAAAGGATGAATCATGTGATATCATGAGTGTCTAATAGTCTTCAAATCTATCATGCCCATCATATAGTTTACAAGTTAATCTGTAACAGGTAACAACAAACCCCAAACAAATGCAGGGTAACTGAATAGTTTCAGTAATATATTTCATTGTACTTACTCATATTTATTTATAGAAGGAATAGCATTTATTGCTATGTGTGTATTTCTAGTTTGTATTAATAATACCACTGCTGCTGTGTCTAGGTTAGTACCTGAGATGTTTCAAATTTTAATCCCCCATTGTAAAAATAGATCAGGCTTGATTGATCTTGGGTAATTTATTTTTAAATTGATTTCTTGTAAAGTTAAACAAGATATAGAGTTCAGTTGTAAATTTTTAATTTTTCAATTCTTTAATGGGCTTAAAATATCTTCTTGTTGCTACGTAACAAAAAGGAAATATTTTCAGATTAGAATTCAAAACATGTGAAAGTCCTTTCAAGAAAATTATAATATAATTTATGTGACTGAAATCAAGTTCTGCATTAAAGTTTGAGTAATTACATAAGTAGCAAATTCTTCCACTTAAAATCACATTTAATTTCTTAATATGGCAAACTTTTGAAATTAATTAATATTTGGTATTTTTTAAAGGGCATGTAATCAATCCAAAATATTACATTAAGAAATCTAATGTGACTTAAGTGGAAGAATTTGCCACTTGCGTAATCTATTTAATCAGCTGTTAATTTCTTAAGAATAGTGGAGTTGATATCAACATGATTTTCATTGAGCAGGTGTAAAGAAGATAATGGAATAAATATTTAAACACGGGTAGATTATTAGAATAATGGCATTTCATAAAACCTATGACTGACTAAGCAACTACAAACCACATTTTGATTATCTTCATGTTAGTTGTAACTTGTTGGCTTCACATTTCTGTATTATTATATTTTGTGTAACCACTGTCATATTATCAACTTTGTTATATGCTATCTTCTGTTAATTATTTTTTCCAAAATAGATCAGATTATTTTTGTATAGCTAAAGAATTTAGCATTCTCTTTTAAAAATGAATCTTCATGCTTTGAGTTTTAAACTTCCTTTATAGGTATGTTCAAGTAAACTAAATTAAAGGGAGCTAACCTAATATTTTTTTCTGTACTTTTTGAAATTGCTTCAACAATTTTCGGTTGTAACAGTGTTGTAGTACTTTGTTGTGATTCTGATCAGTGAATGTTGTCACCATTGATTTGTTCATTTTGTGCTACAAAAGTTCAAGGGTTTTCAGGTTGTGGAGTAAACAAAGAAACACTGCTAATTTTGATTCAATGTTTAATTACAAACTTGTACAAGATGATTATAAATATAGCCTGTCTCTGCTAATGCTAATTTAAATGCATTTTAAAAACTGTGACCTTAAACAGGTTCATAGTAGAAATAAAACAGCCAGTGCACTGGTGCATACAAATACTTGGTCTTTTTCTTTTTTTAAAAAAGTTTCAGATCTAGATTGTAAAAGGTATAGTTTGGTACTATGGTAACCATGAACACACTGATTTCTGCAGTTTGAATGAATTAAAATTTTTTTAAAAAGTGAGCTAACAAATTGCAGCTAAAGTCTACATAAATATGGGGGTCAGAGGGTAAATCACTAAATCTAACTGCTAACTACAAGCATTTTAATATGCCTCAAGATAAAAGGTTGGAAATTGTATAATTTCAAAAAATTGAGAATTAAACAAAATAACTATCAACTCAATAAATTAAACATAATATCAAACAGTTTTGCATTATTTAAAAAATAAAGTGTAGATAACTTTATTAATTAGATCCTTATGAATTATGAGTCAATGCTTAAATAACGGATATCTAGCGCCATTACAGAATGGTTTTTAAATAGTATGCAGGGCAAATGGCAAAATATCAGGTAGTAAAATTAATGGTTCAACCATAACTATAGACTTGGTGTAGCCATGATTATACTAAGTAAAAAACAGACTTTCCCTTGAGAAATTGTTCACTGAACAAAACAAATATTTAGAAGACATCAAAGAAAGGAAATTCAGCTTTTTCGGGCTGTAACAAGTCAATGAGAAAACACACAGTTCCTGCTAAACCTTCATAGAGGCTGTAAGGGCTATCTGGAGTTCTTGCCTCTGTTTGAAACTGATCAGTGAAAATGAAATTTGCAAACTGCTGTGCTCTGTGCAGGTATTTCTTGTCATTGGTGAGTCTATACAGTAGCAGGAAAACATACCTGTAGATTATAAATTTAAAAAGAAAATCAAACTTTTGTGGTTGTATGGATAATAGGTTAAACAGTTTACAGTTTAGTGTTACTTACCCATTGCCAGCAATACCATGACATGTTCCTGGCCCTTTAGTGAGGAGACCTTTCTGCCAGGTTAGTTCTCCACATTTAATACATGCCTGAAGATACCTCTCATCCTTCCACACATTGTAGGCCTTGGCAAACAAGTAAACAATACCTAAACGAATGCATTACGTTGTTACATTAGTAGCCTCCTTAATTTATTTCATTCCAAATTAAAAAGGAATAACAACTCCCTCTAATTCTTAAGCTAAGTAAATACCTTACTCAAACTGAAAGTTTTTGTAGACTCAGAATATTTTAGATAGTGCAGTTACTATACCAATAAAACTATACCATCATTTAAAAGTTTATTTAAAAAAAAAAACTTATTGTATGTTTAAAACCAAACCACTTAACAAAACTGTACATATTTAAAATTTTCTGGAATCTATATATATAATTCTCTTCTGGGAGACGCTGGAGACGCTAGAAAACAAGCTGTAAGCGCGCCTTGCAGTCCCCTCTCTTCATAACTAGGCATAAATCAAACCCCCCCACCCCCACATGGTCTGGTGAGCTGTGGTTCACGCTAAATGTTTACAATCATAGAGCCGGGTTTAGTGACTCCTATTAGGGGCAGATAATTTAGTTTGAAACTATTTTAAACTTAGGGGAGGTAATTAAGAGGCTGCTTTCACAGGGGGGGTAGGGTAGGGGAAATGGGGGGGGGGGGGGGTATCGTCCTTAACTACCAAATGATTGTATTTTAAAGCAAATATTTTCAGTGGCAGTATTGGTACTGTCGAATTCACAAATTATGAATTACTGAAAAGTAGAAAATAAAAGAACTAAATAGCGGCGTATGATCCGCCGCAGGCCGGCTCTTAATATTTGATGAACCATATTAAGCTTGGTCAGATTCAAAAGATGCTGAGAAACGTCTGTACCTGGTGCTCCGTGACACCAATGCACTAGCTCATCTTTTTCTGACCGGGGATTGGAGACCTCATCCAAAGCAGGAGCAAAATTTCCATTGCGTTGTTGTAAATCTAGCAGCCAGTTAACACTATTTTGAACATCCTGGGCTGCCTGCTTGTTAGCTTGCAAGAATGAGGGACAACTGATTATCATTTGTAAGATGGAAGATATCCCATGTGCAGCACCTGAAGAAATAGTAATTATAGATGTACTAATCCTTTAATTATGAAATATTTAATAAGGTTTTGTTTCATCAAAATTTGTAGAAGTGCTACATTCAAGGGGAGAAAATTCAAATTCAGTAATTCTATTCTAAAGAATGAATACACTAGCTTTCAAAATGTGAGATACACCTATATAGTTCAATGATGGTGATAATATTTATTTGACGAACCAATTAAAGGGTTTTTTTTTTTTTAATTTAAGCTTTTACAGATAATAAATAGTCTTTGAGAAATGATTTGAACATATATGCAATGTTAAAGTGATACATTTCTATAAATAAATAAACAAGTAAAATCAAAACCAACCAAAATAAATCGTGTCATAGTAGGCATATAAAAGAGGAGCTTTAGTCCCATGATGTCTCTGAGCAAAGTCCTTCCCTGACTTCACCATTGTGCTACAGATGTCATTAATTGTTGCATCATCCAAGATCTATCAGAAGAAAATAGTCAATTACAGTCACTGTTATGAAAATATTGTCAAAGTGTTGATGTTGATTTAAGTTATAAAAGAAGAAAAAGATAATTAACCAAACATCACTCAACACTACTTAAATAATTAACAATTAACTGTGCGTGACTTAACAGAAAGTCTAGGGCTACTAACTTTGATGCCAGTCTTCTTCTCTAAATTGTGTACCCCACACAAGTATCCAGCTCGCCCCACAAACAATTCATCAGATCCACAGGAAAGAAACTTTGGCTTCAGGCATTCTTTTGCACATGCCTGATACTTCAAAATGTTCTCTTGCAACAAAGCATCATTTTTCATGGCCTTTCCTAACAGTGCACCTAACACATACAAGCCGGCTGGTCCTAAAATAAAAGACACTTCATCAGCTTTTGAAGAATGCTCCTTTGCTCTGAACCCCATATCTCTTTCATAGATTGATTTAGCCATTTGCAAATACAAAACCTTGTTGTCATGCAGTGGATCATAGTTTGAAATGTAGTAAAGCATGTATGCAACTCCTGCACTTCCAACGTACAGCCCTCCATCAGAAGTGACAGATGATGGCAAAGATTCAGTTATGACTTTAACAAGGGCTATGATCTGTTCAAGCCATTTCTCCTTTGAAATTTCAACATCTTGTCCAGGGCTATAGTCTTTCAGCTTGTTTGGGAAAAATCGTGTCCTTGGTTTAGGCATTTTGATCAAACAAACTATTCACCTGGAATCCAAAATAAATATATATATATAGGCCTATATATGTATATATATATATATATATATATATATATATATATATATATATATATAGCCTAATTCACTTGTTTCTGTGAATTTTATTAAGTAGCCTACTCATCGGACATGGGTGGAATCAAGTCCAGGAACCAAACTCAAGAGGACAACCCATGATCACTTTTATGCTAAGAACCAGTTTTTGTAAGAATGCAATGCATCTTGTTGTGTTGGATTGTATCGTATTGCTGTCTTGCCTACTATAGTAATAGTAGTATGTTTAATGTTAGGGGTCATCCATAAATGACGCCACACTGGTAGGGGGGAGGGGGTCCGTTATTTTGTGACAATGTGTGATGAGGGGGAGGGGGGGGGTTCAGATGTTGCGACGTCACATTTTTGAAATCGCAGCAACGTCAACATCAGTGTGAAGGCATTGGAAGTGGTGGGGATGCTTTTGTGATTTGAGTATTTTAGAAGAGTACTACACTAGTACTACAGTTAACTACTGGTGAGTAGGGTTACTGTTTGAAGTTGAGTGTTTGACTGTACAGTGTACTGTTTGTCACTGTTAGATTAGACTTAGCAGTTCAGAACATGCATTTAATTTTTCATTTATTTATAGATCTACTAGAATCTAGTACTGTCTAGTACTAGATTCTAGATAAGATATAGATTCTAGATTCTACTCTACCTAATGTACTACTAAACTAGATTAGAGCTAATAGTGGCTAATACTAATAATCTAGATCTCTAGTAATACACTAGCCTCTGTAGCTTTGTATGTTGCTGTGTTTTATCAAATTGTGAATTTGTCTTATAAGAAACAAACAAGATGTGATGGAGGTTTAAATTAAAATATTAAAATATTGCTACATTACAAAATAGGGCATTAAAATATATGTCACGCTTTTTGACGATTTTTAGCCTAACCCCCAAGTCTCCATAGTCACAAAAAGTCAGATCCTCTTAAAATAACGTCACATATCACTTCACCGTTAGCGCTTCCACCTCCCCCCTTCCTCAAAAAATTCCATTTTGTAGATATGACCTAACCAATTTATTTTTTATGGCAGGCCAGTTACATTTTATTGATTTCGGTCAACAATGAGTAGGAAATATTAAAGATTTTCTATTAAAAATTACAATAAGTCTTTAAATAACGCGAAATGACGGCTAAAATTCAGCATTAACTTCATTAATAATAAAAAGCAAAAGTGTATTGTCACATTTCTGCCCCCCCCCCCCCCCACTTTCAGATAACATCACAAAACTCTTAGACCTTGACGTCGTTTACGGAGGAGCCTATATTCATAGTTTTATTTTTTAGAACGTATTTGTTTAAGCATAATTTCTAGATCTATAGAATAGAAAGGCAATAGTGTTAAAAAGTAATTATTATTAAAAAAAAAAACAATGCATACTCCCTTCTTAATTATGGATGCAAATTACATGCATGTTTGTTATCCTGTGTGCCGTGCACTACACTCACTACATTTCACTACACATTTCTTCTCTAATATTAAATGTAGAGATCTAGACTTAAATTTATTTAGTTAGATCTAGTACATTGAGTTGTGACTTTATTTAAGTTATCATTCAGGCCCAATTATTTCATGTGTGATTTTTTCTAGAGGTAGATCTAGGCCTAACTAAATCACTGCAGTGTTTACCTATACCTACCTTTATTTTTAATAAATACACACACACTAATACACAGTATTACACAGACTAGATCTAGATCTAGATTCCAGATCAATGTCATTTTCTATGCCATTCTGTTCATTCTCATACTCATCAGTCTTAACAACTCTTATGCAATGTGATTAGATCTAGAGATCTAGTAGTAGTTAGACTAGATCTAATCTAGATGTAGAATAATGTAAATCATCTAGAATCTATGCCTTTTTTTTCCTATGCCTACTCACTTTTAATATTACTAGACCTCTGTCTATTAGGCCTATAGTATATATTTATATAAAGAAATATATATTATAGTTAAACTAGTATAATATTAAATAATAATAAATATTAAGTAATGTGTGTTGGGGGGGGGGGGGGGGGGGGAGAAGAGACTTTCATTACATAGTAGGATAATAGGATAATTATGTATTGAAGATTCAGAAAACTAGAGATAAAGTATTGATTTAGTTTGCTTAAAAAAAAGCTGTGTAGTAGGTCTCATAATTTTATTTTACATTATTTCATCAGAAATGTGATCTTCAGAATGGAAGTGAATAAAAAAGACTCTCAAGCTTTTCCTGGGACTTCATTGGAATCTCCAAGTGGTTCTGCACCAGCTAGTTTAGTACATCTGGCTAACACTGCACCCACATCTGTTTCACTAGGAGCTTCTTGCATTACCGGGTCAGGTTGCTTGCTGCCAGTATCACTCATGTCTCAGCCACTGGTGTCATCTCTCCAGCATCAGCAGCTCATGGCTGAGCCTCTTTTGTTGGTCCCCACTTCAGCTTTATCTCTGGCACCAGGCTCAGGTTTTGCACCAAGTCCTACTGACGTCCAACCCTCGGCGCTGCATTACAGCCACCAGCTTTTATTAAATAATGCTCAGCTGCCTTTGGTGCTCAAACCTCCTGTTAATAATTTCTCAATGGGTTTGGGGCAGGCGCTCTCTAGTGAAAGTCAACCAATTATTGTGTTACCGCTTGCTGCACCTGGGAATAATTTGCTGACTCCAGATGGCGCTTTAAGTTCTAAAGCAGCCAGTAGAGAAGAACAGTGTGTCACAGCAGACTCCACTGATCAAAAGCATACAGAAAAATCAAACTTGCGTCGTGGTACCAGACGTAAAAGCACCAAAATTTCAGCACTTTGTTCCAACAGGGACAACATTTTATCTTCTCAATTAAATTCAAGAACTAAGAAAAACAACGAAACAGCTACCAGACCCTCTGATCTAGGTGGCAAAAATGTTTCCGGCCCTGCAAATTCAATCAAATCTGATTTCCTCAACACTACCAGTGCAGTAAAAAATTCTGACATTTCACAGATCATTTCCAATCTCCCATCCGGCTGGCAGGTTGTAGGTTTCACAGGACTAGAGCAAATAGGGGCAACTCTTGCTGCCCCACTCCTCACAGCCAACTCAGCAGCAGTTCTGTCCCCTAACACCATGGCTCCTTCATGTCTTGACAGTAACAAAACAAGCTTTCAAAATGCTGAGATCAAACCTAGTTTAGTTTCAGTTAATTTGAATAACCTATCACAGCCAGTTGCTTCCAGGACATATGACAACTATTCCATTGTAAATGAACTGACGTGCTCAGTGAAGCTGGATGATATACCCAGCACTCACATCATTTCCATGAAAGCTGAGCAAGAAGATGCAGAAACTATACCCGACAGTACATCCGATAGCCTCACTGTCATTAAACAGAAGGAAAAACTGCATTCAAGAAAGTGTAAAGGAAATAGTGCTGATGCAAAAAATGAAAATGCTAAAACTGAGAGTTTTAGTAAAACAGATAAGAAAATTAATCCACTGTTTCAAGCTATGGCAAAGCCTTGCCTGAGCAGTACCAGCATGTTTGGAGATCCACAAATTAAATCTGTTAACCCCCCTGTCATGCCAGATGGATCATGGACAATTATTGGCGTGACTTCAATTCCCCCGTTACCGTGCACGAGTTCAGCTGTTGTTAGCCAACTGTCAACAGGTGCTGCCACTGTCACAAGCTCATCAAGTGCAGAAGCTAATGAAAACCCAAACTGTGATCAATCTTCTGATACCATCATACTTAAAATTCCAATGTGTCCATCAAACACAACATCAAACAGGAAAAAGAAGAAAGGGACACCGCAGACCGCGGTAAAACAGAGCCAGAAGGGCTCAGTGGCAGAGCTACTTTATAATGTCAATCAGCAAAATACTGAAAGTAATAAATCTTCAGAGATGAAGTGGACAGTAGTGGGTTTAACACAGCCAGTGCTGAACTCAAACGAAGTGTCTACCTCAAGTCAGATGGTCAGTAGCTCCATGTTGTCATTGCCCAATATTACCCAGGCAGGCACAGCCCCACTGACCAGCCATATGATTAACAAACCGTTGAACCTAATTTCTCAGATCTCATCCAACCAATATCTGGTCCAGTCACCTCTAAGCCAGCCAGCCTCAAGTTTTGATATACCAGTAAACCCAGGTTCTTCTGAGTCACCTCAATTCTCTTCTAGTCCTATGACAATCACAAGCAATGACGGAATCAATGTGAGCTCTTGTCCCACACAGAGTCATTGGAAAGTTGTTGGATTAACATCACTAGACGTCCCCGCCTCCCCTGTGGCCCCATTTGCTGCAGCGCTGCATCAAATATCACACTGTGCAACTGTACCTCTACTAAATCTTATTCCAGCAGCTTCAAGTTTGGCACTGTCCTGTGTGGCTACAACAACCACAAACAGTTGTTCCACTGTCAACAGCACTCACGCGTCTCTGACGGCGCCGTTCTCCCCAGCAGCTGTGATCAACATTGCTGGAAGTTTATCCAACCCCTCAGATGTGTCGACGCCCATTTCAAATTTTACTAAAACTATCCAGGAAATCTCACAACAACAGAATCAAGCTTTCTGCGGTAACCTGGCTTTAAAAAATCCACTGGACTTGTTGAAAATGAATGATCCCAATCAATGGAATGTTGTTGGGCTGGTATCCAACAATCATGTCTCTATGCTAGACAAAGGTCTTATCAACAGTTTAACTCCTGAGATTTTGAATCATAGTATGAGCCCCCCTACTGTTGCACCTCAGGATTTAACTCCCACTTCTAAGCATTCATGTCCACAAAATCCTCCAGAAATAAATACAACAGATGACATTAAAAAGATGTCACCATTAGCAGGTAAAGCAACACGGCGATCTCTTACACTGAAATCCAAAAATCCTGAGAATAACAGTAAGGTTTATCAGTTAAAATGTAGAGATTTAATCAAACGACAACATGTTCCAACCTACATGAAAAAGAACACTGTCTCAAGTCTTCTCAGAATAAAACGGATGCAGACAGATTCCATTGAAGATGATAATATGGTAGATATTGACATGGAAGAAAAATTTACTTTACAGAACGATGAAGCTGTCACGCCCAGATCTAAAACTAGATCACTACGCTCGTATGCTGGAAACCGAAACATATTTACTAAAAGCAGACTCTGTGAGAGCAACAGTAAACTCAGTCTTCGCAGTGGAACAGCCGCCACAACACCTGGATGCAATTCAGCTGAAGAAACAGTAGAGGATAAGCCACAGGACCAGGCTTTAGACTCACCTGATCCTGCTGCTGCTAGATCTGAAAACAACAGAGTAAAGTCTGCTGAATGTGCAAGCGTTGTTGTTGAGCCACACTCTGCTGCCAGGAAAAGAAAATTGAAAATTCCTCGCAGGATGGTGGCAGCAGATATTGATTACCACCCATTTGATAGCTCATCAGATAGTAATTAAGCTAGTCATTTACCCTTTGCCTGTCTTTGAAAAGCAATTTACAAGCATAGCTAACTAAACTAATAGCTTTTAGAAAGTGTTAATCATGTGATAACTTTTTTTTAAAGATAGTCTATTTATATATTTATTGTGTTAACTAGAAACTTTGTTATTGTAAATTTATGCTCACAAATTTTTATCCTCCCCATTATTGTCTATCATTACCAAATAACATCATCAATAAATTACGCCAAATTAAATCTGCAAGTAACTACTTAAAAAACACATTTTGACAAGTCGCACAAAGGTTAATTTAGTTACAACAATTAATTTTAATAAATTACACCAAAGGTATTTAGCAACTAATTACTTTTAAAACTCTTGACAATCTTTAATCTTGATGTTTATAAGTTAACAAGGTGTTGTGAATTGTTTTACATGAATATTTATAGTGTAAAAGTATGATAATGTAGATGTTTGAGAATGAATTGTTTGTAAATAAATTTATAAAATGTTTTTTTTATACTAATAGTATGATTAATTACCACTGTTATTAAAATTCTTTTTCGTGCAGATTTCATTTCTTAACATTTTCAAGAAATTCTGTCAAAAGCATTTAAATTTCAAACTTCTTACTTTTAAATTTCAAACAACATGATCAAAAACTAAAGGAAGACATTAAACTTATTAAATTATACAACCAGCATACAAAAGAGCTAATAGTTGTAGTTGTAAGGACAAGGCTGGAAAGAAATCCAGTGATGCTCTCTTAGTTTAGTGTTTTAGTTGTGGAATTTTTTTTGGTTTTTGAAACAATGTGAATAGGTTCTTTCAATGTTTTTGATTACTAACACAGTATCATAACACTCATTCATTGCATTTATTGGTAGAATGGAGAACAAATTTCGTTTTTTCAATGCTGCTGTAAAAGAAATTCTCATAATTTTTACAGATTTATTTTTTAAGCTTTTGTCTGTGCAATTGTTAAATTTAAAAACTGACAATTTTATCAATCCTAAGTTAATAAGTATTAAGAAATTGCTACATAGTTTATTGGTTAAATTTGATGATTATACTTAGTTATTATATATTCAACGAGCCGACCCGCTGCGTATCATACGCCGCTATTTAGTTGTTGTTTTTTTTCTACAGTAATTTATAATTTGTGAATTCGACAGTACCAATGCTGCCACTGAAAATATTTGCTTAAAAACACTAAACCCCCCCCCCCCCCCCCACGTGAAAGCAGCCTCCTCTTAGTTACCTCCTCTAAGTTTAAAATCGTTTCAAACTAAATTATCTGCCCCTAATAGCCGTCACCAAACCCGTCTCTATGATTGTAAAATGTAAACAGCGTGACCACAGCTCACCAGACAATGTGGGAGTGGGGTGGGGGTGGTAGTGATAGTGATAGAGAGAAAGAGAGGGGACTGCAAGGAGGCGCTTGCAGCTTGTTTTCTAACGGCTCCCAGAAGAGAATTATATATATAGATTATCTTCAAAATCTAAAATTATCTAGTCACTTGAGAAATAATTCCTTTAAAGTGTGTTTGCATTTCTTCATAGCAATATAATTGCAATTTGTTTCTGTATTTACATAAAGATTGTAAGATTGTTAATCATTGGCTTTTGTTTGTTTTGTGTTATTCAGTAAATTTGCTGCTTTAAAAAAAAAAGTAAATAGTAATGTATGGCAATATTTTTTAAAAGATACTAATGTTTTTTTTTTTATTTTACATTTGTGTAATAGTTGAATGAAATGCATTTTTAGCTAACTTAAGCAATATTTTCAATTTTCAAATTTATGTTGTAAATGAAGTTATATTTATATTTTACTTTAAAAAAATTATTTAACAATTATTTTTGTAACTGGAAGCTGGGTATGTTTACAAGTAACTGTGTTTGTTGTCACGGCAATATTGTTTTTAGTGGGCCCTTCTCCTCCCTCCTCCCCCAAAAAAATCTAGTCATGTTACTTGAAACAATCTATTTACAATTAGTAAAGCAGTTTAATATTTTAGTTAAAATTCTAATAGATAAATAGAATTTTCAGAGTAGCTTTGGTTTTATAATGTAAAGCCTAAACTCAGTGTGATCTTGTATTGAAAGTCATGGACATGACTGTAGCTGGGACTGCTGTGTGATATTTTATTTATTTAACACCTTGGCTAGCCATTACTTTTGTTGAGTCAATGCCTGAATGGACGACAGAATAATAGTTTTATATTTTCCAATCCCATTTTAGATGGGTGCTCTAAATATAATTTGTTTAAAGATCAGTCACAAATCAAGAGCAGTCTCTATTCAAGGTACCCTAATTTATTGTCTAAACGTTTGACCACAACACACACACTTGTGTTATGTTTATCTTTTTTAACTATGAAATTATTTTATGTCTGTAGCAGCCAATTTATGCCCATCCTCCCAATCAATATGGTATTTTGTTGTAATACATATTACATGTAATGTTGTAAACGCACTTTGTAAACTGTATTACAAGCCACAATAAGTAACAGGGTACTATTGTTAAATGTATTTGTGATGTTTAGTTTAGGCTGGAGAATTGGTTCTTCACACAGTAATTTACACCAGCACAAATTGTACTTTCGTTAACCTATGTATATTTATGAAATTGTTAATTTAAATTATAAACGTAGTCAAATTAGTGTTTAGCAGATATAGTCCATAGATTTTCAAAAACACAAACTGAATTTGGTGGTGTTCATTGTTGATAACCACTTTATTTAAAATAAATGCCTCACACACCTTGTTAAGTGTTGCAAGTAAATATTACTTAATTTTTTTACATTTAGGCTTAAATCAATATTTTAAAAATTGCTAGAGATTTTTCTTGATGTTAGTGCAAACTAGTTCAACATATAGGATAATATTGTATCAATTCATATTGAAAGCTCTCTCCAGATCCAATATTTATTCTTGTAAGATCTGCTTTTTTGCATTTAAAACATCTTTGTGTAGTTCTGTATATCTTGAGGTAGTTATGTATAACTGGGTAGTTGTGTACATCTCTAGGCATTCCTGTATATCTAGATAGTCCTGTTCAAATCAGCAAGCATTAGCTCGACCCCATCTTAATTTAGTTTTGCTTGGGAGGAAGTAAAAAGCTTTTTAAAAGATTGGAGAGCTTCATAGATTGTGGATTGTTTATGAAGGCTCATATAAATGGAATGTTTTAGTCTAATACAATCAAAGTACAGTAAGACTTACTTTATATTCTAGCAATGTTATAGTGAGTTTTATTTTTTACGGACATTCTCAAAGGTAAAATACTCATTGATATTAATTATACACCAAATAAATGTATATTTATTTTTACACCAAATGAAACAGAATGTTTTTTATTTTATAAAAGAAATGCAAGTAATGACTGGCTCAATAACATTTATGTGTTATTCATATCACATAAAGAAATGTTTAAAAGAAATTTTAATTGTGCAATCCTTAGCAACTTTTTAGCGGTAATCGTCATGTTTTTACTGTAAAGAAGTTGTGGTTGTAGTCATTCACGGTTATATTAGCTTATATCATATAGTTAATTTATGTCATTTGTAATCCTTAAATTATTAAAAGCTGTGATTAAAAAAATAGTTCATCAATTTAATTCTTGTTGTCATTTATTTAACAATGTATTACATAATTACTTTAGTTTCAAGATATTTTCATAGAGCCCCACCACCCCTTTAAATGAAACCTCACATAATTTACCCTAGGGCAATAGAATGTGTGATAATATTCATGATAAAAGATAGTATATAAAATCTCACTAATAATTTCAACAGTTGTAATAAGCTACTATCTTTAAATCTTATGATTTGCATAGACTTTTTTAGCTTTTAGTTAAATGTATGTCCCTTCAGTTCAGTGCATGTTCAAAAGTGATTTAAAAAGCTATCTAGGAGCTAATCTAGACAGCAAAAATTAATTCCAGGCATAAGCTCCTGTGTTAATTAGCATAATCTAGCCAGGGAGAATTTTTGTATACAATTACTTTGATAGATGCTATCTGACACTAGAGAATAATTGGTATGCCTATTTGCATTTCAACTAAACATATTAGACTATTGACTATTTTTGTGTAAAAAAAAAGAAAATTTTTAGGATTTTTCAAGTATTTAAATATTAAATACAGTTGATAATATATTGCTGGACTTTCATGTACTAATTTAAGGAGAGCTGCCCAAAACTGAGTCCAGTGGAGAGGTGTATCTGCAGACCTTTATTTTGCTCCCAAGTAAAATCATTTTTAGACTTAACCTGTCATGATCAAGCTTTGAACTTAGTATTTGGCACAAGGCATCTTTTACCATCAATAGTTAACAGTTCAGTTTTGAGCCTTAGAAATTGGCTTAAGCCATCCCAAACCACTCTAAGTTCACACTACAGTCATGTCTTGAGCTTTAGAAGTTGACACCCCCAACCACCCAGTTAATTGTCAATTCAGTGTTCTGGTTTGAGTCTTTCATGGATTATTTTACTTCCACTTGACATAGTAATGCTTTTCCCAACTATAAAAAAATGAAAAAACAAAACCACAAAGAAAGAGTAATATTTAACATTATTATTCACAGAAAATCAAATTATAATTCAATATGTCCATTTATTTTACTATAACTTTTAAAATTTGTTTTAACAAAAAAAATCAATATGTGCATGGGAAGGGATGCTAGTAATGAATTTTTCTTCTACTTTTTGCACAATTCTACATGAGATAATTCACAATAATTGAGCAGGCAGAATTTACAGTAATATATGCTATTTTCATAAGTGATAATGATTTGGCTGTTCACACCACCGATCTAGACAATATCAACTATGCTAATACATCTCCATTGCAATAAAAATGTATCCTAAAATAAGTAGATTACCTTTCAATTGCAATACAAATTCATCTTTTTTTTTTAATAAAAAAAAAAGTGCTGCTTGGACATAGGGCCTACTCGTATAACTTTTAGTAACATAGACAATGAAAGAACAAAGAGCAGTTTAAAGTTTGAGGAAACAAGTCACCGAAAACAAAAATGTAGAATGAACTTCCACCAGCAGACTTCCCATTGACGATTTTCATTGTGGATTTAAAAAATAGTTTTTGTGTGTACCTCAGCCATTCCATGTGATTTGATCAAATAAATGTTAATACAAAAAGTAACCTGATCATGCACTGTTCAACAAATAAATAGAAATACTCAACCACTGTTGGTAAGACAACACTTCTAGAAAACATACATGTATAACACCTTTGTTGTGGGATAATCAAGATGATCCTTCTAAAGTTAAACTAAATGTACAACAAAAAATAAATAAACAATTTTGGTTTAACGACAAAAACAATTACATGGAGAAAAATTACATAATTGCTGAAAGGTTTTAACTCAATAAGTGAAATAAAATCTTTAAAATATTTTCTTAAATATTTAAAAAAAAGAAAAAGCTGAAAAAGAATTCAGGTTTTTTTAAACCTGCACATATGCATTAGATTTCTGAAACTGCTGTTTAAGTATTCAGCTGCATGACATGCTAGATGAGAAAAGGCTGTGTTACTTAAATCATTTTAAATTATGAATTGTTGCCTACAAATGCCTCATTTATATACATATATTTTTCTACATCATATATTCAGTTCTATGCAAGTATGCCAGCATTATGTGCATTAATAAGCAGTCATTTGTTAAAGCCATTGGTATCAACTAACAGTAGTTACAATTTTTTAAGATTCCTGTCCTGACTACTTTGGAAGAAACCTCAAAAGATCACTGATTAATTGTATTTAATTATTAGATAATTAAATCCAGGAATACAAAGTAACATTCAACAGTTGAAACAGCTGAGTTCCTACAACTACTCTCCAGAGTCCTCTTTATGCTCATCCTCTTGTTTAGGGTGTTCATCCTGTGGACCCTCGCCCATCTGGTCCATGAAATGCTGTCTGTCAAAACCTGGTCTATTGTCTGGCCCAGGCAGGCCTGAGTTTCCTGGATTGTCTGCTGCAGGTAGAAACAAATGACCAGGTGCTTGCATGTCCTTCCCAAACTCACTGGACATGGAAGAGTTTGAGTTTTCATCATCTCTGTTCATGTTCATGTTCTGGGGAGCTCTTTGGATGGGCTCACGTGGGTGAGATTCAAATTTAATATCATATATCCTCATGTCTCCTCTCTCCTCCTGATAGCGTTTGTGAAGTGATATAATTAAATCATGAATATATCGTCGTTTGTTCAAGACCAAATCCTCAGGGAACCAATATTGCAAACCTTTCATTGGAATCTGGAAGTCTCCGATTGGGTCCTTTTAAAATAAAAAAAATAGGATTTTGGTAATTTAATATAAAAATAAACAATTTTGTCACTTTTTTGGGTGTGTTAATTAATTTTCCTAATTTTCTCCACAGTGCTAAATCCATTATAATATTTAAGTAAAACACAACTCATTTATTATAACAAAATGTTGATACATTCATACAAAAAAGTAGTCACTACAATAAAACTCACCTCAAAGAAGGTTTCCACATATTGTAGCAGGTAAACACCACAGTCACTGTAGTTGCTCTGCTGCGGAACTCGAGGAGAGGAGCCTCGAATTATTTTACCTAAATTTCTTGGTTCTTCATCAGATTTTTTTGCATTCCACTCACACTGCAAATATCTATAAAGAGAAATTCCATTATTTTTTTTAATACTTCTGAAAAATCTCTAGTGTTGGTTGATATAACTTACTAACATAATAGTTTTCTAATTAAAAATAACTGACACATAAATAATCAGTCATGATGCAAGTAGTGAATCATTTAACTTTTTTCAAATCAACTTAGCAAGAATTAGATATTAATCTTTAAAAACTACCATGACCTAGCCAAAGACCCATATCTTTTGGTTGTGAAATCTTCTACGTTGGTATAATAAAAAATGAATGAAACTCACTCTTTGAGCATCTTGATGTTGGGATTCCTACTTGGTCCAGCAAGGGAATCAAACATAAGAATGCATGGTCTGGAGTGAAAAAAAGAGGTTGAAAACAATTACGGCACAGAAAAAACAAGTGTGTGCAGTAAAGAAATTAGGCACTTTTTAAAGTTGATAATAAATGGTAAACAAATAAAAAACATGAACCAAATAAACTTACTGTTTTAAGCCTTCATGCTTGCTCTCTTTTTTCTCTTCTGGACTAAGCTGCCTGCCTAATATAGTCTGAAATATGTAACTGCTGAATTAATACACAAAATATTTTACTAAACTTTCTTGGAGCTTAAAAAAAAAATTAGGGAATTGAACAGTCTAGTACACAGAATGACAGGAATAACGTACCCTAGATTTGTTTTCCTGATTAGTGCTAGTACTACCACCACCACTGTTACCACCTTCCTCGCTGTTTTCTTCAGGCATCTAAAAACGTACAAGCAAATTGATAAAAAAATGTTTTTTTAAAATATCCACTATTTTGAATACTAGCAACAAAAAACACTTTATAAGTCACGTTTAAAAAGCAAGAGATTTTAGTTCAAGTCAATGATTAAAAAATTTTAATTGAAAATAAAAAAGGTTGATTGATTAAAATATTTATTTTAATTAAAAACTTGCACTTGATCTTATTAATGCACAGTAACACAACCCTAATTGATACTAAAGATGTTTAGAGGATACGAGCTGAATGAGTAATAATGAGTTATATACAATTCTTCTTTTAAAGTTATTTCACATTTAGCTAAATGTATTTTGGTTGAATTTAAGATGTTTTCATACTCAAACTGTAAAGTCTTAAAAGTCATCAGCACCATTAATAAATGTAGTAAGTAATAAATCAGATAGTGTTAGTTACCTCACAAGCTAAAGACAGTTACAAATACTATGAACGTTTCGACCCAAGGTCTTTGTCAGCACACAACAGTGTGGTTACAGATTAGTGTTGTGTGCTGACATAGACCTTGGGTCAAAACGTCCATAGTATTTGTAACCGTCTTTAGCTTGTGAGGTAAATAACACTATCTGATTTATTACTTATTGTATTAACCTCACTGCAGCTACCATTTGTATTTAATAAATGTAGTCAGCTTACAATGAAACAGACTCCTGTTACAACTTACACTGCCATCAGGTTGTTCCTCCGCATCTCCCCCATGGGCTGGGCTAGGAATATAAGGTACTACCTCTGGGGCAGCCAGGCCAGGGAAACATATCACAGCAAGGTACCAATGGGAGCTGAGCAAAGACAGTTTGTCACAATACATTTAAAAGTAAGGCTTAAAAATAAATTCAGTGTAACCCCTAGTTAACATTTCATGAATAAATGCTAATAATAAAGTATTTTTAAAAAAACAAAACAATAGGTTCTTATAAAAGACCTTACATAAAGGTTAAAGGTTAGAACTAGGGTAAAGATGACAAAACTAGCAAAATACAGATTTGAATATATTCTGCTGTTTTTATAAATACTAAAAAATGTTGACACACTCTAAGATACACATTCAAAGGTGCTAACAAGTTTTTCAGAATAATTTGAACCAACAAACTTACTGTTCATTTATTGGAACAATTATAAAGTCTTTACTAAAGAGATCCACAGTCTTTGTCCACTTTTTAACACGGGCATGTCTTCTTTCTGGCAAACTGTAAGAAAGTTATTTAAGATTTAACTATCAATAGTTTAGTGCAGAAATAGTTATTATTAATATATGAGAAAAACATAATTCTAACCTTTTTTTAGCCTCCTCATCAGTTTTATCCAAGTGTCTGTCTCTTTGTGTTAATCTCTTGTAAAAGAAGGAACTAAAAATATGGGTCCTTTTTCTGTTTTCTGGGCTGAATTTTTCTAAAAATAAATACCTGTTAAGAGAGAGAGAAAGTAAAATTTATTTCTGTATGTACTCAAGTTTAACAAGGGTTTAACAAAATTTAAGATAAATTATTAAATGATGTATTGTTTACATCAACCCAATTAAAATTGTTTAGATTGAATAAGGAATAAATTACTTTCAAAAGTTCAACTAATGAGAGCTATTTAAATTCAAAGGTTAAAAAAAGCATTGACTATAATTAAGTCAAACCATCTTACTGTAAGTAAAAGTCTATGATAACATCATTCAAGAACTCCCCTTCAGTTAGACATAGGAGATCTTCTGTAGTGATAGGAATACCTCGTAGTGGTGGTGGTGGGTACTGGAGCAGTCTGTAATCATATCATCACAATATTACAATCACATAGGCACCCTGTTACCTGGCTGCAACCATGATACAATCACAAACACACAGTTTCATGGAAGTTTGTACAACCAAAAAAAATGAAAGGAGCTTTACTTTCATTCAATGGGAAACCCATTCTACCTGATATTGGCTCCCATAAAAAGTTTTATTTCAGGTGGAGAACTAGATGTGCTGTCAGGTTCATTGTCAGTGCTGTCTGAAGGGGATGGAGGTCCCCTGGGCAGTAAATGCTGGTCCCCTGTATCTTTGAGATACCTAGGAATAACAATTTGTTTTTAGAATAGTTTGACACATATTTTAATATTATCTTTTATATACTTAGTATTATTATATTTTCAAAAAATATTTTATTAATTATATGCACAAACTTTTAGATACAATCAAACACTTTAATTTAATTTTTCTCCAGCTATATTTCTAAGAATCTAAGTGTTTAGCTGATTGGTATCTACTTACCATTTTTTGAATTTCATAACATCTCGTTCAACATCTGATGTGAGGACAGGTGGAGCTGACTGTATCAACAGGTCATTGGCACTTTCCTCAGTCAACTCTTCAATAAAGTATTCATCATCTTCATGGTTCATATCTGCCCAGAGGGACAGCGTTTCTCTCAGCATTTCATGAGGCATGTAGTTAAAACACTCAATGATTATCACAATCATCTTTTGTTTCATATCTGCACAGACAAATCATGTAATGACCTTTAAATATTTACATTTTGAATAAATTAAAGTTCAAACAAAATGGTGATTGGTATTATTGGTACAAGGATACCTGTGCTACTGTGATAACCTAGTGTTAGGATACGTGTGGTACTGTGATAACCTATGGTGTTAGGATATGTGTGGTACTGTGATAACCTAGTGTTAGGATATGTGTGGTACTGTGATAACCTATGGTGTTAGGATATGTGTGGTACTGTGATAACCTAGTGTTAGGATATGTGTGGTACTGTGATAACCTATGGTGTTAGGATATGTGTGGTACTGTGATAACCTAGTGTTAGGATATGTGTGGTACTGTGATAACCTATGGTGTTAGGATACCTGTTCAACTGGGATTAAAAGCTTAAGTGCTGAGATACCTGTGCTACTTGGATTAAAAGCTTAAGTGCTGAGATACCTCTGCTACTGGGATTAAAAGCTTAAAGGTGCTGAGATACCTGTGCTACTGGGATCAAAGAATTCATCGTCCCCAGGCTCCATATGACACACAGCCCGCAGCTTGGCTCCACATTCCTGAGTGAGAAACAAAAACAACACGGGCTGCGTTTGTCCTGAGAAATACTTGACGTGCTCGACATCTTGGGCTAAAATCTCAAATTCAAATCCTTCTTCTGTTCTCTCAGCTGTAAGGATACAAATTTGGTAATCAATTTAAATTATTTCAACAATACAACAGTGAAACATATCTAGAATAAGGTATCAGAGAACTTTATGAAATGAAGGATAACTCAGCAAGAATGTATGAACACCAGGAATAAAGTATGATCAAAACTTTTTTTTAATTACGGGAAGTACTGACCTAAATAAATTATATTTAAAAAGCTGTTAGACTACAAATTTCAAGTTAAGTACTAGACGACTAAAGTTCACATACATCGAACCCTGAAGCAGACACCTCTCAAATTGATTAACAGAGGTCCTTCGGGCTGGGTCCGCATAGATCCAATGCGCACACTTCGAATATCAATTTCATAAATGGGCACTTCATCACACTCTTCATCTTCCTCATCTTCTCTTTCTTCATCTTCATCCATACGGTCCATGACAGGAGTTCCTGATCTATGCATTTTCTTGCTCAGTTTACTAACACCCTCCTGTTGATAAGATTTAATGTGCACATTTTATTTGGTAAGTAATGGTTTCCTCACTAACAGATAGAATATAACTCTTTACAGTCACCACCTGACACAAGAGATTTCAAAAAAAATTTATATCTGCTACCTGATTTGCACTAAAACACAGAACACATTTTTAAAAGAAAACATTTAGAATTGACTTGGTACTGGGAAATACCAGAAAAAAAAAACAGCCTTGTTTTTCTCATAATTATACCTCATCTTCCATAAGAGCTCTTCTAAATCTCCCAAAGGCATTGACTGGTTGAGTAGGTGTAGATGGGAACAAAGGTGATTCACTTCCCCCTGAGTAAGCAGGGCTAGGAGCTTGAGGTAGGTTATTTGATGTAGATGATGGTTCATCCTCATCAGATGAAATTGTTAACGTCACTGTTAACCATAAAAAAAAGATGATAAAAAACAATGATATTGAAGACTTAATGAACAGGCTACAAAATGCATAAAAAAAAAGGTTTTCGTCAATGTAAGTACCTGGCTCATCTAGCTTTTTTGAACGTTTTTTTGGAGCAGGGTTTTTTGATTTTGGTCTTGCAGGACGTTTCTTTGGGGGACTTTCTGAGCTGCTACCTGAGCCATCTGTCTCCTGCTTACCCTCCAAGGAGTCTTCAGATTCACTGTTGCTATAATCTAGTGGAGCAGAGGTTGTATCTTCATGGAAACATCAACAAGAGGATAAAAAAATGCAATAAAAAAGTGTATCACACTGTGGGCTGAATCAAGTTGTACACATTTTTTTTTTAATAATCTAATTATGTTTTGTAGACAAAGTCAAAGGTTTTTAAAAAGGTGAAATCCCCACATTACCAAACCCACCTTCGGATTTCCTTGCACCCATACGCCCTTTCATTCCTCCTCCTTTAGTGCGACCTGTACCTCTTGCTCCTCGGCCTCGACTTTTACCCCTGGGCGATGAGCTCCCATAGAAGGAATCTTTGCTTATTGGCTTAGTGATAGTATCTGTTTTATCTGAATCTTTGTTAGGTAAATTGGCAGGAGTTTTAAACCCACCAGGTGTTGGCATGCCAGGTTTACTTGTGTTCTTCTTTAATGTGTGGATCTTCACCTCTCCCTGGAAAATCTTTTTGCAGCCTTCACAGCGTTTGAAATTTTTGCTGGTGTAGCCACAATGGTTGCATACCCTGAAGTAATCTTCATCCTAAAGTTTATACCAAAGAACAGGATTACTGTATCAGTGTCAACATAATATTACACTAGCTTCCCCCTTAGTATGAAACACAAACGCTTACAAAAATGTAAACCAATGGGAGGAAAATGATGTGAAAAAAAATAATGTACCTCTGAAAAAGGCTTTTTAAATACAGAATCATCCTCCTCTTCCTCTAAATCTTCTTTCCTATGTTGAACTGTTGGAGAAAAAGAGAAACATTAAAATTCAAGATTCTTGCGCCTACACATTGTCAACTCAATAAATCAACTTAGACCTTCAACTCACCATGTGATAAAGGCTTGATGTAAGTTGACTGATTAACTGGTGCATCAAGACATCTACAGTCAGGACAAGAAAATCAAACATTTAATTGCATTCAAAAAGGGTCAGGTTTTTAAATAGCTTCACTGGAAATAAAAGGTACAATAAAAAGTAGCCTAAAGACAACTAAGAAGTGATGTCTGAATCAATGAAATAGAACACAAATATTTATACTTTTGTAGTGTAGGCATTTCTCCTGATGGGGTATGGTCACTTTTCTGTTGTATAGTCATGGGATCAACATCTTGGTTGTAGTGAGGATCAGACCAGCTGAAACAAATGTTAAGTAGAGTTTACAAATGTGTTGTGAAGAACTCAAAGTTAAAAGAACAGCAATGGTATTTATAATTTAAATTTTCAGAACAGGCCACCTTTATGGTAAGGGGCAATGGTTGGATAACTTTCTGATGGCAGTAGCTGGTAGCAGTACATGGCTAACAGCTTATGATAACATTGCCTAGATAAGTTATAATAACATGGACAAGCCAGTTTACTGGTAGCAATGACTGGCCAACTTACAGCACTAATGAATTGCAAACAACTTACTGGTAGCAGTGCCTGGCCAATCTACTGGTAGCAGTGCCTGGCCAACTTATTGATAGCAGTGCCTGGCCAACTTATTGGTAGCAGTGCCTGGCCAACTTATTGTTAGCAATGACTGGCCAACTCACTGGTAGCAGTGCCTGGCCAACTCACTGGTAGCAGTGTCTGGCCAACCTACTGGTAGCAGTGCCTGGCCAACTTATTGGTAGCAGTGCCTGGCCAACTTACTGGTAGCAGTGCCAGGCCAACTTACTGGTAGCAGTGCCTGGCCAACCTACTGGTAGCAGTGCCTGGCCAACTTATTGGTAGCAGTGCCTGGCCAACTTATTGGTAGCAGTGCCTGGCCAACTTATTGGTAGCAGTGCCTGGCCAACTTACTGGTAGCATTGACTGCTCACCAAGGCACATATTTTACATATCAATGTAAAATATCCAAAACAAACAACCAGAGGTACAAGACAATACTAAAGACAGAAGGCACCTTCATGCCCTGTACCACCTGTTATCTTGAATATGCCGTTGTCTTAACGACTTCTTAACATATTCCTTCTCAAGCACTGAACTTCCTTTAGAAAGTGAAGTGGCTTCAGTATTCACTTTACTGCAGTGATAAAGAAAAAAATGTATACTTTTTTTATTTTTTAAGTTTCATTGCTCAACACAATGAACCTTTAAAAAGAGAGACAGACATTACCTTGTGTTTGCTTGACTGTTCATGTGACTTTGAGACTTCAGTTCTGAAAGTTGTTTGTGATTGATATTTTTGTTGAGGCTTTTCTCATTCAAGGCTTTAAGAGTATATAAAAAAAATTTAACCAACGCAAACTAAATGTTTCTGTAGGGAAGGGGGGGAGGGATGTTTTTTTTTATACAAGGGAAAAGTGTTGCAGATATTTACTTAACACAATACAAAGAGGTTACTTTCAAAAACTAGTATGCACTACATTTAGGAAAAGCCAAGACACCAAGGCTTTATTGTGGATGTTATGCCACTACTGGAATTTTTAAAGAACCCAATTTTTTTTCTGTCTAAGACAATAAGCAGGAATTTACTGCATTTGAAAAATAATAAGGACCATGACTAAAGGGTCACAGATTATTCATTAATAAATGCTAGTTTTTTTTAGCCTCAATTTAAAATGCTTACTGTGTTTTGGTATAAGCTCTTTATACACAACATCTGCAGTGTTTTAATACAAACCTACAGTTGTGTTATACAAATAATTTATACCCAGACTACACTAACACATGAGGTTTAACCTTTCACATCTTCAGGGCTAAGGTCTTCAAACTTCTCCCCATTCCACATGGCTAAAACCAGGGACTGGTCTAATGGTGAGCGTATCTGATACACCATCCCAGTGGTCAGCCGGCCTTGACCCTTGCCCCCTTTATCAGTCAGTATACACTGGTCTTCAGACAGGCGATCCAAGCTAAAACCTTCTGACCTGGAAGAGAATGTTTTGAGAGTGAAAAAAAAAGGAATTTGTAAAATTAATGCATTCATTTAAAAACTGATAAATATGAAGCTTTATTTTTCTACAGAAGAAGACAATTGTAAAAAATTAGAGCCAATAATGAAATGAATAAAAAAAAAAGCACACACTTGAAATGTGACTGTTGTGATGGTGGGTTGTGAGCTGGGGCTGCATGCTGTGGCTCATACTCATGGTGAGGCTTTGGCTGGTCTGAAAATGGGTTCTGGAGCACAATCTGGCCAGTGGCTTGACCTTGTGGCACAGGGGGCCTGGCCAGTGGGCTGGGAGGGGTGCTGGGTGGGAATGAGTTCTGCTGGCTGGTCATTTGATTTTGGTTAAACCCTGGTGAGTGATGGGCACTTGCTGCAGACACAGGAGCTGGGTTTCTGGGCTTGACAAAAGTTGGGCCAGGCTGAGCTGGAGCAGTCATTCTTGGACTGTTTGCTGGTGCTTTGGTCTGGTTTGTGAATGGAACTACACTACATATAGGTCGGTTGGCTTGTGAGACTTGACCAATGCTAGAGTTAGGGTCAAGTATGGCTGGAATAGGCAGGCGAGGAGGCAGGAGAGGTTTAGCTTGGTATGGAATTTGATTCTGCTGCTGTGGAGGGCGTACAGGTGGACTAGGAACAGGCTGGCTCTCAGGGGCTGACACCTGAGCTGGTGGCGGCTGGCTTTGAACTGGAGGCTGTGGGGTGACCCCTTTCTTTGCCATGATCTCTTTATCCAGGCTTTGTTGCATGTACTCCACAGTGAGCCGAGCCAGGCTAGCTTCACTGGGTGCAGTCTCTTTAACCGGCGCCAACTTTTTGGGGATGACAGATGGAGGGGCCATTTGTGCTGGTGGTCGAGCCGCCCCAGTGGGGGACATAGGGCCGGCATTTGGTGTTGGCGACTGCACAGCAGACGGTCGCTGCTGCAGTGGTGAAGACACCTTGGGGGAGATGCCTCGAATAGCTGGAGGTGGCATGGCCGTTGACTGCTGATTAGTCTGAATGTTAAGGACCATCTGATTTACAGGAGGCCCCTGACGTATTGAAAGCTTACCAGGATTAGGCAGCCCAGACTGATTAACAGGCATAATGAAGTGATGCGTCGGCTTTACAACCACCCCTGAGGGGCTGGACTCTGCGTCCGGTTGGACACCCGGTTGCTGTAGTCGAGGTAATGTTGGTTTACTAGGTGAAGTGCCAGCCGGTGGGTTGGGCTTGGGCAGGGGAGGTCTCATCTCCCCCTGGGAGGGACTGGGTTTTGACGGCCAGTTGGGGTTCTGGCTAACAGTTTGACCCCCCTGGGAGGGAGAGTTAGGGTTTAGTTTATTTGGAGAGGGCTGCCCTTGAAGTTTTAACTGAGACTGCTGCCTTGCCGGGCTGGGTGATTGTCCTGGTGAAATCTGCTGAGCGCCTTGTGGCTGGGGGACTGTTTTGTTCTGTGGGCACACTGGGTTGGCGCTGCTGGCGGCAGACAACCCTGGCTGGTTGTTGACGCCAGCTGTTGATGAGTTTGTTTGGCCAACCCCTTGTGGTTTGTTTTTCATATTTTGACCAGCAGAAGGCACTGGGAACATTTTTTGCTGACCAGGCATGTTATTGGGCTCAAAGTTTTGGGGTCTAGGGAATGCCCCTGGAGGGTGTGGTCCTCTAGGTGCCATTCTGACATTGGGTGGTCTCTGCATGTTCTGGTGGAAACCCATCTGACCCTGGGAGGAAGAAGAGACTTCTTGTTCTTCCTCCTCATCCTCTTCCTCATCTCCATACTCATCCTCATCTTCATCATAGTTCTCCATAGGAAACATGTTTTGTCCGTAACCAAGGTTACGATTATACATCATCTCATCCAGCTCATCAGCATCAACACCTTTCTCTTGCAGCTGGCTTACTATTTCTTCATATCTGTGCTCATCCTCGCAAACAGCCAACTCTTCAAGCAATGCTGATTCTCTGAAATACATAACATTTTGACAGAAAATTATGGTAATGTATGTTCAGAAGTATTTAAATGAATACTTCTGAACATAAATGACAATTATTTTAAAAAAAACAAAACAACTTAATTTTATCTACTTTAAAATTAAACTAATCTAAATAGTCTAAATTAGGTTCATTGTCATACAATATGATTTAATTATGTTCCTAAAAATGTTGCCAAACACAAGTGCTAAGAAGAGAAAATTTAAACATAAACTAAAGGCTAGTAAACTAATATCAAGTCAGAAAATAACTACAGTTCAGTTTCATGGCTGATTGCTTAAAGATTTTGGCTGAATGTAGGAAGTGTTTTATGTATACACAATGGAACATGTATAGCCAATATACACAGAATGTAACAAGTGTTTCTAGCCAAATCTAGATAAAGAATTTAAGAAGTGTTTTTGCCAAATACATATACACAGAGAGAATGTGAAAAGTTTTTTTTTTTTTTTTTTTTTTGTAAAATCTAGATAGAATGCAACAGGTTTTTAGCCAACAATATACACAAGATGAATTTTCAGCCTAAAATAAATAAAGACAATGTTAAAAGAGTAAGGGTTATTTTTCTCCACTGACTTATATCTAGGCTGCCACTTACTCTTCAGAGATGTCATCACTATCACTGTCTGGGTACTGGAACTGGGGGTACTTCTGGCGGAACATCTCTTCCTCCTCTGCTTCCATTTCCTCATCATAGTCATCATCCTCATCGTAATACATGTCCTCATCTTCATAGCCTGACATCTGATGCTCTGGGTTGTCCGGCCCTGCCCCTGGCCTGTGCTGGGCCTGGCCTTGGTGACCTTGAGAAGACCCTTGCTGCTCATGGGGGAAAGGCATCCTTGTGCCCCGGCCAAGCGGGGGATGGTTGTATGAGCCATAAGGTCTTTGTTGCTGACCTGCCATAGCTGGGGGCCGCATGTTTTGGGCATGGCCAATGTTAGCTGCACCACCTACGACAGGGTTGGGTGGCCTGTTCTGTGACATGGGCCTGAACCCTGCGTTGTTGGGTGGCTGTGGCACATTTGGTCTCACCATGTTCTGGGGGTGGCCTGGTGCTCCCATCCTGGGGCTCTGGGGCGGTCTGACCCCGGGGTTATTGGTGAACTGTGGCCTTTGCTGCTGCAAGTGGGGAGGTTGTGGGGGGCGCATTGGTCGCTGAGACATTGGCTGCTTTTTAAAATAAAATGACACACCATTAGACCTAACACAGGTGTCACAGTTGAGATCATAAAATATTTTAAATTTCCATTTAAATTAAGATATATTGAATATAAAATAAATAAAATTATGGTAAGTATGTTGAGCTAACAGAAATCAGGCCTCATAATTTTTTTTATTCATTATTTAAATTTTCATTTAAAAATAAACTTTAAATTTAAAAAGAAGGTGTACTTTATCTTCAGCAATACAAATAAATGGCTACAGGACATTACCCCCCTGGATATTTCCCCCCGTATTTACCCCTGGAGCAATTACCCCCCCCCCCCCTCTCAAGTTAAAATCCTAACTCTAACTAGAATTTTATCCCTATATACTACTTTAATCCAAACCTTAAGAAAAAGACCAAAACCTAAGCATCCACCTTAGCCTAAAACTTCACACAAAACCAAAACCAAAGCTAGACACAACCCTAAACCTAACCCTAATCTTAACCCTAGCCCTAACCCTAAACCTAGCCCTAAAACCTAACCCTAAAACTTAACCCTAAACCTAACACTAACCTTAACCCTAACCCTAACCCTATCCCTAAAACCTAACCCTAACCCTTACCCTGTCCGGGGGCGGGGTAATGTCCTACTGGGCGGGGGGGGTAATTGACAGGGGGGTAATTACTCTGGGGGGGGGGGGGGGGGGGTAATGTCGGGGGGGGGGGGGGAAATATCAGGGGGGTAATTGACAGGGGGAAAATGCCCTGTTCCCCAAATAAATATGGCTGAACTGTAAAGGGTTAATTTCTAGCAAGACATTTTTACATTGAGCAAGTAGAAGAAATAAAGCTTACACTTTGTGGGTGTCTCACTGGGCCATTAGGTCCTGGTCTAGGCTGATGCTGTACATGCTGAGGGTGGGGAGGGCGGATCATTCGATTCTGGGGCTGAGAAAACTGACCCAGGCCAGGGGCACTGTTGACCACAGGCCTGGGTACATGCTGTTGGTTTCTGGAAGGGAATCCCTGAGGTTGGAGCCCTCCGGTAGGCTGACCGCCCGCACCCTGTGGTATATTCTGTCTCTGGGGGGTCATCTTACTCGGCAGCTGGCCAGCACTGTGTGCCGGGTCAGCCGGGTCAGTGTACAGGTTAGAGGGCGGCACCCCCGACTGTGAAACGTGCTGGTCCTGCTGGGAGCCATTGTTGGCTGGGTGCCCCTGGTAGGGGTGATGGTGCTGCACTGCTAGAGGAGACTGGCCGTGTAGCAGCCCTGGCTGCTGGCTATCAGGAGATGCTTGTGGGGACCTACCAGGACTGTGAGTAGAGCTAGGCAAAAAGTCAGTCTGAAAAATAGATTGACTAGATTGTAGAGCTTTAGACTCCTCAATTGTCTAGGTATGAGAAAGCAAACAACTTTGCTTATCTTATGGTAATGTTGGTTTACCATGCTGCTAGAAAAACATGGTTTTCCCATGGAATTCTTTATGAGCAACGTATTAGTTCATATAACTTATCTGTTTATTTATTTAGTCCTAACAAAAAAAAACTCAAAGAGGTTAATTAATTTTGAATATTAAATCTTTAGTAAAAGCTTTTAAAAATAATAACAATAAGATTGCTTTCTTTTATCATAAATTTCTAAATTTAGAAAATAAAATTCCCTTGTAAGTGAATAATACTAACACTTTAAATTTGAACACCACAAAATCTTTTATCAAAAAAAGAATAAATTTTAAACCTGAAAATCTGGATGAAAGTTTGAAGTCATGGTGTGAGTTGTCCCATCGTTATTCATTCCAGCAGTTAGCGCATCTCTCCATTCTTGGTCTGCAGACATTACTGTCTGTCAAGCAAGCTGAAGGTAGAAAAAATGTTTAATAGTGTTGACTTCTTTATTGTTTAACAACAGCATTAATACAAGTATAGTTTTAAATCTGGAGTCACTTTAATGCACCATCTATATAACTTCTGAAAAACATCCATTGGTTATGTTTGGAGTAATTAATATTCAGAGAAATAACTCTAGTTCCACCAGCAGTTATAATTCAATAGAAAAATAGTTCTAGGTTGCCTTAGAAGACTGAAATCTTTAAACAATAGAAACTTATTAGCTTTCAATGATATTAATCAAATTAACTAAACTCTTATCAAAATATCAAATTATAAGTAATATCTTAATTGACCAGCAGTAGTTTTCCATAAATTGCTTGACACCAGTTGTATATATTTTCATACTTAGCGCTGATATTTTTTCACACTTTCACTTGGAAATTCTAACTCGCACAGGGTAGTGTGATAGTCAGAGTTAACGCTACTGTTGGCTACCCTTAAAGTGGCACCTCTGTCTACATTCACTTTAGTTACACCACTAAATTTTGTTCACTTAAATATACCCACCCCTTTAGCTACAAACCCATCATAACATGAAATCCTAACTCTTACCCTTAGTACACCACTAAAACTTAACCCTAAATTTACCTACAATAGCCCACAGCATAACCTAAATCTTACACTAAATCCTACACTAATTTACAATGACAATCTTCCTTATGATGAAACTGAGCACAAACCAAAATCTCTTCCTTTGTAAATGCAAATTTCCAACAAAGTTCTTAAAGAGACAATACTGTATTACCTAGTAAACCAACAAACTTCCTCTCTTCACACTCACAATGCTACTATTTCATAACCAGCCTTACAACTACCAAGCAAATGCATTTTATCAATAGAAAGCTAATCATTAAGACATGGCTGCTCAGACATGAGGGTAATAAGCAAATTATCTTTTTGTTAGCCACCAGCAGGTAATTCCCTTGTTTTATTTTGGTTAATTAAATGTTCCAATGGAAGAATACACAACAAATAGCAATTTAGTGTGGTGGTAGAAATACTAAGCAGCAAAATAATATACAGCAACATGTGATACAGCTAGTTAAAACAAAATAATATGATAAGATTCAGTTAATATTTCATTTTGAGTGTTGTTTATGTGATAAAATTTTAAAGCTGCTAACAGTGGCGTAGCTACCATAAAGCTAGCGTAAGCAAGGCATAGGGGCCCTTTTTTTAAAGTTTGAGAGGGGGGGTGCAAATCGAAAGTTTGTCCCCGGTCGCTACGCCTCTGAGGGCCCACTAACACTTTTTGCATAGGGGCCCAAAAATCCTAGCTACGCCACTGGCTGCTAACCATAAAAGGGGTCCATGAAAATCTCAGATAAAATATTCCATGCAAAATACCTACAGGAAGAATTAACAAAAGAAATAACAAAAGTTTAAGTAATTGGGATCACTGAATCAATTAGGTTATCACATGTGTTAATGGGGGAAACGGGGATGGGACAGATAATTTGTTTTAATTAAGATTTCAAACTACTGATAGGGGTTTTAAGCATATTTTTTAGTTGTATTTGGTGTCAACTTCATTAAAAATAACTTAATGAAAGTTAATGCATTTACAGTAACATAGTCAAGTGATCTTTTTAAAATCTAGTTTTAGAAACAGTTAAGTTGAATAAACCAATTTCCCAATCTTTAAATCCCAAATTGAGTATGGAGCAAATTTTTAAAAAAACCATGTGGCTATCCGTATGGCCATGGCAAAAAAATATTTAGTTCTTTCAAGTTTCTATACATCTAATGTTAAAAAGCCATCTAAAAAAAGCACAAAGCTGAGTGGTCGAGTAGAACATTGTGTGGCTGTCATGCTCTGCTGGATGATGGGTGTTCAAGCCCATCGAATGCCATTCAAATGTTTAGCTTTTCATTTTAAAACTTTTGTTTTTTTAGATGCTATTCATGAAAGGGTTAGGCCTACTTTCTTTTATTTTTTCTTATTTGTGATGTGATTGTGGGCATATTTTCAGCAAAAATAAGAAAAGACACATTCCCTAGATTTTTTCCAACAACTTGTGAGAATTCTGATGGAAGCTGGAAACATGAATGATAGCTGACAGACATGCTATTTCACCTGGTATTTATTCCATTTAAAATGGTAATTGACAGTCCAATTCCAATAGCATTGTGAAGTACTTAAGCGATGCATCACATAATTATTAATAAAAAAATTACTATCAAGCCCTGAATTATTACTTTAGATTTAGATACATAATCATATGCATAACCTGAACCATAGTACTGTTTCTGATAAAAATATAATAATACAATAAAAACAGCACTGTTTTCCAGTCATGCCTTTGTTATTGTTACTGTATTGATTATATTGTAAGTAACATATTATTCCTAGTTGTTTTTTGCATGAAGAGATAGCCAACTGGGAATAGCTTTACTATTGGAGCTATGTCCAACCTACTTGGAATAGTTGGAATAGCCTCTACCTTTTTGGTAGGGGCAGGGGTATGTCGGCTGTGTTGTTGTTGCTATTATTTTAGTTAGTATTTTGATATTTAAGTTTTTATTGCTCTGCTGCTTAGTTACAAAAAACATTGCAAGATCTAGACTACTTATTTAATCAAATGGTTCATATTGTTCTCATAATTAAAGCACTAATCTAGCTAGGCTGTGGGGATAAATTAAATTTGTTGGTGATGGTGGATTGGTTCTGCAGAGTTCTGCAGGGCTGGCTAGAATAAGAGTTGCAGAGTAGCTGTATTCTTTATTAACTTAGATTCTAAATACCTTGACCTAAGTATTAGATATCCATTATAGTATGATTATAGACATATGTTTTACCTGCAACAGAGTCGAATAACATGTAGTCGATTCAGTTTAGTGATAAAAATATGACATTTTCAAAACAATTGTTGACGAGGAAAATTGACGTTCATCAACCCCGGATGAATGAAGCTACCAGTATCTGTATTGTCGTAAAATTCAAATTGAAATTTTTGTACTGATAATTTTTACAAATCTTATTTAAAACGTCTTTAAAATTGTTCGGAATAGTATAAACAATGCAGCGTAATAAATAATAATAATAATTGTATTTGTGTATTTAAAGAAATCAATACTGAATATGGGTATACTAAACTCGTAGCTTTTCGTAAAAACATTAGGCTAACATTCCAAAGTAGAGCATCCCATCCGGAAATTAAATCGTCATATTTAAATACGAAACGAAATACACCAGACGTACATATCTTATCTAATGACATGTTAAATCTTAAAGTGACGGTGTTGTTGACGCTAAACTCTTGTTTTACCTTCAATAATTATTGAATCACTATAAGCCATAAGTGCATCTATGAACTATTACGATAATTAAAATAAACAAATATTCAACATGATCAGTAATGGTTGTGTGATTGAGTTACTTTCTACCCTGCACCCCTCCCCCTCTTCATTGGATGGCTAAATCCACCTTTTATCCATGCCTCTTATCTCTACACGCACATTAACGTTGTAAATATTGGACGCAGTAAGCTATGCACACACCAGGCTAACTGTAAATCTCAAGGCGTAAAGAATAGCACATTTCATCCTGTTTAAAAACCGCGATTTTAACTATTGTGTTAGGCGTTATCCATAAACGGTACTAGGGGAAGGGGTCGGATGCCATTTATGGATGACCTTTAGGCGTATTCATAAAAATGAGATCAACTGTTGCAGTAGAGTAAAAATCAATATAGTTTCACGAAGCTATAAAAAAAAACTAAAGCCAACACGGCTTAATAGAACTAAACGGCATCAGTGTTTCTTCCAGACTTTTTTCTCCGGGGCGGGGGGGGGGGGGGGAGGGGAGCGGACTAATATTTCCGGAGGGGGGGGGGCGAACACTGTTAAAAGTATATATTTCTATATAAATTCCATTACTTTCGTTCGGGGGGGGGGGGGGGGGAGGGGTAGACTTTATTCGTAGGGCAGAGCCCCCCCCCCCCCCCCCGAAGAGATGCCTGGAAGAAACACTGAACAGCATGTAGTCAGTATTAAATAATATTAATACTACATATTAATATTAATACGCAAGTTAGTGCTAAACAGTAGAACAACTAGCCTACATCGTTGTTAAGTTCAAAATCTGCCTAACATTTTATTATCTTAATACAGTTGTAAATACATAATTTAAGAACAAATAAATTCAATAGAACGCCAATCATCGATTACAGTAGCCCTCTGTGTCCCTACGGTATGGCGCTCATTATAACAAGTATATGTTCCGCAGTGCTCACGTGGGAAACTCTGGGTGGCAAACCGAAACACCTTAACGCCAGGGCGCCGCCCTACGAACGAAATAACTATTGATGGCAGAAAACTTTACAGGAGTCAGAGTTTCTTTCTGGATTCTCTTCGAGGGAGAGGCACTGCTCCTCATGTGTAGGCTTGGGGTAGGAAATTTCATGGTCAGTTGGGGTTAGTCTGAAGTTTTGTCATGGCGATTAGATCAGTTTTGTATTAATTCATAAAGTAAAATGATAAAGGATAGGCAAACAGACAAACAAAAATCCGGCGCATTGATTAAAAATAAATAAAACCAACAAAGAAATTTTAATTAACGTTAAAACTAGTAGAAAAACATTGATACATTTTCGACTTAGCTTCTTGTGAAAACATTGTCCAAAAAAATAAATAATTAAAAATAAAAGGCTCAATTGTAATCATGGATAGATGGAATTTCGGTTAGGACAAAAAGTTGAGAAAGGGGGGGGGGGGGGGGCGGGGGTGCAGGTTTGTGGGGTGCAGAGGCGTAGCGACCCATTCCGGCGCCCGGGGTGGATTTAATTTTGCGCCCCCTCCCATTTCTTTATTTAGTTATTTCTATATTTATTCTGTATAGTTATTTTTATACATAGTTCTTCCTTTGACTTCATCTTCTTCTTCTTCGTTCTTAATTATTAGTGTTTGAGGGGATCGAGATTTATCTGCCCGTGGGTTTGAACTCGAGACTTTGTTCGAATTTATCAACCATGAGCTTTTTGCTGACTCGACCACGCCTCCAACACAATTAAGCGTTACGTGTCAACTGGTTATGCGCCATTGAGGCCATTGACTCCGATTTCAGCCTGCTTTTCTTTTTGGATTTGCTTCCATAGCCTTTGTCCAACCAAGAACAAACTACAAGGCAGCAGTTGTTTAATTTTGGAGTTGTCTCTCCTAGAGGAGTGGCTGTCCCCAGCTAACGAGCCTCATCTGCCCGAGGGTTCGAACTCGAGACTTTTCGGTTTAGCAACCATGAGCTTTACCGACTCGACCACGCCGACCCTTGACTTCATCTTAAAATGAGCTTTTTAATTAACTTTTCCTTCCCTTTTTACGCCCCCTTAGGTTCGGCGCCCCCTTAGGTTCGTCGCCCGGGGCGTCCGCTCCACCCTCCCTCCACAAGTTACGCCATTGGTGGGGTGAGGTAGAGAATTTCCCAGTCACGTGAGATTTGTAACGATTCATGAAAATTTACGGGTACCGGATGCCAAGCTTACATAAGAGTCAATGTTCAAATTTATTTATATTTTTATTCTCTCAGCGGCTTTCCCGACAATGCAACAACTCCTGTAGTGTTATTAATACCGATGGGCCCTGTACGACCCCCCCCCCCCCTCTCTGCCACTGAATGCCACTGCCTGTACAGTAAGAAAGGTCGGGGGGGGGGGGGGTGGAGCTTTTGATTATTTCTACAGTAGAAAAGAAACTGGATTTTCATATTCTTTTTAAAAATTATTTTTATAAAACAAATATTAAAATTCCAATGCAAAAGTTTAATTTTTTAAAGAGGGAAAAGGGCTCCTATTTATCTTGGGCCCCTATGCCGTGCTTACGCTAGCTTTACGGTAGCTACGCCACTGCCCAGCTTATCCTTTTGCTTGACGGGAGATACTACATTTAGCGAAACAGAAACTGGCATATTAGTTTGAAGTGATCACATTATGTAACAATTCGGAGAATAAAAATGCATTATCTTTTCTCGTAACAAAGGCTTTGCATCATAGCATTTTAAAAACTCATGCTATTTTATCTAAAGATACAAAGTTCCACCATTGCAATTAAGTATTACGTGTCAACTTGTTACTTGTTATGCGCCATTTAATTTTAGCCATTGAATTCCAGCCTACTCTTTCTGGATTTGCTTCCATAGCCTTTGTCAATCCAAGAACCAACTACAACTAATAATCCTTAGTAAATGACTGCAGGTTATTTCCTTTTTAATGGCGCAATTACCCTATGATAGGTAAGCTGCTAAAAGATCCGGGAGACAGAATAGGAATAAAAAAAAAACTGGTTTAAACAAATACAAGCCGCTTTTGTTAACTTTATGATAAGTTGTGGAATTTAGTTTTGTTCGTCATAACTTTTTTTTCGGCAATCAAGGGAAATAATAATTTTTTGTATTTACAATGGCCGACGAAGTAATTATTCTCAATAGACTTGAAAAGGTTAAAGAGATTAGGTAGATATAAAACTTCAGTTTATTTTAAAACTTAGTTACCAGCATAAAAATGTAAAGTAGAAAAAAAACTACACGATCAAAGTTATTAGATTATTCCTAATAGATCTAATTTCAGTTTCTTTGACATTGATTGATGAAGCCAATTTTTGATTTGGCTTGGCGACTTTATGATTTGTTGGGACACTGAACAATGAAACACTTAACTGTTAACAACAACTTAATACTTTGTCCCTTTTCTGTTGTCTTGCAGATATATTGTTTTATAATACTTATAACACGGTTTTCTTTCATCTTACTTATACTACATTACCATAACAAGCCAATAATTCCTACAAATATAGTTTTTCTCACTAAATCTAGAATTTACGCAATTATCAATTTAAACATGACCACTGAATAATAGACATCCATATTTAATCCATTAGGCACTAACTTTGGAGTTTTTAGTTCTTTTTAAACTAAATTACTTAATTTAATATTTACTGTCAATCACTGCCATGTCCAACACATCTCTCCATGACAACTCTTCTAACCCTTGAAGGTAAAGAAAACCACAAATCAGGTTAGACTTTTTAAGTGGCCATGCACAAGAGTTCCTCACTAGTGATCTCCAAATAGTGGTCACGTGGTTTTTTTTTCAAAAAAAATTTGGTTGTCATTTTTGCGGCTGGTCTTATAAAAAAACGGTTGATGATATTTGATTTATTTTTTCATAGACTGATAAAACTAATAATGCTTTACTATGGAAATCAATTTTGTAATATGGAAATCGATATTTAAAAAGTTCTAGTATTTTTGATGAAACCAACTTTCAAATTTAGCCTTCATTCTCCAACGCAAATTTTAAAATGCTTTTCTGGCATATATAGCCCAGCCACCTATAGCTTGTTGTTATAACGTGAAAGTCCCGCCATTTTGCGCGTGGTAAACATTTTAAAAACTAATTAGTAGAAGGTCTCTGGAATTTGGCCGAAAAATCGTCGGAAGTCAAGCGTCCGGTCCGGACGCCATATTGTTGTTAGCAACCGACCACGCCTCCAAGTTAGCGAGAAATACTAATAATTATCTTATGGCTGATTCTAGCCGGAAAAAGATACGCATGCGCAATTGACTCATAATGGAGAGAAACTACCGCTTTTATTTGTGGCAATGTTTTTGATGGTACAGTGCATGGGTGTGTTTACAAACAAACCTCAGAACCCTAACCCTAACGCAGCTATTAAGGTCACTGCACGTGCACGGCACTGTTCAATTGCATATCTTCTAACTAAACTAAATGTATCGTGTGGTTGAGTTCTTGCGCTTTGGGCGGAATGTCAGGGGGAGAGAATCTAGTATATCTAGTAAAGAGATTTAGTCTGTAAGTAAAGTATCAAATCTTTTTGTAAATAATTTTTTAATACTCTATTTAAATCCACTATTCAAGTTTTAATCATGTTAATCCCTGTCCCATCAAGACAACAATTAGGCCTGAACAATGAACATTTAGATGGCAACTAGAAAAACTAGGTCACTGTAGCGCTGGTTAGTAAACATGCACATCTTCTTCCTTTTAGAATCGGCCATTTTTATAGGCCTATAAGCATTATTCAGTATTCATTAAAGGCCTAGGGCCTATAATGAATAATGTCCTATCCTATATAATATATAATAATAATTAAGCCTAATAATCTAATATAATTAGTTGTTAAACATGCGCATGTGCATCTTCTTCTGGCTAGAGTCTGCCATATTTATATGCGTATAAGCATTATTCAATATTCATCAAAGGCCTAGGGCCTATAATGAATAATGGCCTATCTTAAATACGAATTACTAAGCCTAATAATCTGATATAGTTAGGCCTATAGTCTAATAATAATAAATATATTAATATTAGAGTTTAGAGAATAATTAGAGCAAGTAGGCCCCTTATGTCTAGGCATTTTGATGAAAATTTTTAAATAATTTTTTTTATAAAAAATGTATCAGTTATAGCTAACATTCTAGTAAACTCAGCCATTTTAACATATATTAACTTTTTGTGCAGTCATTATTTCTGTTCCACTCAAAATGCCCAAAATAAAGTATATAGCAACGCAACCAAAATTGCATGTTTTAATGCTAGTAAAAGTCTAGTAAACAAGAGAGAGCCTTGTTCTTTCTACTAATTTCAGTTTACTTATACATTTATTTTACTACACCAAGGTGAAAGTAAATTTTGTTTATGCATTTGTAAAATGACATCTGTTTGATGTTTAGTGATGAAATTGTAATTGTAACATAATGCTTTTAAAAGCAGAAGGTAGATTTTACAGACCAGTCGGTTGTTTGGAATGTTAAGCCAAGTTATGTATCAATATGTTTAGTTAAAAGCAATATGATTATTTAGGAACAAGGTTCTTCTCTGCTCTATTTAACTAGATATTTTAATGCGTAAGTGGTAAAACATGGCTTGTTACAATGTTTAATCTTTAGGCAAAAGACACTGTCTTTAGAAAAATTGCGGTCTAGATTGCGCCAAGAAATAGAGGCAACTGAAACCGAAGAGAAATGTTTGGAAGAGTACAAAAGGGAGATGGAACTTTTGCTCCAAGAGAAAATGGCTCACGTTGAGGAGCTGAGACTTATTCATGCTGACATCAACCTGGTAATTAATTCCTGTACAAATCTGATGTCGCCTATTTAATGATACTACAGACTTCTATCATTTTGAATAATTTATTTTATAAGTTGTTAAATAATATATTTCTATCCAATTTCTAACCCAGTTTATCAATAGCGTCTCAATTTGAATGTTGAAAATTCTTATTTTTTTTTGTATATTCTTTGTTATACCCTTCAACAATATTAATATGGCATCACTGTTATCTCAAATGTTCAAAAAACTAACAAGAATTTTTTTCTTCAAAATTTAAAAAAATATTTAATGCGATTAATTTAGATCATGACGTATCTTGCATATATATATGTGATCTGACACAAGCATTAATTCACAATATGTAGTAGTCCTTATTTAAATATTTTGGGGCACGTTTCATAGCTAATGAACAAATGTTTTATTTTTATTGATCACTCCTTTACTCCAAGTTCACATTATTTTCTACATTTATTAAAGATGGAAACAACAATCAAGCAGGCAGAGGAGGAAAGAACTAAATCGTACGAGACTGCAAAAAGGTTATATGAGGAGTGTCGCCCATTGAAAGAGGAAATAAATGTCCTGCGTATGAGAGCTGGCCTTGATATACAATCTGATGTTGTGGAAGAAAGTGAAAAACTTAAACCAGAGTAAACATTTTTTTTTTGTAGAGTGATTTCATCATTAGCATTTAGTATATAGTACTGAAAATGGTTATTAATGTAAAGTTTAAGAATTTATTCATCAACAATTGCTGCGTAGTAAAACTTGTCTTGTACAACAATGTATAAGTGTGCATGCTGTAATTTATTTTACAAATGCTGATGCAAGTATGTTCAAACTGGATGTTCTGGTGAGAACTTTCCACTTGAAATCTTTGCCATTAGGTATTTTGAGAAGCCGCAAACCTCCGAGTGGAACACAGAGCCGTCAGAGCCACCCATTCCTCAGACGTTGGCGGTCGCTGCAGCTGCTGCACACCAGATCCAAGTTCCACGCAACAAGAATGACAGGCAAGCATTCAGACAGCAGCCTCCTCCCATGAAGGTAAGTTTTCTTACAGTCTTGTGCTGCTGGTTTAGAACTTGTATCACATCTAAGACAGGCAACCATTCTCACAGTCTTGTAGTATTTCTGTATACACCTTGTGTGACTATGCAATCATTGATGACATATCTGTTTACTTGCTCTTCTCATTATGTACATCCTGGATAGTATACAATCTTCACTATTTCTGAAGTCTGTCCTTTCTTCCCAGACTTGTATTAGTGTTTGTATTTGTATTTGTTTTCTAATTATCATGTTTTCTTGCCTTTTTCTTTTTATTCTACTTGAATATTATACAACTGTAATTGTAATGTAATTTTATAAAACAGTAATAATGTTTTGGTTTCATGTTTTTCCTACCCACCAGAGACCAATATTTAAATTTGACGAATTGAAAATTGTGTGATTTTGTTTTCTTATCTTTAGGCCTGTCTGTCATGTCACCAGCAAATTCACAGAAACGCCCCGATATGTCCTCTTTGTAAAGCTAAAAGTCGATCACGAAATCCTAAACGGCCGAAGCGTAAAGCTGATGAGTAAATTTAAAAAATCATTCCATTTTTTTACAGTTTAGGTTGAGAGAGTTTTATCAATTAACCCAGCTCTGTAAATGTGTAAAAATATTATGTGTGAATATCCAATTCCATTTATTTCAAAAACATTACCATTCATTTCTTAGAACTAAATATTTATAAGTTTAATTTACAGGTTGCAAACTTATGAATATTATAATTGTCAAAAAATAATTGTCTAAGTATTGCATAGCAAAGAAGAGAATGAATCTCGATTTTCTAAATGTTTTCTATAAATGTCCAGTAGGTAGTTGTTGATCTGTTTTTAGTTCTTGAAAACATACATTTAAACACCAGTCATTGGTATAAGTAAAAAAAAAAAAACCCATAATTTTTACTTTGCATATGTTTTAAGTAGTAAAGTAAAAGTTTGTTGAGAATCTGTTTTTGTCATCATTAAAATGTTGTTATTGTAACCATTACCTATATCTCTATTGTACATTTTTTCTTTCAAGACACCACCCCCGATTGGTGCTTCAGTGTTGTACTGTATTAGCAAGCATTTTTATAAATTTGTGTGATTTTTATAATGTAAAAGCTATTTATAGGATGTGCATATCATGTAGAATAAATATCTTGATGTAAATATCAAGTGTTTGATTGCAATCAGTATTGAGTACATGACATCCATGGTAAATGACATTTAAAAGCAATGTCATCATTGTGTATGACAAGTCTGACATATCTCCACTACTATTCTGATCTGTATTATGTTGCATTGGTCATCATCATTTTACCATTAGTCTTAAATAACATTTTCTGCTACATATTGTATCATCTGTATAACTAGACTGCTGAAATTTGTGTATTAAGTTGCAATACATGTAAACAATTGTTGAATATTTTTACTAAATTGTTCAATAATTGAAGTTGTCATAAAATTAATTTTATAAAAAATTTTATTTTGTCTTTTTTAAGTTAAACAAATTATAACACCCGATTACACTCAAAACATTTGTTTTCTTTTAAAAAATGACAATTATAATTCTAATTTATTAATTTTTAAGCTTAAGCAACATTTTTAAAAATAATTTGAACAAAAATTTTAAAGAAAAATAAATTACATAAAAAATTGTTCATTAATAATAAATAACATCAAGAATAGACATAAATAAAATGAAGTAAGAACATGAAATTTTGAAAATTACATTAAAAAACAAACAAAGAATCAACAAGTGTCTTTTGATAATTTATTTGTCCCTACAAATATATCCATAACAATGTAAGTGATGTAGAAGCTATTGTAAAATGAGGAAGCCAAATCTAAAGTTGACAAATTTTTATCGATACAATATCTACAGTTAATAAATAATCAAAACTATGATGCTTGCCTGTATAAGTATCAAGCGTGTCTGCACTACATTAATACCAGAATAAATGATAAAACATTTTTCGGAAACTTAAAGTTTATCTTCTCAAGTTTTACTAAATATTTTGGAATAAAAGTTTTAACATTTGTAAATGTTTTGACAAAGTTATGATTTATATGCACCTTTTTTCTATTTATCTATTGGTGCATAGATAGAATATTTTAACTGTATCTATACCATGTGTTTTTTACGCTACATCCCTTTATTTTGATACCCCATATATTACAAAATCTGTAATTGGCTATTAACAAAATCTAATGATTAGATTTCATATAGGGTAAATCTGATAATTTACATTTAAAACTCTAGTTTTGAGGAACAGATTCGAGTTAAACCAAATATATATATACATATACAAAAACTAATACGAAAATAAAAATATGATTTTTGAAGGAATTTTATTACAAAATGCCTTATTGTAAAAATAAGTTATCACAGAAATGAATACTGTAGATATGGGCTTTGAAAAATAATACTTTTACATAACTATTTTATACAACAGACTCACAGCAGGGCTATAGCAGAGAGTTTAACATTCACAATTACGTAATGGTTCTTATTTTACTTCTCTTTGAGCTTTTATTTTCATAAATAATATTTGAGAATATTACTCTGTATCTTGATAAAAAAATTGAAGGGGCTTTAGCTTTAAACATATATATAATTTTAGAAAAACATAATCATTTAAGGTTTATTGGTTTTTTGGAATCTCTGCATATAATTCCTGCAATTTAAAAGATAAAATATACATTCATAATTTTGGAAGATATTTTTCCATATAATTTAAAACTTGACTATGCTAACAGCTGTGTATGTATCTTGGAATCATGTGTATGATCATCATAAAAAGGGTTTTTAGCTCTGATGCTCCTGTGGACAAAGGTAAAAAAATGATTTACCAATTAGCTAACCACACAGATTGATCTAAAAGATAATAACTCTTTAATACTTTATTTCATCAATATTTTTAATAACTCTGGTTAATTTAAGCCACCACTACACTAAACAAAGATATTTATTTGTATTACATGTTTAATGTTAACTTGTGTTAAAAGTACAAGAGAATGAAATCAGCCAATTGTTTTCAAAAATTGAAGCCATCTTGACCAGAGTTAAATATTTCCTATAAAAAGTGACATGGTGTTAAAAAAATCAATTGTGATCTACCTTCCAACGTAGGGTTCAATTCGTTGCAGTATATGTGAGCTGGGCAACTCATTTCCGTAAGTGTCTATAGTATTTGATTTGGTGAAGCCATTAGGTGTTGGCCTCATCACCCCACCACTCAAGTGACCAGCTCTGTCCACACCAACAGGTGTTGGATCTGGACCAAACCTGCAGGTTCACAAGACAAAGAAATGTAAAATGTGTTCTAATTCTAAAGTTAGTCAGTGTAAAGAGGCTTTCATTTCATCTAGAAATTGCTAACTTATCAGTCTTTGGGAAAAAAGTGTTCTAAAAACATCTGTTTTAATTTATCTTCAAAGAAACTAAGTAATGTAATTATGTTAAGATTCTTGATATTTAATTTTGAATATATTTAAAACAACCCAGCTAACCTTGTCATATAATGGGTCAAAAAGCGCATCTTGTTGTCAGCTGTTTGGACAAATGGAACATGGTTCTCTGTGAAGCCAGTGTCCTCCTTGAAACCAACTTTAGTTCGGTTAACTCTGTCAGCCTCTGTTGGTGTTGGCCTGGCCTGACCTTTAAACTGCTCGGCAGCAAGGCTGAAATACACCAAATGGTTCAAATGCTGAAAAAATGTAGCTTATCCTATCAATAATAACATGATGAGTACTTCATAATTATTTAGTATTACAACATGTATTACTTAAACTTTTTTTATTGGATTATGGGAGGTGATTTCCTTTAATATATTAAAATATTACTTGTCAATATGTTATGAGCCATGCATGGCTTGTTGACTCTACATTGTCATTTAGCTTTTCTTTCTGGATATACTTAGGCAGCAGTTGTTATATTTCTGAGTTTTCTCTCCCCATCTTATGAGCCTCATCAGCTAGATGATTAAACTCGGGGCAGTTGGGTTAACAAACATTGGCTCTACCACCTAACCACACAGTCCACTTATTACCTCAACAGTGTTCAATTATTAGGGCTAGGTCACAAAACTTGACAAAATATCTTACTAACTTTGTAAGCTAGTACTAAAAAAATAACAACTGAAAAGGCTTGCTACCTACCTAGTTCTGTTGTTTGGAACTTGCATGTTGATAAATTCAGCTGGATCATTCTTGCGGGTTCTGTCTGCCTTCAGACCAGGCATTTCACTTAGCCTATCATAGGCCTTAAAAATGTATTATAAAAAGTACAGGTTTTTATTTTTATCTTGTAATCTTTACATAAACAACAAAACCATTGTAATTATTCTTTGTATTTAAATTTAAGATATATTAAATTGTTACGTCCTGACTTCTCATTTTCAAATAATTTTCAGTTCTTGACCATATGGGCAGTACTTACATCTGGAGCTTTGAGGTTAACATATTTAGGTTTAACTTCTTCCCTGGTGAACCCAGTGCCTCTTTCTGACCCATGAGTTACACCCCCTGGTAATGGGTCATCACCCTAAAAACATTGGTTACACATACTTAATCATTATAAACAATGAAATATGTTTTTAATGAATTAAAATATCAAGTGCCTAAGTGTAAAATGTAAAATGTTAACCATACCCGTGACCAAGTGGAAGGTATAAAACTGGTTTTTGTGACAGAAACTCCTGTTGGCCTGTGGGTATACCAGCCCTAAAAGAAAGAAAACAAAAACTAAGAGCCGAAGTTAGAAAAAAGTGGATCATTCAATAACAAAACAATTAAAATAAGATGATTTTACATGACTGGCTATAAGATGGTTTTTGTCACATTTTGTAAAGAAGAGTATCTTATGGCTCCATAAAGCATTAAATAACTTACAGGGCGTTCATTGGTGTATGCAATAGGTCTCTCATAGGTCACTGGCTCATCTGTGATGTTATGCACAAATCCTGACACTTCTTGTGGGCCAATCTCCCTTGTACTAACATCAACTTAAATTTGTATTTGTATATCTTTATAGCACACAGCAAAAATTGAAATTTAGAGTTAAACTATCAGTAGAAGGGAAATTATTATTAACAAGTTAAAGCACTTAGATTATGAATGTTCAAGTTGACTTGGTCTAGCTACACAAACTCAACAAAGTTGTACATTTTTTGATGAATTGTGTTATATGTGGGCTCATAAGAATGAATGTGCTAATAGTTTTATCACTATTGTTGTGAGAGGGTTATAAAACCTAAACACACGTGAAATAAATGGTTTTACATTAAATTAACTAATTTTTCCTGTTCACTGATGTATATTGACACACATATGGATTGAAAGTTTCCAATTTGCTATTTTGCAAGTGTTTAGACTCAAAATTGTACAGTTAAATTTCTTGATTAACATATTAGAATTATCTTCTTGTTTCATTTACTTACCACTAGGATATGGCAACCCCTTGTATTTTTCTTGTGTTTCAGTTGTCATATATTTTGGTCCCTGCAGAAAATAGTTGTGTATTAGTTTAAAAAGCAACAATCCAGTTGTACCACTGATTTCTCATTTATAATAAGGCTATTTGAAATAGTTGTATAAACATAGCTAGAGTAGGCCTACTCTACTTTATATGACAATAGTTAATATTTAACTGTTTTGAAAATACATTCATTTCTTTTTTTTATTTACATTTGTTTAACATTGTAAGTTAGCCCCTATGCTTTACAATAGTGTTGGGGATCATGATAAGACAAAAAGACTTTTAGAATGAGCAAAGATCTCCAGAGCCAGAACAACTTACATATCCATGATTCTCCATCTCTACAGGGTCTTTTGGCTGAAGTTTATGTAACAGAGGTTTAAATTTGGGTAGAATATTTGCAGGTGCGCTGGCAATTCTAGTGTCAATAAATGTTGAATTAACCTAATAAGGGTAAAAAAAATATGCAAACATTTAAAAACATGTTTTGGGGAGAGAACAAATACTTGTTCAAAAACAAAGAAAATTATTAAAAATTAATTAAAAAACTACCTCAATATCTTTTGGTATCGATAGTGCCTTTTGTCTGACAAAAGCTGAAGGACTGTAGTGGACACTGTTGGGAAATACTTCAAGTCCAGAAGGATCTCTGTAAGGCTGGTAATCAAGCTGAGTCACTGAGCGGTAATTTCCATCACATATGCGTCTTTAAAATAAAGTTCATTTAATAATAATTTTTGTAATGAAAAATATATTTGATCACCAGATAAAAGAAAACCGCCATAAATATACCTAAACAAAAATTTTTTTGTTGATTTTTTTTTTTTTTTTTAAACAGTATGTGTGGGCTATCATTCTGAATATTTTACTAAAAAAATGAATTATTAGTACTCAAGCAGTTGTCTATTATGGCAGAGAAAACTTTAAATAACAGCTGATGTTTCAGGTAGGCAGTATGTAAATGTATATTGATATTCACCTCATTGCTGGGTTGTCCACATCATCAAGTCTTCTGTTATATTGAACAACTGGGCGGAAATTACTCAGATAACCTGTGCCTCTATGCTGACCCTGACGGGGTTGGAATTTATCAAAACGAGCTCCATATGTACTAGAGTTTTGTGTGATGTAAAATTTCATAATATTTGTGTCTGCACCTTGAGACTTCTGAATATGGACATTCCGAGGTCCTAGTGGTAACTTGCTCATTGTTTATTTTTTTTAATCTAGTAAAAAGAAAAGGATGCACATCATCGTCATGCATCAAAAGATAAACTAATGATCAGGCTAAAAATACAAAAAAAGCTTGAAAAGTAAGGTAAAAAATAAACAGAAACATGCATACAAAATGTTGATTTAGTATTTACTTCAAATAATGACTATAATTAATAATGTAACATTATGTAATGTAATAGGTCTATTAATTATATTTTGGTATTTGAAAGAGCTCTTAAAATCTTACATTTCATTAAACTCATTAATGTAATTGTAATCATATGCTTTTCAGTGGCTAATAATGGCTAATATATTACTAATAACAACAAATACAATTTAAAAATAAGACATTTATCATTATATATTTAAAATATTTAGGCCTATTCACTTATTATTATATTATGATTATGGGCTAATGGTTTATTATTTAGTACAGGCCTACTGCCTACTATAGTTAACTATATAGACTGTGACTATTAGATCTAAATTTTTATTAATAATATTATTGAATTCATTAAATTTATAATAAATTTTTAATTTATAAATTAAAATTATAGATCTCTGGACTAGAGATAAAAAATAACATTTAATTTTTAATAGGTAATGATTAGGCCTAACTAATAATATTTAATTTAATAAGCCCTATTTGTATTTAATAAATTTAAATATTTTACATTTTAATGTTGAAAATGTGACTTTTGTGTTGGGCTTAGAATTTAGTTAGAGAATCTAGAACTAGTGAACTAGAACTAGAGATCTCTAGATTAGATACTATAGATAGATAATAGATAGATCTAGAGTAGTAGATAGACTAGTTAGGGTAATCTATCGTTTTGGGTACGTAAAATCGCCCGCGGCTATTTATGTACGAAAACGTTACCTCATTGTCAAGGCTTTAATAGAAGTATATTGTCATACTTGTGTGTCAAATATTATAGATAAATGAATAATAAACCTAAATCAATGGCTAAATATATCGATACAGGCCAGAAATTAACTTTAAACAGCAGTGTCTGAGAGCAAGATTTGCTATATAAACAGCAGCCATTTGTAAAATAGAGTGGCTTCCCCCTGAATCTGGCGCTAAAAGCTTATAAATATAAAACTTAGACAAGATGGCTGCTATAGTAAATGAGCATGGTTGCATCTGTTAGAAACATCGCTAGTCTTCATTTATTACGGAAAAGTTTTAATTCAATTGTTTAAAAACAGGTACATAAATGAATCAAGGAAACATTTTTGAATTTTTTAAAACATAAATCTTCCTCAAAATGTGAAATAATTATTAAAATTTAAGGAGTCACCTGTTTTTCACATTACAAATCGCGGGCGATTTTACGTACCCAAAACGATAGATTACCCTAGTTAGTTACTATTAGTAGATTAGTCTAGATCTACCAAGTATTAATAATTGAATTGATCAATTGTATTTTAACACAAACCTTCGTTTTCAAAAGTGTAGATTTATAAAAATGTGCAGTTGCTTAAAAAATAGATCTAGATCTAAATCTTCTTTGCCCCAAATAAAAAGATAAACAATCGAAATTATTTTGTAGCAGTTTACCATACGGCTTCCTATGTCGCTTAGAAACGGCAGACATATTTACACACAAAATACGTACGTCACAAAAAGTAAAAATATATAAACAAATTCTCAGGGGAAATAAAAGAAAAAAGAAAAGAATAGGGTTAAAATTTAAAATGTTAACTTTATTAGTAGCAAAGGATTACAAATGCAAAAATACTGTTTATTTGTCACTTACCCGATTCTGTTGTCAAAAAAGAAAAAAAAAGTGTGCGATGTAATGTAGGCATGTTGATGGGCATGTTGATGTATAAACACGTCTAAAAAAACCAAAAAAAAAAACAACAACAAAGCAATGATTAAAATTAAAATAATTTACAATAAATGATTGTGTCGATTAAAAAGTAATTGCCTTAACTCTGAACTGCTTAAATACTAAATAGTTAATAAATCATTAAATGTGTTGACAATCGTTTACTTCAGTGAGTGTAGTGTGGAAGGCCAGAGGCGTGTATGGGTGGGTTGAGTGATTGGGTATGAATTGTGGGGTGAAGTGTTGGTTGTGTTTTGTGGGTGTAGTGGGATGTGATGTATTTTAATATGTAATGTTGTGGTTTGGGGGGTGTTTGTGGGGTGACTTATGGAGAGTGGTCACTGCGACATTTTTCTCTAAGTGGGGGGGGGGGGGGGGGGGGCGGGGGTCATCCATAAATGGCATCACGCTTTTTTTGATGAATTTTACCTCCTCCTCCCCTCCGTCACAAAAAGCCAGACCCCCCCCCCCCCTAAAGTCACACATCATTACTGTTGAATGTTTCTTAAAGCATCGATATTTTTCCAAAATCTTGTCAGAACTCTGTCAACATATAGTTTTTTTTTTAATCAACTCCTATTAAAATTTATTAAAACTGTTTTCTTAAACGCGAAATAACGGCTAAAACTAGTTTTCTAACATTGCTTTTTTATAATGCAAAAAAGTGACGTCGCACCATCTGACCTCCCCTACCCTCCATCACACACCGTCACAAAATTACGGACCACCCCCAGTGGCGGAACTAGAAAAAATGGGCCACCCCGCAAAAATTTTTTTTGGGCCCCCCTATATATGTATATATATATATATATATATATATATATATATATATATATATATATATATATATATATATATATATATATATATATATATATATATATATATATATATATATATATATATATATACATACACTCAAACACAATACGAATATAGAATACTCCTTTCTGGCCTGATCGAGTTTTGAAAAAAAAATTCAATTAAATCTAATCACAACAGCATGTCATGTGTATGAGTGCATTGGTCTGTTTTGAAAAAAATCTCTGTTTTCATGCATTGAAAATACTTCTAATCATTAAGTCGGTCAAAAGTGTATGAAGCTTTGTATAAGTAATGGTGTCTCGTGTTATGTTTATTTTTATGTTTTTTTGTATTTATATTATTAACTTTAACTACGTTTCCTTTTTATACTATATCATTCTTTAGTACTTATTTTTTAGCGCAATTTCCATTCTGGAGAATTGCGTTTATTAACCCGTCATTTCTGGATGTATGAATGTATGAATGGATGGATGGATGGATGGATGTGTGTCCGCAGCTTTAAGTCGTATCTCCTCCTCAACGAAGCAATATCGGTGACTAGTTCCAAAAGCAATTATGTTAAGCAAGTTACGAGGATGAACATAGGCTATAAAAATTCCGGGTTTCTTTCATGGATTTCCTGGAAAAGCCAAAAAACCTCGAAAAAAGCAGTTTTTGGCCCATATCTCGGCAACCAGACCACTTAGCGATTTGAAACATGTACCAATCGATTTCTGCCATAATTTAGAACAATATTGCCGAAGAAAGTTTTCAAAAATATCCTTCCGTTCGGTCACAAATTTTTTTTTTGAATTAATTAAAATTTGGACCGAATTAGTAGGCATTTTTTCCAACCACACCACACGCGTCATCACTTCAATAGCTGCACCATCACGTTCTATGGCTTCGTCATCACGTTCAGTAGCTAGGCGCGCAATGGTTTTTAGTCATGTAACTCTATTGTAAATAAAACATGTAAAATACTGAAAAAAAAATTAATAAAAAACGTTTTAATAACTAACCAATGGTTTTACTAACCCTGCTCTTGATTTACGCTACGACAGAGCTATTTTTAGATAACATAAGGAAATTGCGCTAAAATTGTCACTAGACTTTTTAATTAACTTGTTTTAAAATAATAATTAAGATAAGTAATTGCTTTTTAATTTGATTATTAAAAAGAGTTTTTGAGCACCCCTATTTGACTATTTGAAAAAGGGAAATAATTTATGCAAGTGGTTTGAACGTTTGCCTATCTTTCACACTACAGCTGTGTTCATTTTTTTTTTAAATTTTACGCAACAGCATGTCTTAGCTACTATATAACATAACTACTGTATTAGATGTGTATTCTCTTTGTTACTTACAAAACCACTATCAAGTTGCCAGTGACGAAACTAATTTATATATATATGTATGTATATATATATATATATATATATATATATATATATATATATATATATATATATATATATATATATATATATATATATATATATATATATATAAAACACGCTATCATTCGTGTATTCATTTGAGACGTCTGCCTTGTTCTCTAGAACAGTGGTTATTAAACGTAAACAATGTAGGCACTTTATTTCTTGGATATTAGTTGTTGGAGCGCTAGTTTATCAAAACTACCACCTATTCGAGCCAGCGTTGTTGTTGGAGCGCTAGTTTGTCTACACTACCACCGATATGAGCAAGCTTAGTTGTTGAGGCGCTATCTATTCTCTTTTTGTAAGGCTAAGAGCGGGAGGGGAGGTCTGAGAAAGGAACTTAAAAGGGACAACAAAGCACCAGTGTGATTTTATCCATCAGTACCAAATTTGGGATGGTCTCAAAATGCCGTCTTAATATCTAGCGGTCTCTCGCGCAATTGATGTTTTTTCAAAAGAATTTTGCCGACAACAGCGTGTGTTTGTAGGAAAAAGAATATACAAGTGCGTGGGATGGTGTCTATAGAATAAAGATACTCCAACCACAGCTACGGTATTCTTTTTCAAAACAACCATCAGGTCAAAAATGCAAGAAAAATAATTTTAACTATAAAATTTTTTTTATGGGCGGCTGTGGGCCCCCTAAACGGCCTGCCCCCCCCACCCGCCCCCCCCCCCACCCGCATTGCGGGGTCTGGCGGCACTGTAGTTCCGCCCCTGTATAGATCTTTTGGTTATTTTTAGGGTTAAAAGCTAGATCATTGTATCCTAAAAAATTTTAACTTTAAAGTATTTAGTGTTAATAACTAATGTTCCATTAATATGTGTACTAATTATAAAACGATTAATAATATAAAGACGAGTCTTACCTTCCTTGTTGTGTGAATTAGATTCGTCAACGAAATACTTCATAAAGTAAATGAACAACTACCGACTAGTGTCTTTAACAAAATGTGCAGAAGTGGTCAGTTTACAGTTCAGTAGTTCATAAACGGTTCGTTAATCTATGCATTACATCTTATTGTAAGAGTAAGGGTGTGGTGAGGGGTAGAGGTTAGGAGGATGGGGGGGGGGGGGTAGAGAGTTGGGGAGGTTCAAGGGAAGGGGACAAGAAAGCGCCGATGAACATCTACATCAATAGCGCCGACTTTTTCCGGTCGTCTAGAAGACCAGGATAGTCGCCGCAACATTTCCCCAGCTCGATTTTCAAAGCTTTTTTGTTCTCCTAATCGACGCCACTAAAAAAGAACGGTAGGTTGCATCTTTGAAGTTGTCTATATGTCTGGCGGTCTCTCGAGCTATAGTCTGTGCATTTTTCTCAAAGACATTTGCCGACTATCGTGTTTGTTTGTAACTGTAGAAGAAAGATAACTCGACATCCACCTAATTTTTTTTATTTAAATTAAAAAAAAAGTATAATTTAGCCAGGATTTTTGGGCCCCCAATCCGCCTGGGCCCCCCCCCCCCCCCGCATTGCGGGGTCTGGCGGCACTGTAGTTCCGCCCCTGACCACCCCCTCCCCCTACGAGTGTGATGTCATTTATAAAACCGTTTTCTTAAACGCGAAATAACGGCTAAAACTCGTTATCTAACATTGCTCTTTTATAATGCAAAGTGCAGTCACACCATCTGACCTCCCCTCCCCCTCATCACACACCTTCACAAAATTACGGACCACCCCCTCCCCCTTACGAGTGTGACGTCATTTATGGACGACCCCTAGGGATTGTGGTGGCCTTTCATTCAGGTGGCACTGCCCGCCCAAAGAGATCCCCGAAAGAACCTCAGGATGAGTGATATGGTGTGGAGCGTAGGGTGAGGTTAGTTCAAGGGGGGGGGGGGGAGTTGGGAATGTAGGTTTTAATGTGTTCTGTATGTTGAATGGTGTCATGTAGGTTGCAGGGTGTGGTTTGCATTGTGCAGGGGTGACAAGAAGCTATAGGCTTTATCCTGGAATATTCCCACTTCAACCAAAGAAATGTTGTACAGATGAAACCTTACATTTGAACGAGGTGAGGGCATACTTAATTCTATGTCATGCCTGTAGAGCTTCATAAAGTTGCATCCAGTAAGGTTATTCGAAGATTATGTGCCCTCTTTTTAATTCTTGCTTGAGCTCTCAGGCATGAAACCTACCAATCCGTGACCAACAACTACAGCTTGCTGATTGAGTGATCACTAGGACTCGTCTTGATAACTTCTCTCCTGGAATGAGTAATGGTTTATCAATTAATTGTTTTCTGACTGATTCCAAAATAATGTGGTTAAAATTATATATAGTTGGAGATGAATGTTTAAGAAGTCGATGAAAATTGAATTACAAGATTTGCCACTAAACCATTGACAAACATTATTAACCAATTAAAAGCTTATAGAAGTTATCCTAATTTTCTTTTATTTTGTTCCTTATGTATTATGGAGCAAAATCACACACAAATTTGTGTTGTACCTGTGATATATCATGGTTGTGCTGCTTTTAAATTAGAAGATGGTTCAATTATCTAATATATATCTATGTATGTATTTTATTAAAATTTGATGAAAGACTGATATTATATGAACTCCTGAATGCAGGGGCGAAACTACAGTGCCGCCAGACCCCGCAATGCGGGGGGAGGGGGGGGGGGGGGGCCCGGGACGTTTAGGGGCCCGCAGCCGACCATAATCAATTTTTTTTACAGTTAAAAAAAAATAATCTTCTAGCATTTTTGACTTAATGCTTGTTTTGTAAAAAGAATACTGAAGCTTAGGTTGGATTATCTTTATTCTATAGACACCATCTCAAGTCCTCTTTCTCCTACAATCAAACACACGCTGTTGTCGGCAAAATTCTTTTGAAAACAAATCCATATAAAATAAACCGGGAGTGATCTCCCCTAAACTTTCTCGAATATTCTTATATAACTTGGAATGTAGACATGATTTTTAATTACTTAAACTTTTAAAAATAGAATAGAATCTCATAGAAAAAAACATTGCGCACCAAACAAACGCCGAAACAAAATGTGCATAATAGTGCGCAATATTATTAGTACTTTAAAAATTTACATTAGTTTTTTGAAAAATCGGAAGTAGCGTAAATTACTACTTCCGGTCAACGGAAATTACTCAAAATTTAACAGAAGGTAGAGAATTAGATCTTTTACTTACATGTGAAATTTCATTTATCTATCTGAAATAGTACTCAAGTTATAGGCTTTTGAAAAATTCAAAGTAGAAAAAGTACCACTTCCGGTTGTCGGAAATCGCTCAAAAGTTGATACGGATCTACGATTTTGATATAATACTTATATATGAAATTTCATCAACCTAGCTGTAACGGTACTCAAGTTATCGTGTTTACACACAGACACACACAGACATACGGACAAGATTGCAAAATTATGCTTTTCTGTATCAGTGAGGTGTAAAACGTCGAGATTTGTAAAAATCTCGATTTTTTTTTGCACGATTACAATACTTTCTCTATACTACGTATATACGAGAAAGTAAAAAGATACGCAAATGTTCTAACCACTTCCGTGACTTATTTCCCTTTTTTAAATAGTCAAATATGTAACCTTAAGCACCCTTTAATAGATTTGCACTTAACAATATAAAAAAGCAATTACTTCTCTTAATTATTATTTAAAAATACATATTAAAGAATGACAAAGCACAAAAAGGAAATGTATTTAAAACTAATAATATAAATACAAAAGAACATAAAAATAAACATAGGGCGAGAAACCATTACACATACACAGCTTTCATGCTTCATATGATTTCGACCGTCTGTTTCATAGGAGGCATCATAACAAAAGTAAAACAGATTTTCAAAACAGACTAATAGCAGTCACACAAATGACGTGTTGTAACTTGTTTTTACTTTTTAATAAAAACTAAGTATTTTAATTATTATTTTTTTTAAAACTCGAACAAGACCAAAATGAGTATTCTAATCTATGTTGGTATTTTCGTATATATATATATATATATATATATATATATATATATATATATATATATATATATATATATATATATATATATATATATATATATACATACATACATATATATATATATATATATATATATATATATATATATATAGGGGGCCCAAAAAATTCTTTGCGGTGTGGCCCTTTTTTTCTAGTTCCGCCACTGCCTGAATGTCTTAATTCCATAAATTAATAATCAACATAATTATATTTCTAATGACATATTTCTAAAGACACAAAATGTCAGAAGAAAATGTGATTTTTAATACCAAATTAGTCTGTTGGTTTTTATAATTTTTTTGCCATTATATAACCATTAAAAACAAACATAACAAACAAAAAATTAACTCCAGATTTATCACAAAATGACAAAGATTATAATTTAGCATCAGCTGAAATAATACAGTAAAAACAAAATCACCAATATAAAAGTAAACTTTTTTCTAACATTTAACATTTTAAGCTTTAAAAATTCTTAAAATACAAAATAATATTGATCTGGTAGATAAAGCGGTTATGAAAATAAGACAATGTTTTAATATCCAATCCTGAAATAGAAACATGAATGTTCAGCTAAATATTTCATTAGTATGGACTTGATTTTTAAAAAAGCCATTACAATACAATGAAAAAATAATGATCCAAATTATTACACATTTACAACACTGAAAGGAAATGTACTATTGGATTATTTCCACATCTTGTCTATGGAAAATTTTATGAAGAAAAAGCAGTTCAGTTTTAAGAAATTTGATCAAGTATAGGTACTTAATTTTTCTTATTTGTATTTCTTATTAACCCGTTTTACAGATAAAAAGCTACTTCTGAGAAAAATGCACATAATACAACAAATCTAAAGAAACACTGATCTAATTTGATGTTTTACGACTGACTTTCTGTACATTTAATTTAGATGTGCATTAGTTATAAATAAAATTATCAGTGCTGAAATAAATGTTAGTACATACAATACATGTACAAGTGTATATGATTATTTAAACTCACAGTATGCTACATAGATAAAGGTAAACTAGTGTCAACTTTCAAAAATGTATTGTTGTTTTAGATGTATCAAATATATTAAAAATTGCATAAAGGTGGTTGTCGAGTTGGGCACAATTTAGTTGTCAAGTCAACATCTTCACTTGCAAAGTTTCAAGCCCAGCAGCTCATTGGTGAATCAAAAATTAAAATACACTAACAATGCAAAATATGTTGTTGAGGAACATGTTTTTAATGCATGGGTTCTAGATATAGTAAACCTGAGCATATAGTTCTCAAGGAAACGTCTTCAATTACAACAGCTGAGCTGATGAATCCAAAAGTGATTATACTAATCAATACACTAAATAAAAACATGCTGGTGAGGAAAATTATGTGAAGAGTTAGACAATCTGTGCTTAATTTGTGTGTCAGCCATCATTTCAACTTTTTGGTGTAAATGTATAAATGTTAAATAAAAATATTATTTAATTTAGTTAACTTACTGAGTAAACTAATACAATGGGACTTTTTATATAGGAAATGCTGCTAATTTTCACAGTAAGATTGTTTTATATGCATACATGTAAAGATTTTCTGGTTTAGCACAACATGCTCATGTTTTAAAATTTATTTTTAGTAAAAGTGATCAATGTTTTAAAATTTATTTCTAGTAAAAGTGATCAATGTTTTAAAATTTATTTCTAGTAAAAGTGATCAAATGCTGATGGACCTTGGTTACCATCAGAGAGCTTTAGCTAGCAGATAATATTAATTCAACTTTTATAATGTATTTAAAAAAAACATTGAAAGTAATATAAATAATGGAAAATGGTTTGACAAGGAGAACCTTATTCATTAGTGCACCTTACCCTGTTGATCTATAAATATATTTATCTTGCTGTTAATACCATTAGTTTTTCTCTCTTTATTGTTAGTAAGCGAATCTACAATTTAAAAAACAGATATTTATTGAAAAGGTTAACACTTGTTGTTATACTTAATTTAGAATTCTAAGCTATTATTTTTGTTTACCAGAAGTAAGAATGAGGTTCCACATAAGAACTGATTATGGAAAGGTATGTCGACCTTATTCCTCAATTTGGATATGAACCATTTAATAATCAGAGACCAGCCCAGCCAATTAAATGTAATCAAGCCAATACAGAACAGTGAACAATTAACATGCAGTTATCAATTTCACACTGATACACCCAACATTAAAACTATTACTTTGTCAAAAAGTTTGTAACTACTTGCACAAGAAACAACTGCAAAAACATGCTACTTCTAATGCCATATTTTATTTCAAGTATCAACACTTTAAGAGGTAAGAATTTAGGAGATGAAGGCAATTTACCTACACATTACATTGTGATGTTACAAAAATAATTATATAAAGTAGATGGTAATTATTACAATGAAAAATATAAATGACTATAATGGCATTCATCACAGTCAGTGTGTTTGTATGTGAATCATTTTTGCTACATGATTTTCTTCAATTCAGAATATTCATTAAGTTATTTACAGCATTGTTACATGTTTAAAAAAAACAACCATAGACATAAGCACTCATCAAGATGCATGATGGACAGGGCAAGTTTGTACAACACAAGATGCAAGAAAATAAAATGTTGGGAAAAAATCTTCTTGGCTATATTTAATAAATCAAGATATAGAAAGCCAAAAAAAAAAAAAGGGACAATTGAATTGATGAAGCAACAGTCCCAGATAATACTGACACTTTAGCATTTGAAAACAATAAGCAGTATCAAAACTAAACTATATGAGATTCAATATGCCAAACAAATTTTTAATGCAACAAATGATGTGGACTATCATTGCTTTATCTAAAACAAGCCACAGAAATTACTGGTAAAGCTTATGTTATGAACGGAAGTCAAATAAGCAATGTAAAAATATAATTTTGAAAATAAGAAAACTAGTAGGCATTTAATCATATAAAATCTTTAGTGTCTGGTTATGAAAAAAAAACCCTCAAAAAATTAAAGTGAAACAAAAATTGGTTGGACTTTAGCGTAATCAAAAATTGTATTGTAGCTAACAAAAATGCAGCCACCTGCCATGTTAGAATAGTCACCCTTGAACACATTGGTAAAATATAACTCTAATAGGGTACATTATGTTGAAATAAATGCTAATCTAATTTCCTTAAAAAATGTAACAGCAGTAATAAAAAATATCACTACTATGCATGTACCAAAAATGACGAACAATTATTTTCCTTTCACAAAGTTTTAACACAAAGTACTTCAATGCCAGGATGAGTTTTTTTTTCTAAATGCCTGGAAAATACATTTAAAGTTACTAGTATTTAACTAAAATCATGAAAATACTTGTGATGGTAATAAAACTATTAAAACAATAATCTGCAGCCATCTCACAAACTTAACACATCATTTGATTAAGAAAAAAAAACACATTTTTTTTTGTAAACAGTTAATTCATTTTATAGGCAAAATAAATGGTTTAAAAAAGTAATAAAAACCAGTTTTTCAACAACTTTAGAATTTTTTTTTAGAGATTTATCCATTCATAACACAGAAAGAATAAGTATCTAGCTTTACAATTTTACTTTACTGATAAAAAATAGAACCCTCAACCAGTAAATGCAATTTGGTGGAAAAGATGGTCTTCTACTTTGTAATAAATAAATAAATAATAAATAAACAATCAAAGATCACTGCTCTTTTTTATCATCAGCTCGCACATCTCCTCTATCTGCAGGAGGAACAACATTTGTATCAAGTTGACTCTTCTCAAACACAGACTTGGGTTCAGCAGCCAGAGATTGCAGGAAGATGATTAAACGACAAGTCAAAAGCAATGAGAAAACAATGGCAGGGCTCATTTTCTCTAATCCTTCATCAAGGGCATAATGAGCATAAATCTCATTTAGTGTTATTAACAGTAGGAAAATGTTAGCTCCTTCTTTCAGAGGACCTGCAGCGAAAAAAAAAATAAAAATAAGTCGTCATCAATAAAAGATGGGTTTCTTAAAATAACTTTAAAACTGATAAAGAAAAAAATATTTTAAAGAAGAAATATGTTACTGCCTGCATTGTGTTGGCTAAACTAACATTAAGAAAAATTAGAAATGCAAATATAATAAGATTTACATGCCAACTTCTAATTCTAGGACGTGAGTGCAATATTTAATTTTGTATTGCATTCTACATTATATTGCAAACCAACATTATTTAAAAATCAACCCTCATTACTGGTGTTAAAACAAGGCATCAAGCTGATAAAAATGATCCTTGATTACGCATTTGAAAAAGTAAAAATAAGCATTAATAATGTTACCTGGTAAAAAAGCAAGAAACGCCCCACAAATGATTTCTGCAGAGCCAACTGTTTTCCTGTAATTGTGTGGATTTGGCTTCCAACCAGTTTGTTTTACAAGAGGAAAAACTTTTGAATTCCGGATATAGATTTTTCTCTGAAATATAAGGTGTGAAGCATGTTCTTAATACAGCTGGGGTGAGCTCACCTAAACTTTCAAATATTCTTATATAACAGTAAGGGTTAGAATGGCACAAAGAAGATTTGGTAATTGATTTTGATTGTTTTGTTAAGGTTCTAGCTAGGATGAATGAAAGCACTGATAGTTTAGTAAATCTAAATAAAAGTTTGTGCTTCACTAAATTTCCAATTAAATTAGCCACCATTTAATGCTTATATCAAAGTACTTGTCTGATTTCTTTTTAAAGGGATGAAAAAAAAAGGCTGCTACTATATGGACCCAGCAATAAGTTTGGTTTTAGTTAGTTTTAGTTGCACATAATCATAATGGATGAAAATGGTGAGACGGGTCTTAAAACTGCCAGTGATATGAGGATTTTTGTCTCGCAATTTATCGCCCCAATACTTACGATGTATGGGGGTAAAATGCGAGGATCTCTGTGAAAATTATACAGCATTCAATGAACAGGCATGACCTATATTGAAGTTTTTATATGCACTTGTGCTGATAAGAAAATGTGAGCGGGCAACAATGTTAAGAATTCTTAGTATTTAAAAAAAATTTAGTCTAAAATATTATTCTCTTTATGAACTCACAATGAACCGTCGACTGAGACTGGATTTTTTTCCCAGCTGACAAGAAAATGTGAGCATGCGATCATAGGTGCAACGATGTAAAAGATTTTTTAATATTGAACTCAATGGAATAGTTTAACTTGGGGTATAAATTAATATTAATTAAAAATTTTGTTGGACAGGCTTCTGACGACTCTTATTAAATAATAGAATGGACCCAAGCGAGAATAGTCTCAAAGGTATTGAGAGTCCCATTGAATATTTTGCCAATGCCAGTTCTGGAAAAGGTATTCAGTGGACACTCACGGGGAAACTAGAAGATCTGGAGTTTGCAGATGATCTTGCCTTACTCTCGCACAAGCTACAGGACATGCAAGAAAAAGTTGATGCATTAGGAGCCATCTCGCAGCGCGTAGGTCTGAAGATCAACAAAGAAAAGACGGAAATGATGAGAATTAACAATAAACAGGAGGCTCCAGTGTCAATAGACGGAAGACAGGTAAATGATGTGCAAGAGTTTGTCTACCTTGGCAGCAAGATCAGCAAAACGGGAGGCACAGAGGAGGACATACGCGCTAGAGTTAATAGAGCCCGCTGCGCTTTCACAGTCCTGCGACCCATATGGAAAAGTTCGTCCATCTCCATTACCACAAAAATTAGGATATTTAACTCTAATGTCAAGGCAGTTCTGCTGTATGGAGCAGAGACATGGAGAGTCTCCAAGGCAAGCACAGCAAAGATACAGACCTTCATGAATAGATGCCTTAGACAGATACTGAAACTGAGATGGCAGGACAAAGTGCCGAACTTGGAACTATGGAGGAAAGCTAGGCAGGAGCCTATAGGTGTGCAAATAAGAAGGAGGAAGTGGCGCTGGGTGGGTCACACACTGCGAAAGGCTCACACAAATGTTACACGCCAAGCGCTTGAGTGGAACCCCCAGGGAAAGCGGAAGAGAGGGCGCCCAAGACAGACCTGGAGGCGGAGTCTTCTTAAAGAACTGAAGCCAATAGGGATGTCTTGGGAGATGTCAAAATTAATAGCCGAGGATAGGAAGAAATGGAAGGAAATGGTGGAGGCCCTATGCTCCATAAGGAGCAAAGAGGACTCAGACTAAGACGACATTGAATATTTTAAAAATTAATATGGTTATAAAATCCAGGCTGGTTTATTTCAGACTTATAAAGAGTGGTTGCATTTGGCGTTTTCACATTTTTGGTAGCCTTATTTAAAGCAATTTTTTTAAAAAAAGGGCAAAAGCAATTAGTTTCCATGTGCAAATGGGGACATAGACAGTGATATTCTGTAGGCTAGCATAAATTTTAGGACGGTATTTCGAGTAGTCCCTTTGAAACTCAGACAGAATTTCCCCCCCTGCCTAGCCTCAACCAACTGGCGGGCTTGTTGCATTGAGTTAAATATATTAACTCAAAACAATAATATTTAGATTTTCCGTTAGCAACCTCCAAGTTAGCGAGTAATACTAATATATGAGTAATAATTAATACGAAGTGACTACGCGTCTCGCAAAGCGTGGCCCCTAAAGAATATACTACGCGTCTCGCAGGTTTGATTCGCCATCTTGCAATTGAAAAAACTTATTTTTGACTTCTCTATCACATCCGCTGTGGTTAAGTCAACAGTGTGCCAGCTGTAGTCTGAAATTTATGGACCCGGAGTTCAGAGTTCGAACCCGGGGTTACCTTTTTTTTTTTTACATTTTTTTTTTCATATTGAAAATATGACGTAGACTATGATTGTTTTTTTTTTTTTAATAAATTTTCCAAACATCGTCACTGTCGTGATCACGGCCCACGGTCGGCGAGGTCACTGAGTTCAGCAGGCCTAAAGCATACGTCATAGGCGTTCACTCGAGATCGTCTGTCTTCACTTCTCTCTTCCTCCCACCCCCCCCCCCCCACCCCCCTCCCCCCTCAAGCAAATTTAATTTTTTTTTTTTTTAAGTTCACGTAGGATAAATAATATAGACTTAGATCTACTATCACTATAAAGGACAGTGTGATTTAGCTAGGTTGCTGCTAGATCTAGGACTATCATCTGACCCATCTGACCTCACAAACTTTCCTGTACTGTTTTTTTTTACAAGTACTAGATCTAGACTCTTATGTGTTGAAATAATATAGAGATCTAAATAAGCTTAAACTCGATCTAGATCTATTTCAACATTAAATTGTAACCAAGAAAAAAAAATCGGGCAGTCCTGATATCTGTTTTTTTTTTAGATCGCGTGCCACCTAGGGTAAAGTTTAAGCGTAACGCGGAGCGAACTGCGTAAAGGCGGCCTTACGCGTCACGCGGAGCGAACTGCGCAAAGGCGGCCTTACGCGTCACGCGGAGCGAATCGCGCAAATGCGGCCTAATTAATATAGGCTATACAATCTCTTTTCAGTCAGTTAGGCCACATACCATGCACGCACAGTGTTATGCCTTAACCAAAACAAACTCGATCTATTCTATAGCAGTAGGCTTAAAAAAATTTAAACTCAAAAAATTATTTTCAAGTTCTAGGCCTGTACTGTAGAGTGTAGTTTTGCAAATTTTATTTCATGGATTCTAAAAATATTTAGATCTAGATCTAATTTCTGAATTATTTTTATTTTTGTTTAGGCTTAAGTTTTTATCATTTTTACATCCGCTATGAAGTCAAAATAATATTAATTTAAAAAAAAAACGAATTTTATCCTGCCAACATGACGGCAGGACTCTTCAACTCGGTGGCCTCCATATAAAAAACAGTACGAAAAATTACTGTTAAGTAAATCTAGTTTTCAATAGATCTAGATTATTAAAAGATAAAGAAGCCTTACCATTTCTTTATAGATCTCCCCGTTTACAGATGGAGTCAGTTTGATAGTACCCACAAAAATAAAAAACAAACCCAGAGTCAGACCTAAGACTTTCAATACAACGGACGCCATGGTTGTAGCCTATACCAAATAGTCAACCTCTTCAATACCGAAGTTTATTTATGTAGGTTTGCATTCATTCGACAATAGTACAAAAACTATATTAAAGATAAGGAACAAATAATATTTAGGTGTAAATAGCCTTTTCCCTTTCACTATCTTTTTGTAGTTCACTGTGTCCATTTATTTGTTTGTTGGATTGTGGCAAATCATGTAACTTCTAATGCAGATACCTTCTTCTTCTATGACAATGGAAGAGAACCTAATTTTTAACTAAATTAGACAATTAGACATAATCTGTTGGACCCATCATCTGTTTGACCCATCATCGATTGGAACCATCATCGAGTGGACCCATCATCAAGTGGACCCATAATCTGTTTGACCCATCATCGAGTGGACCCATCATCGAGTGGACCCATCATCTGTTTGACCGATCATCAAGTGGACTCATCATCGAGTGGACCCATCATCTGTTTGACCCATCATCGAGTGGACCCATCATCGAGTGTACACATCATCGAGTGGACCCATCATCTGTTTGACCCATCATCGAGTGGAACCATCATCGAGTGGACCCATCATCGAGTGGACACATCATCGAGTGGACCCATCATCGAGTGTACCGATCATCGAGTGGACCATCATCAAGTGGACCCATAATTTGAGTGGACTTCTAATGCAGATACCTTCTTCTTCTATGACAATTGAAGAGAACCTAATTTTTAACTAAATTAGACAATTAGACATAATCTGTTGGACCCATCATCTGTTTGACTCATCATCGATTGGAACCATCATCGAGTGTACCGATCATCAAGTGGACCCATCATCTGTTTGACCCATTATCGAGTGGACCCATCATCGAGTGGACCCATCATCTGTTTGACCCATCATCGAGTGGACCCATCATCGAGTGGACACATCATCGAGTGGACCCATCATCTGTTTGACCTATCATCGAGTGGACCCATCATCGAGTGGACACATCATCTGTTTGACCCATCATCGAGTGTACCCATCATCGAGTGGACCCATCATCTGTTTGACCCATCATCAAGTGGAACCATCATCGAGTGGACCCATCATCTGTTTGACCCATCATCAAGTGGACCCATCATCGAGTGGACACATCATCGAGTGGACCCATCATCTGTTTGACCCATCATCTAGTGGAACCATCATCGAGTGGACCCATCATCAAGTGGACCCATCATCGAGTGGACCCATCATTTGAGTGGACACACCATCAAATGGACCCATCATCGAGTGTACCGATCATCGAGTGGACCATCATCAAGTGGACCCATAATTTGAGTGGACCCATCATCTGTTTGACCCATCATCGATTGGAACCATCATCGAGTGGACCCGTCATTGAGTGGACCCATCATCGAGTGGACCCATCATCTGTTTGACCCATCATCGATTGGACCCATCATCGAGTAGACCCATCATCGAGTAGACCCATCATCGAGTGGAACCATCATCGAGTGGAACCATCATCTAGTGGACCCATCATCCAGTTGACCCATTATCGAGTAGACCCATCATCGAGTAAACCCATCATCGAGTGGACCCATCATCTGGTTGACCCTTCATCGAGTGGACCCATCATCTGTTTGACCCATCATCGAGTGGAACCATCATCGAGTGGACCCATCATCAACTGGACCCATCATCGAGTGGACCCATCATCTAGTGGACCCATCATCCAGTTGACCCATCATCCAGTTGACCCATCATCGAGTAAACCCATCATCAAGTGGACCCATCATCGAGTGGAACCATCATCGAGTGGACCCATCATCGAGTGGACCCATCATCAAGTGGACCCATCATCGAGTAGACCCATCATCTGTTTGACCCATCATCGAGTGGACCCATCATCTGTTTGACCCATCATCGAGTGGACCCATCATCAAGTGGACCCATCATCGAGTAGACCCATCATCTGTTTGACCCATCATCGAGTGGACCCATCATCGAGTTGACCCATCATCGTGTGGACCCATCATCTGTTTGACCCATCATCGAGTGGAACCATCATCCGTTTGACCCATCATCGAGTGGACCCATCATCGAGTGGACCCATCATTTGAGTGGACCCATCATCGAGTGGACCCATCATTTGAGTGGACCCATCATCGAGTGGACCCATCATCAAGTGGACCCATCATCGAGTTGACCCATCATCGAATGGACCCATCATCTGTTTGATCCATCATCAAGTGGAACCATCATCGAGTGGAACCATCATCGAGTGAAACCATCATCAAGTGGACCCATCATCAAGTTGAACCATCATCGAGTGGACCCATCATCGAGTGGACCCATCATCTGTTTGACCCATCATCGAGTGGAACCATCATCGAGTGGACTCATCATCAACTAGACCCATCATAGAGTGGACCCATCATCGAGTGGACCCATCATCTGTTTGACCCATCATCAAGTGGACCCATCATCGAGTGGACCCATGATATGTTTGACCCATCGAGTGGACCCATCATCGAGTGGACCCATCATCAAGTGGACCCATCATCTGTTTGACCCATCATTAAGTGGACCCATCATCGAGTGGACCCATCATCTGTTTGACCCATCATCAAGTGGACCCATCATCGAGTGGACCCATCATTTGAGTGGACCCATCATCGAGTGGACCTATCATCGAGTGGACCTATCATCAAGTGGACCCATCATCTGTTTGATCCATCATCGAATGGACCCATCATCTGTTTGACCCATCATCGAGTGGACCCATCATCAAGTGGACCCATCATTTGAGTGGACCCATCATCAAGTGGACCTATCATCAAGTGGACCCATCATCTGTTTGATCCATCATCGAATGGACCCATCATCTGTTTGACCCATCATCAAGTGGACCCATCATTTGAGTGGAACCATCATCGTGTGGACCCATCATCAAGTGGACCCATCATCGAGTGGACACATCATCAAGTGGACCCATCATCGAGTGGACCCATCATCAAGTGGACCCATTATCTCAAATCTAAGTATCTTTACTGATGGCCGTCCCAAATTTAAGTATCTTACTTGATGGCCGTCCCAAATCTAAGTATCTTTCTTAATGGCCGTCCCAAATCTAAGTATCTTTCTTGATGGCCGTCTCAAAAACTCAGTATCTTACTTGATGGCCGTCCCAAATCTAAGGATCTTTCTTAATGGCCGTCCCAAATCTAAGTATCTTTCTTGATGGCCGTCTCAAAAACTCAGTATCTTACTTGATGGCCGTCCCAAATCTAAGTATCTTTCTTAATGGCCGTCCCAAATCTAAGTATCTTTCTTGATGGCCGTCTCAAAAACTCAGTATCTTACTTGATGGCCGTCCCAAATCTAAGTATCTTTACTGATGGCCGTCTCAAATCTAAGTAACTTACTTGATGGCCGTCCCAAATCTAAGTATCTTACTTGATGGCCGTCACTATTTTCGACTACTTTCAACTCTCCTCCCCTATCGCCACACTGTTTCTTCAGCCCGCCCTCTCATGCATCATCATCGCCATCATTGCCAAAATCATTTTTTTAATTTGTCTCCCCTTCTCCGTTCCAATCTTCTTGGCTTGTTCTGTATTTCTTTGGCTGTTCCCCTATGCCAGGGGTCGGCAACCTGCGGCTCGCGAGCCGCATGCGGCTCTTTTGATATCAAGATGCGGCTCTCCATTACTAATAATCTTAATAAAAAAATAAAATATTTGAAATAAAAAAATGTAGGTGGCTCCTTAAAACCAGGGAAATTTTGAAAATTTTAACTTTTGGCTCTTCCGCTTCAAAAGGTTGCCGACCTCTGCCCTATGCGAGTTTCAGAATTAAGCCAAGTGTTGTATACGAATTGCGGGGCGCGTTCATGTACGGGTTGTAGACGATGTAATTGAGACAAAGGAATAAACGAGCATTAGATTAGACAATTAAACACATTTTTCAAGTTTCAAAGTTTGTATTATCACTAATGTAGACCAATCCTTTATTTAGCCTTGGTGTCTAGAACTAAAAATACTGTCATTTAATTGTTCTAACTCAGGGGTCGGCAACCTTTTGAGTCGGAAGAGCCAAAACTTACAATTTACAAAATTACCCATTTTTTAAAGAGCCACAAACATTATATATATATATATATATATATATATATATATATATATATATATATATATATATATATATATATATATAATTTTTAAAAAAATAGCTTAAATGTATGAAATAATCTCATTTGTTTCTGTGGGTCTACTATAATCGTCAGAGTACTTGTATTTGTTTTGAATTGCTCAAATCTCTCAGTGAAAACATCTTTTTTTTTGTTTATAGTAATACATTGGTTTCATCACGATATTTTTTTTCTTCAGATTTTTCGTAATTAAGTAATTTACCGCTCTCCATGTCTTTAACAAAAAAAAAGCAAAGGCTGGGTTTTCCTTTCAGTCTTACATTTAGCTCTTTTAGTTTCTTTATGATATCCACCATGAAGTTGAATGTTACAATTCCGAATGGACAATTTAATAGGAAGTACAGTAAAATAGGGAGTAACTAAATAGTCTAATAGAATAGTGAGTGTTAATTCTTTATGTTTATTATTATTGTTCATCACCGAGAGTTGCAGAAGAATATTTTTATGAGTTTTAAAAAATAAAATAAAATAATCTATCTATATATATTATTCTCTTCTGGGAGCCGTTAGAAAACAAGCTGCAAGCGCCTCCTTGCAGTCCCCTCTCTTTCTCTCTATCACTATCACTACCACCCCCACCCCACCCCAACATTGTCTGGTGAGCGGTGTTCACTCTAAATTTTTACAAAGCTAAATGTTTACAAATCGTAGAGCAGTACAGCCGGGTTTCTAATAGGGGCAGATAATTTAGTTCGATTTTAAACTTACAGGAGGTAACTAAGAAATAACTAAGAGGAGGCTGCACTTACGGGGGGGGGGGGAGGGGGGGGGGGTGTAGGGTCGAGGTTAGGGGAAAGGGGGGGGTAGTGTTTTAAAGCAAATATTTTCAGTGGCAGCATTGGTACTGTCGAATTTACAAATTATGAATTACTGAAAAGTAGAAAATAAAACAACTAAATAGCGGCGTATGATACGCTGCGGGTCGGCTCGTTATAAATATTTGAGCATGGAGCTGAAGAGACGCAACTTGACACCAAAAGAGCCGCATGCGGCTCGCGAGCCGCAGGTTGCCGACCCCTGTTCTAACTAAATAAAAAGAACATATTATTTTAAAACACACATAAGCAGTGCACAAACACAAACAGAATACACACAACATAACTCGCACAACAGATGCAACACGGTGAACGGAAAAAAAGTCACATGAAAAAAAGTCACAATTGAAATAAACCGGGAGTGATCTCCCCTAAACTTTCTCGAATATTTTTATATAAAATAACAGGGGATGGGAACTCGGGCTATAGACATGATTTTTAATCCATTTTAAATACTTAAAGTTTTAAAAATAGAATAAAATCTCGTAGACAAATTAATTGCACACCAAGTGAACGCGAAATAAAAAAGCGCATAATAGTGCGCAATATTATTAGTACTTTTAAAATTTACATTAGTTTTTTGAAAAATCGGAAGTAGCGTAAATTACTACTTCCGGTCAACGGAAATTACTCAAAATTTAACAGAAGGTAGAGAATTAGATCTTTTACTTACATGTGAAATTTCATTTATCTATCTGAAATAGTACTCAAGTTATAGGCTTTAGAAAAATTCAAAGTAGAAAAAGTACCACTTCCGGTTATCGGAAATCGCTCAAAAGTTGATACGGATCTACGATTTTGATATAATACTTATATATGAAATTTCATCAACCTAGCTGTAACGGTACTCAAGTTATCGTTTACACACGGACACACACACAGACACACAGACACACACACAGACATACGGACAAGATTGCAAAATTATGTTTTTCCGTATCAGTGAGGTGTAAAACGTCGAGATTTGTAAAAATCTCGATTTTTTTTTTGCACGATTACAATACTTTCTCTATACTACGTATATACGAGAAAGTAAAAAGTCAGTTTTTGCTAGGAAAAAAAGTCACAGAAAAAAAGTCACAATGGAAATTTTTTTTCGGAAAAACGTCACAGAAAAAAGTCACAAAAATCTTACCATTTCACGGTAATTTAATGTTAGTATTTAAAAAAAAAACACGATGAAAACCGAGGACGTTGAAACATTCTATTAAATGCTCTTAATATTATGTTTAACATAATTACAATCTACATACTTCATACTAAATATTTTTAGATGAATTATAAAAATTACCATGCGTATACAACCTACACACATTACATTACATTTAAATTAATTTGCACTCTCTGTATATATGTAATTCATAAAAGTATTAACTAATTCCATGCAAATATATATTTGTGACTTTTTTCCTGTGAGTTTTTTTCCTGTGACTTTTTTTGTTTTTTTCCTGTGACTTTTTTTCCTACAATGACGCAACACAACTAAACAAAGAGACTCAAATAAATTTATCGTTTGGGTGTTGTTTTTTTTTAAAGACTTAATTTATCTTTTGGGATATTTATAAAAGAGACTTAGTCTAACTAAGTTTATCTTTAGGATATTTAAAAAAAAAAACAAAAAAAAAACAACTCACGAAACTCCTATCCTCATGATAAACGTTTTCAAAACTAAAAACAAACTTTAACTGAACACATTAGAAGAAATGATAATCAAGTAAAAGTCAACAAATGGAACATAATAAACAATTTAATTTATAAGTAATGTATTTTATCATTGGAACACATATGTATGTTTTAAACAATTAATAACAATGTGTAAAACGTGTAGTTTAAAAATGAAAAATCAGCAGTCTGTTGATACTGAATGTCAATGTTTTTATGGTCATTTGTTTCTCAATAAACTGTTCAAAACAACATTTATTTAAATTATTGTTTAAAGTCTTTCTTTTTATTTCACTTACTGAGAAATAATTTTATAACTTGGCCATGTGCGGAGCATTAAAAGTTTGTAAACAAATGTTTCATGTTTGAAAAGTAGTTGCTGAACTGAAGTTTTAAGAATCATATTTGAATTAATAATCGCTGGCTGTAAAGGACGTTCGTGTTTAGTGAAAGAACAATAAGCAGCAACGCCGAAAGTCTCGAAATGGGTTCCCATGTTTGTATCTTTGCTACGCCGCTGAGTCAACCCAGCTCTAATGTGTTCATTTTTTAAGTCTGGGGTGGGGGGAACCAAAGGCAGCCAGGTATAGTCCTGACTAGACAATCTTTTCATATTACAAAGTAATTACAGTAACAGCGGATTCTCTGTCACTCTCACAGCGGATATCGTTTCACTGTGACAATGGATACCCTGTCACTGTACATACCCTGTCGCTGTGGATACACCGTCCCTGTGGATATCATGTGACAACGGATATCGTGTCACTGTGACAATGGATACCCCGTCACTGTGGATACCCTGTCACTGTGACAGCGGGTACCCTGTCACTGTGGATACCCCGTCACTGTTGATACCCTGTCACTGTGGATACCCTGTCACTGTGGATACCCTGTCACTGTGGGTACCCTGTCACTGTGGACACACTGTCACTGTGGATACCCTGTCACTGTGGGTACCCTGTCACTGTGGATACCCTGTCACTGTGACAGCGGGTACCCTGTCACTGTGGGTACCCTGTCACTGTGGGTACCCTGTCACTGTGGATACCCTGTCACTGTGGGTACCCTGTCACTGTGGATACCCTGTCACTGTGACAACGGATACCCTGTCACTCTGGATACCCTGTCACTGTGGATGCCCTGTCACTGTGGATACCCTGTCACTGTGGATACCCTGTCACTGTGGGTACCCTGTCACTGTGGGTACCCTGTCACTGTGACAACGGATACCCTGTCACTCTGGATACCCTGTCACTGTGGATGCCCTGTCACTGTGGATACCCTGTCACTGTGACAACGGATACCCTGTCGCTCTGGATACCCTGTCACTGTGGACACACTGTCACTGTGGATGCCCTGTCACTGTGGATACCCTGTCACTGTGGATACCCTGTCACTGTGGGTACCCTGTCGCTGTGGGTACCCTGTCACTGTGACAGCGGGTACCCTGTCACTGTGGATACCCTGTCACTGTGGGTACCCTGTCACTGTGGGTACCCTGTCACTGTGGGTACCCTGTCACTGTGGATGCTCTGTCACTGACAGACTCATTTGACGACCTATGTTTAAATTTGCTGTGACTCAACGGCCTCTCCTTCGTCAGCACACACGTGACGTCATCATCCACGTGATCCTCACCGGCTGTGGGCACATACACCTGGACGTGAACCTTTCTCCTGACGCCGTCCGGCCTGTAGACGCCTTTATCGTAGCGGTCATTTTGCAGAACCCAGTTGGCCGTCCCATAGAGGTCGGATGAGTGAGTGGCCTCACCAGCGGACAAAATCTGGCCAGTGTCTTGCTCACGTCCCTGTATCTGAGACAAGCTCTCGTCGTGTGTAGCTATCGCAGGAACCGGTGAGTAGCTTTGTCTGATTAAACTCTGATTTGAACCGTGTTCGCGGAGATTTGGGAGCTTGGTTGAATCTGAATAGTGTCCGTTTAAATATCCGTTCGTGTGTCCGTTCTTGTACCCCCTGGGGGATTTAACCGCTAGAAGGTTAGGGTTAGTGTTCATGCTTTGTCTGGCACTGAGAAGTTTATCAAACACAGGAAATTGTTTGGGTTGGCCTCGAGAGGTGGCGCTTTCAGGCGTACAAGGGGGCGCGGCCGGGCTGGACTCCCAGAAGTTGTTATTGAGAAGTTTCGTTCTGCTGTCGGCAACTGGACGAATCTCCGACTGACACACCCCGCAGTTAATGTTCCGTACAGTGCCCGGGCCTGGCTTTGTTTTGCTGTGGTTTTGTTGAATTCTGAGCGAGTCTGGCGTGGAGGCGTTCGACTGGTCACTGGTAGAAAGGTGTGGGCTTTCGGACGAATCCTGCTTTGAAGTTTTCCCGCTGATCTTCTCCCCTTTCAACAGCACCCGGCTAAAACAGTGATGGTCGGGGGACTTCCTGCTCCATGCATCCTGGTGGCTCTTCACTTGCAGGTCTGTGGCACACCCTGTTACTTTAGAGTCGAAATCGCTTCTATTTTTGTAAATACCCTCAATGATCTCCCTTTCTCCGCGAGTCAGAGCCTTTTTGTCACGAAGGAACATCCGCCCCGGGCTGACGGAGGGGTTGCGGAGTGGGCTGAGGGGGGACAGGGCATAGCTAGGCACAATGTGGCACTGTAGCCCGGCCAGCCGGTCGGAGGACAGCTGGGGGATGTTGGCGATCTCCCGGTACAGCTTCGATACGGAGTAGCTCTCGTCATCTGACCAATCGTAGAAGCGGGCCACGCTCACGTGACTGCGAGGCATCACACAGAGACCACCGGATGTTGATGGTTGTCTAGACTGTGAGGCGATGAAGCGAGGGGACTCAGTGAAGGTCTTTGAGCGTCGGCACAGTAGCGGTCTGAAAAATTACAATGTGAAGATGGTAATGGCATGGCATGTAGAATGGTATGAATTATTTCAATTGGAAGATGGTAATGACATAAATAATAAGTCAGTTCGGTGACTACATGTTAAGTATTAAATACAATGTTTAGTCATTTTAATAGCGTTACACTGGAGTTATTAAAAAAAGATCTGTTAATATTATATAAACCAGCTGCCGACCTTAAAAAATGACGCTGAAATACATGATCCTTTGTGATTAACGTTGACCGTAATGTTGTCAATATTAATGGTCAACTTTCTATAATGGAGTGTGTAAGCACCTAGTTTCTGTGTGTATGTGTTTTGATAGTTTATGTTTTGATGTATGTATGCAGTCATTTATGGGGAGGATGAGTTTCCTTGTGTGTCTGTATCTCTATGGGATGTGTGTGTGTGTTTGTGTTATTATGAATGTGTGAGTGAATTTGTATGGTTTTCTATCAATGTTTAAGTCTTTGTACGAGTTAGAATTCGACCATGTCAGTGTATGTGAGTGTATGCATATGTGTGTCTACGTTTGTGTGTGTATGGGTGTGGGTATGTTAATGCGAGTATGAGTGCGCGCGTGTGAGTGCGTGTATGTGAATGTTTGCCCTCTCTTAGGAAATGGTTATTTCATTAAAGCATCATTCGAGATTTTAATTAGAATCTCTTGTTCTATACGCTGATCGTTTGTTTGAAGAATATTGGGGTAACCGACTATACTTAAAACAGCAATTCCTATACATACATACATAGAAGTTTACTAAAACCTAAGAAATAAACACTGTAAGCAAACACAGGACATTTTATTTTCCATTTAACTTAACGTGGCGTGGTGCCGTTTCTGTAAAAAAAACTGAGAACAAAAGGACTCTGCTTCAGTTGCTACAGTGATCGATCATTGAACAGACTTGTGATTACTGATCGCGTATTGAATGGTTATCGATGCCACCATTTGTAGGCTGGGACCGAGCGTGTAATGTAACAACTGATGGGATTTTTTTTATTAGACCAGCGGACTCTGATTTCAATTGATCGAGAAAAAAAAAGGTTTTATTTCATGCACTTAAAATAATTGAAATTTAAAGCCACTATGTTTAAAATACAATTAAAATATTAGAAAGAAAAAAAAAAGGTTTTATTTCATGCACTTAAAATAATTGAAATTTAAAGCCACTATGTTTAAATTATAATTAAAATATATTTAAAAAAAAACAACGAAATAGTAAAGAAATCCTTACATGAAAACAATAGGTTTTTATGTATTGTGATGTGACATGGGGGGAGGGGGGTGGTGAGGACGGGGAGAGTTGGAGGGTGAAATCAGCAGCTATTATGTGACGTCATCTATGGGATGGTATCATGTTCGTGGTTGGAATGCCATGACAGTTTCATGCGACGTTAACAAGTCGGGCGTGAAGACTTGTCTACCTCAGTTTGTGGTCGTTGTGGGAAGTTTTCTGTAGGCGACACCCACATGTCACAGCAAATAAAAAATAAAATAGACAAAAAACAAAACAAAACAGAGAGCGAACGTCTGACCGGAAATCACACATTTAGGTCTCTCTCGCATCAACTTGACCGCCAAATATTCATTTTATTTAATTGTTTGAGGTTAGCAACGGCTGAACCATTCTTCAACAGGGCATATATCTTACAGAGTAGTAGATTCTCAAACTCAACAGAGACTTTTTTTCATAGTAGGATGTGGGATAATTTAGACCGTCACTTATTATTTACTAGTCCCGTAAGGTAAAAATTCCGAGTATTTTGTTCCCCTGAAAATGTTGAGAATTTTTTTTTAGCCACCTCCGGAAACCCGATTTATTTAAAAAGCTCAATGCCCGTGGGTCCAGGGGGTGGGGGGGGGGGGGGCGTGGGAGCACGGGGGCACATAGGACCTTGGGGGTCAGTGTTTTTTGTCCCCCCTCATTACATGGTTGTTACACTGGGGCCAAGACGACTGTATCAAATTAAAGAAAACCACACAGCACCCACGTCACACGGTAAATAGAAAACAGGACCGATAACTCTCACTGTTTATTCGGCTAAAAAAGAACCACCGGGAAGTCCCACAGAAGTTTTCCCAAACAATCCACAGAGCCATTTCCTAAACCTTTATCCAACGTGTCGATAGAGGAAAGATATTATTGAGTTCGATTCACAAGCCAAGACATTTCGGTATCGACTCCTTCTCTTTGATTTACGATCAACTTCATTTTCAGAATCGATATATTGACTAAAAAAAGCGATACTTGTATCTGACATTTGTATTTAAGCATGTAAAGAAGAAAATAGGCAAAACCTCTGAAGTATCGATTTGAAATTTCTGATTTGCAATTTTAATTAACATTTTTCTAGCTTCTAACAGAATCCGATTTTAGCGTTTTTTCCCCCCGAAGTTTTCTAATTTTAAAAAGCCTGTTTATAATGGTATGAACGAAAATTAGAAAACTGTGTTCATAATCTCCATCATGCTGTCGTGCTGACGAAAAACAAATTGAGCAAGTGTTTCCTAATTAAACGATAACAGAGCCTGTATATTTGTACAAACTAGAGTTGTTTCCCTGTCTAGCTACAAACAGTGTATAAACACCACCGGGAAATGATGTAGCAACACAAGATTCTATTCACAGATCAAGTTAAAACTGTTTGGTCTTGTTAATGTTAATGTCACAGATATAGTCTAGTTGGTCAATGTTGGTCAATCTTGGTCAATGTTGGTCAATGTTGGTCAATCTTGGTCAATGTTGGTCAATCTTGGTCAATGTTGGTCAATGTTGTTGCATATTTCTGGCAGCAAAGAATAGTGTACATAAGAACACAACTGCACATGTTCACACGCACATACACACAAGACGCATACAACACACACTTGTCCACACGCGTATGTTAACACACTCACACATACACATACATTAACACAATTTAAAACACACACACACACACACACACACACACACACACACATATATATATATATATATATATATATATATATATATATATATATATATATATATATATATATATATATATATATATATATATATATATATATATGGTTGAGTTTTTGGGACATACAAATCTTTAGTTGACGAGTGTAGATTAGATATGTGTACTATGTGTTTAGTCTTGTTAATGGACGAATGTTCTACCTTTGATAATTCATGTTGTGTTACCAGAGAGTAAGTGAGATTTATTTAATCATACTAGTTACTAAGTTCTTGCTTGACAAAATTGTATACAAATGCTAAAAGCGCGTTGAACTGATACGATATTCACACTTTTATCATCGTTCTGGTTACATTTCACGCTGACACACAAGCCAAGCCTTGCCTGAAGCCGCAGTGAAATAAATCAGTGAGTCACAATATGTTGTGTTGAAAACAGTGATATTCGAGGAATATCACTGTATCAAAATCTAACACAAGCTGAAAAAAATAAAACGGCAACCCCAACGCTACCCCCCCCCCCCCAAAAAAAAATCACTAACCTCAATCATTCATGAAGCCTATAACTATAACCTAAACCATCTAAAAAAAATTTATCATTGACCACTCCGCCCCCCCCCCCTACGCGAGAAAAAAGTCTGGAAGAAACACTGACTACAACTCAAAAGCCTACCGTAAGTAATAAACTACGCAAACGCTAACTCAAACATAACATAGCAGAAAACTAGGCACAGGAACATGGTACAATATGTTAGAATGTGATAAACCTAACAATGATCCTAAACACAACATCCCAGATGTAATAAAAATATTTTATGCACGAGAAAAATGGCCCGTTGAGGAAGGATACAACGGGTGCTAGGCTGATAGTGCTGTCTCTTTTCTATAAACTAAAACCACCCCCCCCCCCCACACACACACACCATCCCCCCACCCACCCCCCACCCAAAAAAAAACATGTCTACCGTCCCATTCAACGAAATATAATTATATACTTTTTCCAGTGTCCGCCCCCTCCCCGAAAATTCTACCCCCGCCCCCGAAAATTTCAAGTACCCCCACCCCTCTACGGGGAGTAAAAAGTCTGAAAGAAACACTGGAGTCGCGCTTAGCCACTACCCGAAGAATTGCATTAAAGAAATTGCAAGAAAACCACTTTTTAGATTAGACACATTAATTAGGCGGTAATTTTATTATAGAGTATCGATGAAGAAATTTCTTTTGAGTTGGGGAGGGGGGGGCTCAGACGTTCTTAAGCGGGGATGTTGCTTCGCCCCTACCCGAAGAATTGTATGCAAGAAACTCTTCACAGCAAACCATTTAGATTAGACAAAATTGCCTTTTTATTCAATGTTTACTTGAGAATCAATGACGTCATATTTCTGTGTGCACTCTCCAGCTTGAGATTATTTTCTACTCTATGCTAAATGTGACGACGTCATACTTCGTTTTTCGAATTACTATGCATGTTTTTAATTTGCTTGTGTTTTCTCTAGAGCGTTCTTGTCAGATAGATAGATACACAGACAGCGAAACTATTAGTATTAATTACGTTTTTAAATTAAAGTAAAAATCAAATTGAAGCCGGTAGAGAAAAGCTTTGTTTTAGTTATAACGTTTAAAAAAACCAAACAAATAAAACAACCAAAATTATTAAAAAAGTGAACAAGCGTTCTTGTCCAGTAACTATTCGTTTCAGATACACATGCCGGTTTGACTTTTGAATACCACATTCTTCAGCTCCTAAAGATCGGATAAATGGATCCTTTACCTGTGTCCATACAACTTCGATTCGGATACGACAAGAAAAAGTAAACTCGCACCGTGTCGCTCAAGTCAAACAGCCGAACCCAAAACAGTCGAAGCCAAAACAGCCGAACCCAAAAACAGCCGAACCCAATAACCTAATTTACCGGGTGTATTGAGACGTGAGGTTACCTAACGAGTCAACAGCACCAGTTAATGAAGCTCGTGGCTGCTTTGATGTCGTGGGTGTTTAAAGTTGATCGGGCCGTCTTCATTGAAGTTACGTCAAGCC